AATTAACGCATCCTGATGGGCACTCTGTTAGGCTGATTCATCACCAATATTTAGCCTATCTTGACTTACCTAACTCAGATTTGGGTTGTGGAGAAGAAGAGACGCCATATCGATAATTTATCACGGATGATAAAACCTTCAGACCCCAAATGTCAATTATTATGTGTACGAAAAGAGAAATCAAAACGAAGATTAGTAGGCGAGCATTAGCACTGACTTTAAACCACCTAAGTACCGAACGACACCATCACGCACCACCCTGCGAAGAACATAATTTTACTTTGGGAGGATCCTCGAGTTAATATTTTTCAATAATTTGCGCATACAATAATATCAAATTCGTCAGTCTATTCTATTATCCGTCATAAACAAAATATATCAAAACGACACCCATCATCGCTATAAATGCTAAATCATATTATCATCGGCCGTCATCCTCGTCTCTGATATAAAAAGACAACTCTATCCTTGAATCAGCCCCCATATCTTACAAACGCAAGTCCGCCCAGTGCTTAGTGCTTGTTGTGCTTCTTGCTATGCCTAGATTTCAACAGTTAATTGTCTGCGCTACAGTGCATTGGAGATCTAGTGCGGTAGAAACACTCACTTCTTCAGCTTGTTCTCGAGTAAGTTGGCGCCAATGGCTCCTGCAGCAGCGCTGGCGAGTGTGCCGAGCATGCCAGTGCCGCTCTTGCGAGCAGCCCAGCCGGCGGTGCCACCTCCAACGAGAGTGGCTCCAAGTCCACGCTCGCCATCAGGACCGGGTGCCATTTCAGGCTGTCCCTGGCCTGCATAGTACCCTCGGTTGTCGTACCCTTGCTGCTGGTATGTCTGAGCGTAACCAGCCTGGCCTTGGTTGTATGAGGGCTGCTGGGCATACGTGGGTTGCTGAGCGTATTGAGGCTAAAATAAAGAGTCAGTACTGATGAATTAATCTTGAGCCTATGGCCAAATAATTATCTCACCTGTTGAGGGCCGTTGTAGGAGTTGGTGTATCCGTAGTAGCTCTGGTTAGACATGTTGGATGATGTTGTAGTGTTGGAAGCTGGTGGAAGTAACTTGTTGATTGTGAGACTTGTTTGATAGTTTGATAAACTGTTTGATGGTTTGAATGATGAACAAAGATAAGTTCACCCTGGATTCCATGGGGTATTTATCATTTCCCCATCCCCAATCCCCATCCCCTCGGGCCGTCATGTCGGACTGAGTTCGGACTGCTTGAGAGATGGTTTCGTCGCTCTGAGTGGCGCAGCTGCAACCAAGTGGGTCTCTCTGCGTGGCTTGGCCGAGCTTAGCCCTTTTAGTCAGCGGGGGAGCCACCCAAAACCTTCTAGAAGCCCCACAGAATTCTTCTAGCCTATCATGCATCGTGGCTTTGCGATCACCTGGAGGCGGTAGAAGACGAATATCATCTGCCGAGCCCCCCTTCGGCAGCGTTGGCACAGGTGGCTTAGGCGATCGGCATCGGCACGGTATTCGCGCTCTCTGATAAAGCGAAAGCGATGGGCTGTGTCGCATGGTTCTACTTCTCTTGGTATTAAGCTCGTCACAGGGCGCGATGTGATGTCATTCAGAAAGGTTAAACTTATTTTTAGAATGCAAGTCAAGAAAATGCACATCTCAGCTATCAACTTCGAGGTGACATGACCTTGCCGTGGCTATACAGTAACTCAGTGTGGAATGAGTAGATATTTCGCTGATTCTCTTGCTCGTTTGTTCCGGAACTAATGCATGAAGGAATCGGTGACTACCTCGCTACAACGCGCCTACAGTCATGGTAGCTCGTGAGACGCTATGGCTAACAGTTCTTAATCTCTTAGGCTAGAAACAGTTGAGTGTTATGGGTTTACAACCAAAGCAATGGATAAAGCAGGGAGTAGGAGGGTATTTAGATGACTACAGGGTACCTACTGTGGCCCATCCGCCACGGCACCAACCCACCAAGTCCGTAGGAATGTCGATTTAATCTTTTTTATCGAACCTTTGGATTGTTTCAATTAATCAGCAGTGTATTTCTAGCAGATTACAATAGATTTTATCCAAACCGAAAATTCACCAAGCCTCTAATGTATCTACTAGCTAATTCTTGAGGGTTTTTTTTTACAACAATAAGCTCTTTCCAGTTATGCTCTTGAAGGAGACTAATTACCCGCACGACAAGGACAAAGGGATACGATACGGATTTGGTTCCTGACACGGCCAAGCGATTCCATAGCTTGATCTTACGCCATGCTGCCAAGCAATGACGAGGGACCCCAGTAGCGCACTCCCGGAGATCACAGTTGGAGCTACCAACGGGGTTGGGGGAATTCCGTTTTCCGAGTCCGAGGTAGTGATAGTCTTTACATTTCACTTAAGGAACCAAATGTGTCCCTTTCCTGTAATTTAAACGCCATGATGTATCAATACTCTCCTTTATTCCTTTTTATTGATGCTGGCGAATTATAGATAAGCTTCGGTGGCAGAGGGAAGAAAAAAACCAAAAGATCACATGTCAACCAGGTTAATCGGTTGCACGGCATAGATTCCTCTTCAAGACCATCTCGGTGCTATTTTACCCCTTCTCATCCCGCCATAATCCTCGGCAAGAAAAGATTGAATGTGGACTCGTCGCAAGGATTCACTCACCGCAAGCAGTTGCGGACTCGGACTCTCCGTGGCGGACAAATGTGGAGGTACAACCAAGTTCCAATCAGATTTGCGATGTTACTAACGGAGCCCCTCGGTTCGTATTGAGCAGCTATAATTAAACGCGCATATGTAAGGGGTTAATAGTTCCCGACATGTCACTCCAACCTTGCTGAAGGGCATACATCCCTGCGAGAAGACTTCGGTGTTCCATTTGGCTTAATTTTAGGATTGCTGCAGGCACACGTTTTCTATGTGTGTAGTTTCTATTATTTTATGGGATGGGCTTTTGGTTGAGAAAAAGAAGAATATCTATTGCAAAGTTAAACCTCTTACATTCCAATCACCCATTGCTTCACGCTTTCTATCGTAGTATGCCATCGAAATATCCTTCATAACTGAAGATCGGATCATCTTCCTCGCTGTAGGCGCAAATCTTAAGACTTGGAGAACTCAGACCTAACAACAGCCCCGACAGCGCCAAGCTCAGTGAGATTGATGCTTCGCGCAAAAGGAGTCCAACCTTCGGGGAAGCGCTCCTCCTCATACCAAATCTTGACCCAATCTTTTGGTGCCTGAATATTGTAGAGCTCCTCTGTTGGGGCTCCGGCTGCAGGAAAGGTTCCATTGTTCATGGCGATGAGGGTGAGGGAGCTCTCGCCGAACATGATTGTCCAGATCGTCTCGGTCAGGTTGGGGCGGCCGGATTCCAGGAAGGTTCGGTGGCGGCTGATGCCGGCAGAAACGACGTCGAGGTATGGGTGCGGGCTATCTGCAAGCATCGCGTCTACGCGCTCGGGATCGACATGTAAGCTATCGCCTCCGGGTTGATCCTGACGGGTCAGGGAAGCAGGGTGTTCGAGACGGCCAGGGGTGTTAAGTGTTTCAAGATCCAGGGTATCGTTAGCAGGGTTGAGGCCGAACACCTGGAAGGCACCGCTGGCGAGGAACTGGCCGACAGATGGGTCAAAGTTGAAGGCCTCGGTGATGGCCGAGACGAATTTCGACATCGATATCTTCTTACCATTGTGAGGACTAATTGGTCATGTGGATCAATGTTCGTCCTGTTTTCCAACTTGGTTAGAGAGACCGCTTACAGATAGCCGTGATTTGCCAATGTATTGAGGCCAGGGCATGGGCTGCGAGAGTCTGAAGGGCCGGCCGGGGCCCATTCTTTGAGGGCAGCAGCGGCTGATGCGAATTGAAAGAGAGAGAACACCTTCATCTTTGGGGATGTCAATTCAAGCCGGAAATAGGGTAGAAAGCAAAGGAAATTCGAGGGAAAAGAGGCAACAATGACATTTCTCACTCACTTCACCCGAGGGTATGCCCCTCTTTTATATCATTCATGAGGGCAAAGGTCAGCCCATCACCCTTGCACATATCTCCATGCGGAATTCAGACCGAGTTCAGGGCATTGTTGAGCCAGGATCCACATCAAAAGAAGGCTTTGATGAGAAGCACGGTCCCCGTTTTTACATGGAACTGCCGAAAGCGTCGAGCAAGACTCCATTTCGTGGCCAAGGGATCTGTCTATTGTTCTAGGACCCGCTCGGATAGCAACACTCGGAATCGCCGTACACCTCGGGACATGGGCAGCCTGTGATAGTTTCATTAAATCCCGTGTTTCATGTGTTCCTCATTAGTAAAAGGCCCACCGTGATAGGCCAAACGCGGTGTTCTCGATACCAACATACACCCCTTTCCACGGTCCAGAATGGAAAATGCCTCGGACTGGAAGAAATATGTATGTGTTAGTCGCAGTGAATCAGACATAGTGAATACTGTCAGTCACAGTGAACACCGTTTATAGTAACGACTGATTCATCTTCCACACTCCTGCTTCTTATGAGTATGTGTCCATTATATTTCGAGGAGTGGTTGGATCTTCTCTAACCCCATCCTTGGGTCTAGGTGAGAGTTGCGAAAGAAGCGTAGAAATGCTAAGCTGAGGATTTGCTTGGAAAAAAACAACTTGCCGAATGCGAGAAGTTTTGAGCTGTCGGCCTCATACTTCCACGCCTGGTCTCTTTCACCTCCCAAGTTCCGCGGCTAATAGAACACTCGCACATCCGCACGCTCAATCACTTGCCGGTATCTTCACTACACTATATCTAGTCATGGACTCTGAAAGGTGAAAGAAAACATGGCACACCAAAGCCCCCATCTAGCCTTAGGCTTCGGTGTAATATCAAAACAAGAAACCAAGTCTCTCGCCTGCACGAGAGGGGCTCTAGTGTGCCATGTTATATCTCAATTACTTGCCTGATAAAGACAATAGAAGATAAACGGCGGTGTAGTGACAGCTCTTTGATATAGGTACATGTATGTTGCCACCGAGCCGCATTTCACGCAGCTGTCCACTTTCTCATTTATTTGACATCAAACCCTATCCAATCGTAGACCAATCTCATCCTGGAGAGTTTTCCTCCACTAGTTACGACAACAATTCGCACATAACGCCTTTCATTATTTATCATTTGGAATCCCCATACCTCGTTCGCGACCCAACCGCGTTCAAGACTTTCCACCCGGCATAGTATATGAGTGCGTCGAGAAGGCCCAACTGCCTCATTCTCATTCTCGAGCCAGCCAGCTTTGAGATCATCACCACCCAACTCTTCGTATGAAGCCCACTTGGCCTTTCCTCGTACTTGTCCAAAGAGCCAATCCGAGTGCTCGTGCCACTCATTGTCCAAACATCGCTGCTCTGCCGTACCTTTCAGATTCTTCGTGAGGGTCTGTTCAATATTTATATGAACCACGTTCTTGTCCGCTTCTGCTCCGTGGAATACTTCAGCGGGGAGCGAGTATTGCGTAATCTGGATTGTGATAGTGGCAGCACTGATGAGTTTCTGGGTCATCCACCCGACACTTTGCAAAGAGAGCGTAGGGCCAGTCGGTTCAGAGAGCCTTGAGTTCTATGGAAATTTCAATATTGTCCCAGAGTCGAAGCAAGGGTGGCAGAGGGGTCGGTTGTTTACTCACCAGAACCCATTTGCCGTTAAGGTCTGAGATGTTTTTGTTTTCAGGAGCGGCCATATTCGATATAGTAGAATAGAATGGATGGTTTATGAACAAAATGTTTTGAGGCTGCTTTGAACATCAAAATGTGAGGTAGCAAGCGAGGCTATCTATACCACAAACAAACAATGTGTGATGAGGGGAGTCGGGTCATACTTACCATGAGCGGGATGAATCCACTGGCGGGTGCAACCCGACCAGAAGGCTACAGGGGTTTGAAAGAGGATGCAAACATCCAGATTTCAATTTTTTGTCGGGATTGAGCAAGGAAGTGAGCAAGGGAGGTCCCGTTGTAAGGCGGCGTGCGAAACTTCCGAGCCAAATTGTATCCCTTGCTTTTACTTGGGCTAAGTGGCCATTTGGAGTATATGTGAAACGCAATGTCTACCAATACTTGCGGACATAACACGACAAGATGGAGTTTTGCTCATGGCCTTCATTACGAGTTTAATTATCTAGACAACAATAACTAAGAAATGAAAACTATCTCGATGTATAAATCTATCCTGGGAGTCGTTAGATGTACCTTCACCAGACACGTACAATTAATATGCGATAGTACACAATGCAAGTCCACGCTTTCCGAACAGGAAGGGAATTGACCATCAGGGGAGACATGTGAGGGTCTGTCTGGAGGGCAGACTTAGCTCGTCAATACTGACTTCACCCAAGCCTTCATGCTCTCCGTACATTTACCTGGGATTCCTCGCTGCCCCTCTGTAAGAATAAAGTCGTACGCTTGCTCTTTCTGTAAAATAAATTCCACATTAATTTTTGGATTTAATCTTATGACGCCTTTTGTAAATGCAACGATTTGATCTTTCATCACTTCTTGCTCCCCAGCAGTGACGTACAGATGCCGTATTGCCGAATCAAGACCCTGAAAGCAATCTTTTCCTAAATCGAGAGGGAATGCAAGCTTGCCAAGGTCGCACATGGAACAGCTATCATGATCGTCCCCCATAAGATAATCGACGGATTTCTTCACGGTATGTGAGGATAGCATGTCGATGCACTTGTTATATTGATACGAGTAGTCATTAGTATGTCAAGAGCCAAGGCGAAACCAGGAAGGCGGCTTGTAAAGGCCGTGATGTCTGGATAGGAGGCAGCAGCGGGTTTGGTCTGGCTATTTGGCAAAGCAGTTGAGCTGCCAAATTGCCACCTGCCGAGTCTCCACCGAGCAGAATCTTCTCTGGGGGGAATCCGGATGACAGTAGGGTATTAACAGCTCCGATTGCTTGCCGTAGTTGCGTCGGAAACCTTGCTTCGGGGCAGAGTGTGTATTCAAGAATGGCAACAGCGACTTTTGTCCCTGTCTCGGCTCCGGCTGCCAGAAACACGTCACGACACCAATTCAAATGACCTTTCAAAAGGGGGGCTATATACCCTCCGCCGTGGAGAAACAGTATAACGGTGGTGGCTTCATTATGGTCACCTAGCCATAATAGAGATCTCCCATCTTCCTCCATTGCTTCAACAACGTGACGAGGCTGGTATGTAGGTACCGTGATTGCTTTGAGATTGTATATCTTGCCACTAGCTTCTGATTGCCATGCGTTGAATGTCTCCCTCGTTGATGACGACAAATATTGAATCTGCTTTGCGTCTAGCAGGTAGAGGAAGACTTTGGCCATGGCAGAGAAGAGGAAAGGTCGCATTGGGAGTCGGCGTAGCCAGGCAGCCACGAGGCAAGTGACATATTTTGAGAGTATGTCAAATGGCACTTTATAACTATTAGCTATGGGCGGAATAAGAAAAGAAGTGACCATACCAAGGCATGTGAGATTATGAACAGACGGAATTTCTGAGACAGGGAAAGATGATAAGTCATAACTTCAGTGATGGGGGTGAGGTATAATCCGAGTAAAGGGAAATAGGCTGTTTCTGGATGGAAAAAGAGAAGCCGGACGAAGTTCATGACAAAATGATGTGACAAATCATTAAACCAACGAGTCGCGGTGGTTATAACAGAGCCGACACTAAGAATTGGGGGAGTACACAGCTGATCAATCTACTCCTGAGACAATGCTGAGCTCTTATCGGCACGATCCCGACGAAGTCATCACATTGGCGTCCAGTTCCACACCCCTTTACGGCTCCCTTCCGACAGACCCTTTACACCAGCGTCAGCAGCCAGTGTTAAATTGTCCCAAGAATGCCATGTCATGTCACACTTATTGAAGGTGATACATAATCAACGGAGTAGATGAGGTACGGGCCATGTCAAACACAGAACCTAAACTCCTGCTTCAAGTTTAATGAAAGTCACAGGTTTCGCCCCGTGATGAGAGCCATAATATTTGAAACAGAGTCCTAGAAGTAGAATATCAAGTGTATTCATCTTTTTATGCAGATCCGGAATCGTGCCGATGAACTGAAACCCACGAGCTGACGGGAGAAGACCGAAATGAAACATTGTGCCGGATTTGCGTTCGCATAGCTCTCCCTTACCCCTTTGAAAACAAATATCGGGTACCAATTGGCGACGTCAGGGTTGTATCTGTTCATTCTCCTGAATTTATGACCCTATGATCAAGAAGTATCCCCTTCTGCCGTCTTCTAGCCCTATTCATAACCACTCAAAAGCCATCAGTAATATTCGACAACAGCCGCGAAGTAGCCGAACAGTGGCTTGCCCAGGTATCCTTCATCTTCATCGTCGACATGGATCTTGGTATGAGGAGGACGAGGTCGAGGACGCTTTCCCTAGATCCTACAACAAACCTCACTCGCGACATTACGCACGGTTCTGGCCATGCCGACCAAAACTATGAGGACTGGGGGGTACGGTCTACAGTGGAAAATTATGTTGGCCGAGACCAAAAGTCCGGATATCCAAAACGCGAGCTAGGTGTCACTTGGCAAGGTCTTACTGTCCAGGTCGCGAGTTCCGATACAGCCGTCCACGAAAACATCGTTTCACAGTTTGACGTCTTCAAACGAATCACGGAATACCGCAAAAAGCCACCTCTTCGAGCCATTCTTGATAATAGCCATGGCTGTGTCAAGCCGGGGGAGATGCTTCTTGTTCTTGGACGACCCGGCTCGGGTTGCACCACTCTGCTCAGGCAGTTGAGCAATCAGAGGCACGGCTATACGGACGTGTCTGGCAGCGTGTATTACGGCAGCCTGTCTGTCCAAGATGCAGGGAAATACCGCGGCCAAATCATCATGAATACTGAAGACGAGCTCTTCTTCCCAACTTTGACGGTAGAGCAGACGATGGATTTTGCAACTCGGCTAAAAGTACCTTTTCGGCTTCCAGAAGGCATTAGTACGCAAGAAGAGATACGGCTGGAAACACGCGAGTTCTTACTAAGATGTTTGGGAATTGAGCGTACCAGGAATACTAAAGTCGGCAGCGAATATGTTCGTGGCATTTCAGGCGGCGAAAGAAAGCGAGTGTCCATCATTGAGACCTTAGCCACAAAAGGATCGGTCTTCTGCTGGGATAACTCGACGCGGGGCCTCGATGCTAGTTCGTAAGTACGTTCAAGTACCTACCCCCTTCAGACATGATACTCACAATCTTTACAGAGCACTTGAATACATCAAAGTTCTCCGTGCTATTGGCGATATCACCGGGATAGCCTCCATTGTTACGCTGTACCAAGCTGGAAATGGTATATACGGGCTCTTCGATAAGGTGCTTGTCCTTGACGGCGGGAAGCAGATCTTCTATGGCCCTAGGCGTGAGGCCGCCCCTTTTATGGAAGCGCTCGGCTTCATCTGTCAGGATGGTGCGAATATTGCCGATTTTCTCACCAGTGTGACAGCCCCAGCAGAGAGAAAGACCCAGGCCAACAAATCGTTTCCGACAAGTGCAGAGGAGATCCGGAAGCAGTACGAAGCATCGCCCATCTATGAAAGCATGGTAACTGAATACGACTATCCGCAAACTACCGAAGCCTTGGAAAAAACCCATCTGTTTGTTGAAACTGTCAAACTTGAAAAGGATGGCTCCTTGGGGAGAAGTAATCCAATGACCGTATCCTTCACTGCACAGCTCATGGCCTGTATCAGAAGGCAGTATCAAATCCTTTGGGGCGATAAGGTGACAGTGGTCATTAGGCAGGCTGTCAACCTCATCCAGGCATTTATATCAGGATCCCTTTTCTACAATGCACCTGATGATTCATCTGGTGTCTTCTTGAAAACCGGCGCTTGTTTCCTTGCCCTACTGTTCAACATCCTCATGTCAATGTCCGAAGTTACTAGCTCTTTCAGTGGCCGGCCAATTCTTATAAAGCATAAATCGTTTGCTTTCTTTCACCCAGCTGCATTCTGTCTTGCACAGATCGCTGTTGATATACCTATACTTCTCGGCCAGATCTCGGCATTTTCTGTAATCTTATACTTCCTTGTTGGCCTTGATAAGTCGGCAGAGAGCTTTTTTACTTTCTAGGTTATTTTGATTTCCACTACAATGGTGAGTAAAGACTTGATACAGGAGACTGGTTGCTAACCAATACAGTGCATGACTGCTATATTTCGAGCTATCGGTGCATCTTTCCAGACCTTCGACGCAGCATCCAAGGTATCAGGTCTTACCTTGCTCGTAGCAGCTATGTATGCAGGATATATGATCCCCAAAACTGACATGCACCCATGGTTTGAGTGGCTGTTCTGGATCAATCCAATAGGGTACGGCTTGGAGGCACTCTTGGCCAACGAATTCCACGGTAGGACGATTCGGTGTGTAAACAATAACTTGATACCGAACGGCCCGGGCTTTCAAGAGGAGCATCAGTCATGTGCCGGCATTGGTGGTGCTTGGCCAGGCCAAACGTTTGTGAAAGGGGACGACTACCTTGCATCCCTAACATACAGCCACGGCCATATCTGGAGAAACGTTGGCATTCTTTGGGCCTTTTGGGGACTCTTTTGTGTCCTCACTATTGTGGCCACCATGTATTGGAAGTCGCCTTCGGATGGTCGACCCAGTCTAGTCACACCTCGTGAGCTCGTTTCTAGAGCTTCAGTGCCTCACCGGGTCGACGAAGAAGCACAAACGTCAGAAGCGCCAACCCTTCCCAGTAATACCCCTTCTACGTCGGAGAAGTACGAAGCCGATAATAGTCAGACAGGCTTAATCCGCAACACCAGCATATTTACTTGGAAGAATCTCACCTATACAGTCAAGACGCCATCAGGTGACCGCGTTCTACTAGACAACGTCCAGGGTTGGGTTCAACCGGGCGTATTAACAGCTTTGATGGGTTCTTCCGGCGCGGGTAAAACGACCTTACTCGACGTCCTAGCCCAAAGGAAGACTGAAGGCACTATCAGGGGATCCATCACGGTTGACGGTTGCCCGTTGCCTATTTCTTTCCAGCGATGTGCTGGTTATTGCGAACAGCTTGATGTGCATGAGCCTTACGCAACAGTGCGTGAGGCACTAGAATTCAGTGCTTTACTCCGTCAGGACCGCAAGATACCATACAAGGAGAAGCTGAGATATGTTGATGTCATTATCGATCTCCTTGAGCTGCACGATATCGCAGATAGGCTCATCGGCAATATTGGAAATGGCTTGAATGTGGAGCAGCGAAAACGAGTCACTATAGGCGTCGAGCTGGTGTCAAAGCCCAGTATTCTCACCTTTCTCGATGAACCTACGTCTGGTCTTGATGGGCAGTCGGCATACAGTACTGTGCGGTTCTTGCGAAGGCTTGCCGCCGCAGGACAAGCAATCCTCGTCACAATCCATCAACCCTCAGCCCAACTTTTTGGCCAGTTTGACAGGCTACTGCTGCTCACCACAGGCGGCAAGACAGTTTACTTTGGGGATATTGGTAATCAAGCACAGGTTGTGAAGAGCTATTTCGAGCGGAATGGCGCCCCATGCCCGGTCAAGGCTAACCCTGCCGAGCATATCATTGACGTTGTCTCTGGAGCACAGTCTCAGGGCAAGGATTGGAGCCAGGTGTGGCTCTCTTCGGGAGAGTATGAGGTGATGTCAAAAGACCTAGAACATCTCATATCAACAGCTGCCTCTCACTCAGCGAGTCTTCTCGACGATGGCTACGAGTTTGCAGTACCTCTTTGGGAGCAGATTAGACTTGTATCAAAGCGGATGAGTATTTCACTCTGCCGCAATACAGGCTATGTCAACAATAAGTTTATCCTCCACATTTTTGCTGCCTTGCTTAACGGTTTCAGCTTCTGGAAGATAGGGAACTCCTACGGTGATTTGCAACTGTACATGTTTACTATTTTCATGTTCATCTTTGTAGCGCCAGGGGTCATTGCCCAGCTTCAACCGCTCTTCATCAGCCGCCGTGATGTCTTTGAGGCACGCGAGAAGAAGTCAAAAATATACTCATGGGTTGCTTTTGTTACTGGACTTATTATCTCAGAGGTTCCTTACCTTGTTATCTGCGCTGTTTTATATTTCATCTGCTGGTACTATGCAGCTGGTCTCCCCTCCGATACATCTCGTTCCGGCTCTATCTTTTTTGTAATGCTTATGTACGAGTTCCTCTACACAGGCATTGGGCAGTTCATTGCAGCATACGCACCCAATGATGTTTCAGCGTCCTTGGTCAACCCGTTACTCATTGGCATATTGGTTTCTTTCTGCGGCGTGCTCACGCCGTACGACCAAATCCCAACGTTCTGGCGCCACTGGATCTACTGGCTCAACCCCTTCAACTATCTCATGGGGAGCATGCTCGTCTTTTCCTTTTGGGGGAGGGATATTGAATGCAGCCAAGCCGAACTCGCCGTCTTCAATCCCCCGAACGGGTTAACCTGCGGCGAATATCTCGGTGAATACCTTGCTTCACCATACGGTGTACTGAACAATTTGACCAATCCCAGTTCCCTCAGTGACTGCAAAGTGTGTCCTCTGACACGCGGTGAGGACTTTCTTTACACACTGAATCTGGAGACATACCACTACGGATGGCGGTACGCTGCAATTGTTGTTATATTTGTTCTCAGCTCATACGGCCTAGTCTACCTCTTGATGAAGCTGAGATCCAAGACGTCAAAGACAGCGCAGTAATTACTATCACCTGTAATACACAAGGGAACAAGCTGCGGGGACTGTTTTGTTGCGAATCACTAGCTCGCCTATCTACCCGAGCTGACACTAGACAGATAACTTGAAAAGTCTACCTACTTCATGTAACCTAATTAGATTGTTTTAGTTCGACCTTTTCTCTTATATGGGGAGCTAGATCACGCCCCAGCTAGATCCGCGTCCCTTTTTTTTATCCATTTGTTGAATAACCAAACCAGTGTACGAAAAGAATTCGTTCATTTTGCTAGGGATGTTTTCTTCCGACTGGTGTGAACCCGCCGTTTTCTTCTTCTGCCCCTCTTAATATATGTCTCCCAGTCTCTCTTTAGATTTTATTTCTGCTAAGTTTCAACATTCAAGTTTGAGGATCAAATATGTACTCTCAATCGATAGATAAGTAAATATACTTAGATATTAGCAAGATACCTGAATTACAAGTAACCTCGCTCAATTCTAGGCATGTCGTATAGCTTTTGGGGCCACAATGAAGCCAATTATAAGTTTGCAGGACCCTTGATCCTTACGTACCTGAGTACTAAACCGGGATGTAACGTCTCTCACCATTCTACCGTCTTGGCTGATCGCGAACTGACTTTGGGGCGATCCCGCTAAGAAATCCAAGAGCGAGATGACACCCAAGAGCTAATATAAGCAAACCAATCTACCTCCAAGTCATGCTTGTAATCTATTCACCAGGATACATGGGCATCACTCAAGACTTCTCGGTGCTTTTCCCTATCAGCAAAAATGGAAGGCAAAAATCCTACGATCCGACTTCTTGGCGCTACCCCTGACGACAGCGAGCGGCATCGGGCCTCTTTTGTACAGATCCACATGTTCGGAATGATCCCGACGGTATTGAGCAGAACACGTAACGTGTGGCAAGCTCTTTTCGGGCCCCGATACAAATCCGCAACCGAAGGGCCAGTAGCAGTTGTCATTGGTGAAGTTCATGAAAAAATTTCACTTGTTACATTACTCTTTGCTTAACTCTTTCTAGGCCTAAACTATTTCAAAACTGTTAGTTAAAAGTTAGTGAATGTGGAAAGAGCCGGCCATCCTCAATCTGCCACGAACAACACTAGCCACTAGATAAACGAAGTGAGGTTGTCAATCATCATCAGCAGAGCAGGCTTAATATGTTTAGAGGCCGCAATCGCTTCAGAGAGAAAGGAACATGATGTTCTGGAGGAGCATCCCGAATGGGGGATGTAGGTGCTAGTATCAAGATCCCTCTGAATAGCTCCCGCTTGCTCAAGGAATATGGTGCATATGATGAAAATCGAAAACACGCTGTATTAACAACATATATATTTCCCAAGATATCTAACAGGAGATATTTATTAGACGGACACCGCTTTATCAACCTGAATAACCTTCACCCCTTCAGCCGTGCCAGTACCAACCCAGGCTTCACTGGGCAAGTTATTCCTCCCTTAGGGAGCGCATGAAGTTTCTTTTTCAAGAACTTATAAGAACTCAGATAATCATTCAACACCATAATCCCATCCCAGGATCAATGTGAGAATTAAAGTCTCGGGACAGTGGGCCATGAGAGAAGACCCAAGCCCACTGCTGTGGTGGTCAGCGGCTTCCGCGGTTTCCGCGCTTCTTACTTCCCGAGCTCCCGTGTGTTCCACGATTTCCGGAGCATGAAATACGAGTAGTAGCATGGTGCTTAATTCATCCCTGCAACTCTATTGGCTAGACATTACTTAATTGGGCAGGATTGACATGGAACTCGGCGCATAGTAATGGGCTGACTCGCAGGGCATACTCAGAGAATGTTTCTACGGCAGGGAGTCAGTCATCAAATTATTGTTAGAATCACCCGCGCACATTGTATCCAAAATGTTTCTGATTCAGCATGGTATGCTTTAGCTTCAAAGAGCAAACCGCATGAGATTTTAAGTCGTCAATGGGATTCGCACCACAAATATGCTTACTATCAAAAGAGGTCGAACAAGTTCAAACGATTCAAGCAAAGAATGTTAATTTTGGTTTTTGGCGTTCAATATCAAAAACAATGCGGAATGGCTCTATTATAATATTCCGAAGAAAACCTGAAAAGAAATAACAACAAACTTCGTCCCTGTCCCCTCAACATTCTACCCAACTTCAACCTAATCTAGAAATCTGAGTCCTAACATAAGCAGGACCTTAAACCTGGACCATCCCCAAGAATGCAGTCCCAAGTACCAAGGATGCAACCAGGATACCACCTGCACTCACACCGTGCTTCGGGGAAGCATTGTTCTTATCGTCATCCTTCGAGTTCTTATCGCTAGTAGACGTGGAGGAACTAGAGCTGGAGGTACGCGTGCCGGTGGCAGAGAGCGAGCCAGTGCCAATGATCGTAGCCGTGACGCTGGCTGGAAGCTCGCTGAGGTTCGTGGCGGTTGCCGTCGCATTTCCGTCTCCCTTGCAGAAAACATCGCCCCAGGCGGCCTCCTTCCCGTAGAGACAGTCGATGAGGTCCTGGGTGCTCTGTCCGGAGGCGAGGCAGTACAGTCCGCAGTCATCGTAGTAGCTCACGACGGGGGCACTCTTGCAGCAGGCCTTGAGGAGGTTGGCATTGCCGTTGCTGAATGGCATTGCGCAGACGGCATCGGAGACTGGTGTATCATAGAGATTTGAGCATGCTGCCGAGGTAGAAGGGCGAGCTGAGGAAACGGTGGTCGAAGACATGTTGATTAGAGGAAGTACTGAAGAATATCAAATTAAGCGAGTGTCTTGGAGATTTTCGAAAATTCAAACGAATGTATTTGGAAGTGAATATGAGTAGAGAACACCATATCATCGTGGAATGCTCAATCTTTAAGGCAACTCACGGAATCCGCGGATGATGGTGATGGATGCCCAGCGCCCCACCCCCTTGTACGTGTCAGTCCTAAGTTTCGTATGCAAGATTTCTTAAAATTCTAGTTCTATTTTTAAGGGGCAGCCAAGCCTCCTTCGATCCACTAGAGTCCATTGTTTGTTCAGACGTCATAAGGGGTTGAATCAGATGTCATCAGATCTGCGGTGCCCGAGGTGCCCCTAGGCTCAACGTGAGTACCAGTCGCAAAGTCGAAAGTCCTGTTCACAACAAGGTGAACTATGTTTAAGAACAAAAGAAATGACCTCAATATCGTAATCAGGGCGTTCAATAATGCTATTAACAGTATAGTCAGTCACCTTCAAGCTATTGCACAAGCATCTCATGAGGGTCCATACGGGAAAATCGTATCACATCGAGACGGGGCGGTGTTTCTTGCAAAATTCGCCCGATATTTGCGTGTATTCAACAGGACCTGTATATCTATTCCTACAATTCTATATAATTCCGAGCCCAACAAAGAAATAGTCCATCGCACCGCGAATGGGATAACCGTGCCTTAACCACCATAAGTGTATTTTCCAACTCGAGGTCCCATCTCACAGTCAGTCCGTCCTGCAGATGTCTCTTTTCCTTTAAAATAAGCAGGAGTTTATCATAAGCCCTCCGTAGAGTTCTCCTACATTATCTTGCAACGAGACTCAACGCCGGCTTTTGCACAAATTTTCAGGTATGCGGACTCACAGCAACACATACCAAGGTTCGATCCATTTATTGAAACATGCCTCGCCCCCCTCCAAAGAACCAATCGGTTATTTCTGGTGGTGCAAGCCCGTCACTCAGGTTCATGCCCGTGCCAGGGGCTCCCAAGCCCATCTGTCCCATGAACTCGTCATACTCATGATTGAGTGCCCCATCCTGATCACCCTGCCAAATGTCCTCGTGGTACGCACATGCAACATCGCACATGGTTTTGCATAGGCTAAAGAGCTTTTGTGCTGTATCTGATGCTTCCTTCAGCTTATCTAACGACTCCGCAAATGCCTTGAGAAGGTTGAGATCCTCAATATCCACCCGTTCAATAACATGGCAGAAGAGGATGAAGAAGGGGGCAAATGGGGTCAACATCATTGTCCTATCCAGTCTATCATTAGCAGCGGTCAAGCGAGAAGGCGTCTGGTGCGTTGTTACTTACCAGCTAACATACGTCTGCTTTAGATATGAACTATCGCCAAGAGTTCCAAGGCCATTGAGGTGGCACTTGATCGCATTCCGCGACGACTCGAGGCATTCATTAGAAAATTGACTACCAGAGCCCTCGGGTGCTGGGATGACCCGATGCACGAACGTCGACATGACATAAAACTGCACTTTGCTGCTCACAACAAACAAATTGATGAGGTCAGATGGATCTGAAGCGGATTTGAACTGTGATGAGGAATCTCCATCCAGCTTCAATATCTCCTTTTCAATGGCCATGCATTCGTTTCCAAGTTCTCTGGCTCGTGAAAGCAGCTCCATCGGCGATGCTGACATTGCCTCCTTGCTATACCTGTTTGCGGAACCGTCAGTTATCAGTGGGAAACGTCAGCTGTCAGGGAGATCACGAACAATTGCTCATAGGTGCGCGACCGAATTGGACTTGTCAAGAGCCAAATTTTGGGCACGTCCGCCTTCTTGAGTTGGTCCCACGCCGCCAAATCAAGCTTCTTCGGGATGGTGATATCCCAGTCCGCAACAACAGACGCGCGCCCAAGCCTCAAGCTGAGGGCTTTGTCGAACACGAAGGCCTGCCAGAACAGATTCGACTTGATCCGTGTCATTTCCGCGTCGTTGTCCATACACTCTATTCGGTGGAAGCCTCCATCTTGGCAGAGCTGGACGGCTTGTGCATTCAGCTGCCAGGCGACGGCGGGCCAACACATGTCCACCGAGTACGAGACAGCCAGGAGGAGGGCCTGTATGTTGATGACTTTTGCTGGCTGAAATAGAGGGATGTGCTTGATGAGGGTGTCCAGATTCGCCTGACAGAGTTGGGCGTAAGATCGGTATTCTTCCTTGAGCCTCAGATTGGCTGTATTTGACCCCTGCTCGGAGAAAAGAGCGAACAGGCTGGCATTCACGACTGTCAACTGGGCATGGGTGGCTGTATGAGGGCTGCTGTAGGTAGCACCGGCAAGTTGCGATAAGTCTGTGATGCCGACTAGGGCGGAGTTATAAACAAACATGGTAGGACCTCCAGCTTCAATTATCACACATTAGTCAGATGAAATAGCTTATGCAAAAGGGGGACAATCTTTAACGAACTTTGAGCTTCCTTGAGGAGAGTCATGGCAACAGTATACGGAGGCAGAGGTAGGTTTTGTAGGCCTCCATCTGGGACTGGACGCTGCATGGGAAACCGCTGGTCGAGACTCGTCGACCATCGTCGTTGTCCTTGCACAAGCTCTCTTAATTTGGTCAGGGCGGAATGCACATTTGGGTTGCGCTCCCGTACCCGCCCTTGCGCCACTGCATGCTCCAGAAAATCACTGGCCTGTAGAGTCTGCATCCGAAGCGTGTAATCGCCGTTGGGACGAAGGTCATCGCCACTGGCTGGGTCGCTCCACGTTGTGCTGAGGACGTCTATGTCTGAACTGGGCTCTGCGGATCCTGGGGCGGATGAGGCGGCCGATAGATTGACGAGGGCATCTTCAATATTCTTCAGCCTGTCGTCAATCACGTCCATCTTCTTCTCACTACGATCCAGAGTCAGCACTAGGAACAAAGGCTTGAACACGCCAGGCACAGAACCTACTATTCACTGGTGACGAAGATCCGCGACCTCGCCTCTCGATGGCGGATCGTGCCGACGGTACAGGCATAGCCAGCCGTGACACAGCACGAGCAAGGGGATGTTTTGTCACATCGGATCTAGATACGCAGATGCATAAGCGTCGGTTATAATTGCCGGAGTCCACGGGGAGCGGGCAGCAGGAATCTAACCTTTCTTTTGCGACATTGATCACACTACATGGTATTAATAGAGATCATCAATAGGAGGGATCCTTCCGTTATTGAGACAGTGGGAGAGGGGGACGAACCGCTTTTTTGACAGAGAAGGCCTCCAAATCAATCTCGGCCGAGCTCGACATTGTGAGTTTTATGAGAATGAAAAGGAACAACAGGGGAGAGGGTCTGCTGGGTCGGTCTTCTTAAACCCACAGGTGGCGCCCGTGAATCGTCAGTTCAAAGGAGCGTATGAATCCGTCTCTTTCGCAGAGTTATATCTCCCAACTCATGAAGTCATGGAAGAGAGAAGCTATTTTTAATCAAGGCTCATCCAGCCTCAGATGCAATAGGGGTCCAAGACAATACGGTCCCGTGTTTTCATTGATCTCACCCTTACGTGGCAGCCACAGGGACAGTGAAGGGCTGAGGTGGAAGAGAAAAACGGCTTATTTTCGACCCCTGGGGCAGCGGCATGACGTCGATTTGACAGTTCCATATGAAAACAGTGGGACGGAATCCGCGGAGCCGAGTTGTGACATGCGCAAAGAGGCCAGTCATTGGTTGTCAACCCCATCCTAGCCCGAACCACCTCAAGACCGAAGTTTAAGCCCGACCGAAACTGTGGCCCATTCTCAGCCTTAACCAACAGATGATCCTCGTATTTTCTTATAAGGACCTTGGAGTTTTACCAGCGTTCCGGAAGAATTAAGCAGGAGACTCAGACATATCCAAAGTTGATATGCTTGACTAAACGAAATGGTATTCTCTATGTATCTAGACCGATTTGCTGTCTTTCCGAGCAAGAGATGTCTGTATTAATAATCCCACAGCAGAAAAAATCTTCTCTTAGCGCACTAACCTAAAGTTTTAGGCGGAAGCGGAAAGCAACCCTGCCGGAAAGCGAAGTGGCGCAGACAATGTTTAGTGGATTAAGGCAGCCTAGGATGCTTGATCAGCCATCCATTAAGGTAGTTGAGAACTCGTTGTACCTAAGACGCGTCCCTTAGTGTCCCGCCCTTGCATGAACGACGCGGATGGCAGCCCTGAGCTAACGATGGGCAAACGGCTGTTTATCCAAGATTAAGCTCGTATCCCTTTGCTTATGCCTTGATCTGGCAACTCCCTGCCAAGCGCACCGCCTCAACTCTATTACAGTCAGCCCCGTTTTGCTTGTGGCTGTGCGGAGACTGTCCGGACTTTCAAAGGAGATTGTCCGGACCTCTAGAAAGTGGTTCCCCGGAATGTGTCCCGGCTGGAGCATGACTCGGATGTTTGTTCATGCTGATCAGTCCGTGCAAAACAAGCAGATGACCTGGAACCACTAACAGCATTAACGCCTTCTCATACCGGCAGTTCAATTAATGGTCTCCATTAACGAGCTTCAAATTCGAAACAGACCAGTGAGAGCAGGTAATTGACTGGATGGAGTCCAGGTTGGCCCTCACTATAGACCTACCCTGTAGCTCCCACTCACGCGACAAATTCAACACTGTAATGCGTTTAAAGAAAATTCTTTCGAGTTTCCTCATTGGAAGAATGAAAGGATGATCGCGTAAGTCCAAGCAGTTTAATCTGGCATTTGCATAACTCTATCATCCGCTCGCTACAATACGTTGTATTTATTCATGCCCATTGCTATCAGCTTCTATTTTTCACGTATTTTCCCCATTTTGAGTATATGCCCATACTTGAATCAAAATTTTGCATTTCCGAGACTTTCGCCTCAATGAGTAGGCCACATATAGGCTTCTTCTCATTTGCCCCAACTCTAAAATCACGATGAGGCAAGCTATGAGTTGTGAGGTGAGCAACAGACCCTTTGCCTCTGTGTAAGTCTGAGTTCCTGAGCAGATTTTTCGTCGAATATCCCAAGAATTCCAGGCCTACACCTCGGTGCCCGGGACGATATAGACCCCACATCACCCCGCTGAATGCCGCTGAGAATCACCAAGATCTTAGACTTCGCCGAGATGCATCCTCATGGCTAGGCCCGTCGGGGTGCTACCGGTGAATGGATTTCCGAGGCCTTCCACACTGTTACCTAAAGTTTGGGAGAGGTGCCCTGGCTTCTGTAACCTCACCATTATATTCTAATCTAAGCGGTTGCCAGATGATCCTTGAACTTTCCATCCGAGACTCTGAGATGGTTTGGTAACCACCAAGCACATGCAATCTAAGTCTAGAGAATCCTGCCCTTCCGGCTTTTCAGCATTCAGAGTAATACTGACGCCCAGTTCTACCTGTTCCAGCCTTGGAATTAGAGCGGGCGGCATGAAAATATGACATTCGTGAATCGGTTCACTTAAAATCTTCATCTACTGTAAAGTGTATTGATGCCGGGCCACCGAGAGAATGGAGTAGTGGGCGGATTATACCTTGGATGTTAGTCGAGGGAAGTTCTGGTTGCATTCCTGGGTCTTGGTATATACCATCACTCATAAGTCTGCCGACAATCCATGCCGTTGTTGCCTTTCTCGGGCTTGCGTGGTCTCGCGAAAGGGTTTCCTTTTGCTCCACACAGTGGCTGCGAAAACTCGAGCATGGCGTCGAATGCAAGAGAATCATTCCATAGCAGAGCTTCTTGAAGGTCATTCCCCGTGATAGATCGCTAGTGTCGGAGGCGCTTCCTCTCTTGCTCGATCTAATCTTCAAACTATCTGTTTACTACTAGTGAGGTGTAATTGTCTTCTAGATAGTCGTCCAATCTTCAGGACTCATATAGAGCGTAGTTGGAAGCAGGCATGGGAATCGGTGATTGTGAGATCTCAGTCAGCAGTGAATGGGGAGGGAGGCTTGCCGTAGCGACAATTTCTCTCACGAGCACCTCGGGGGTGTCTTGTAGATCTCGCAGCTGGGAAAAGCAGGTGGTTAAAGGCTATTGAAGCAGATCTCTATAGTATACCTGCCCCTGGATTGGGACTCGCAAGACTATCACAGCTCTACGCTGATAGTTGTTACAGTACCTTGGCGTTTAAGAACGAGGCGTGCACAAGCCGTCTCCGGCTGGGCAGCTCCGATAACTACCACAGCAACTACACCATAACATTCGGAAGCACTTCTGGAGCAATGCCAGCTGCTGTGGGCGTCGTCGTGGCTACTTTCGATACTAATGTTGCATAAATCAAGTGCACAGTTCCTGTAATAGACAAGCCATATCAATACTAAGATAAGAGTTCTAATAACACCCTCACATTCTGGAAGAAAATCGCAACTAGCCAGCCGAAGTTATACGCATCAACGACGCCAATAACAGTCTTGTCAACGTACACAAAGGCGGATATCGTCGACTAAATGCTCATCCTCTGGTCGAACTTTCGAATAGCTTAGAGAGAATTCGATGGAGTACCTGAGGCTATAAAACCTAGATGTCTACAGCTGCTGTAGAGTTTGGGGAAATTATCTTTGAAACGTGATTAAGTTTTGGAGTTTAGCATTTACATACATGGAAAGGATGTTGTATCTACCAAGGGAAAGAGTAATTGACAGAATATAAACCAGCAAAATCGCGAATGAAACTACGTCAGCGCGTACTACTTTTATAGTCAATAATTGAGTTGATGGCAATATACCCTAATGATACAGAAGAGAGTAAGAATATAAGTTACAAGAACAGAAAATGCCAGACTCGATATCTCAACACAGTGAATAATGTGCCCTGATTATAAGGGACGTTTAACAAAAAAGAATACTAGTCAGACTTTATCATTTATCCTGTCTTTCCATGGTATAATAGCAAATTATTAATATCCTGTTATCCCCATACCTAGGCGAGCAGCACTTTATTCCTAATGTCACCCAAGTCAACACGGCAGTGGCTTACGTTAAAGTACGATGTCCCTTGTATATATTCTAGGCTAAACTCAGTGTCTCAATCGTGTTTCCGGGCAGCCAAGTGTGTGCACCACTGTTATGGCTTCCACAAATGCCTGCACTTCTCCAGGTATCGAAACGGAGGCAGGCATTCTCAATGATCAACAGTACCCTAGCATTGCCCCCGGTCTGGGGCTGAACTCAAGGATCGCTAGCCGATCCTAATAGCGGAGACTTGGAAAAGAGCCAACCCTATCGATGGCTCCATCAGATGTCCATACTGGCATACGACCACAATCAGTCAGAAGAATTCATGGGAAACAGACATCTGAGATTTGTACGACCCCCATTCCGATCTCGAATTGGGCGGTAAAGAATTAAGCCCCAAGCTACACTCCAAAGTTCGCTACCATGGGCTGATGGATTCGGGATAGATGGAGAGTAGTGCGTGCTCTCACCTAGAGATCGTCTCTGCACAAAACAATACATGCCCCTTTTATGGGCATCCGTCAACAGATTTATGGCTCGATTCAGCCGAGTCAGGCGGCAATTGCTTGTTTGGCGCTATGATCGAAACGTAATGCCGCTATTCATGTTAGCGTTGACAACCTCATGGCACAGATCGGAGCAGTAACTCCGATCAGCTAGATCGAGGGGGATCCATCAATCAGCATCTAAGCCCAAGGTGCGATCAGCTCCCAATTTCCGAAGCAGACAAGCATACCTTGCCCAAATGGTCGAGAACCAGCACAGTGGGACCAGGCACACGTTGTGTCGGCTTATCCACTCTTCAAGTGGCCCATAAGCCATATGTCTTGTCTTTTGTTTTTCTCAGACGCTGGAACTTCATCTACAGCGGCCAACACACTCTTTTGTTTTTGTTCCATCTAGCTGTTTTGCACTCTGCCTCGAGCAGGAGCGTCCATTCTTTCGCCACTGTCACTCGTTCGACAACACTCTCACTTAGAGGACGATGTATTTCACAAACATCTTTCTCTTCGGGCTGGTCGCAACCGCGACTGCCCTGCCCCAAAAGAGAGGAGGGAGGAGAAAGTGTTCAAGCGTCTTTCCCTCGACGACTGGAACCTCCGATCGCGTTTCGACAACCCCGATTCTCAGCAGCTCGTCCTCGATCGTCGTCACTCCAACCTCAAGCGATCCTTTTTCAACCCCAATCGTCTCGACTCCAGTCTCCAGCAGCGCTACTCCTAGCACCTCCAGCGAGGTAGCCTCGACTCCGGTCAGCTCCGAATCCTCTGCTACTACCCCTGGCACGACCCCTCCAGCCAGCACAACCCCGGAGAGCTCGACCGTTGCCAGCTCGACTCCAGGCAGCTCTACTGAATCCAGCACCCCCATTGCGAGCTCAACCGATTCCAGCTCTACAGTTCCCAGCTCAACACCCAGCAGCACGAGCGAATCCAGCACCCCAGTTGAGAGCTCAACAGTTCCTAGCTCAACTCCCAGCAGCACAAGCGAATCTAGTACCCCAGTTGCGAGCTCAACCGTTTCCAGCTCTACAATCGCCAGCACAACTTCCATCGCCAGCACAACTGCGGCCAGTACAACTGTGGCCAGCACAACTGCAGCCAGCACGGGTCCTGCTCGGCCCCGACCAACAGCTGCCGGAGATATTCCAGCTGGCGTGGAATACCACTCATGCACATTCCCTGGCCAGGTTGGTCTTGCGTTCGCCCAAGGTCCTTACGCCTACACAGCCGAAGCTCTCGATCTCCTCGACGCATCTGGCTTCAAAGCAACCTTCTTCCTCAATGGAAACAACTGGGGCTCCATCTACGACTATTCAAGCGTCGTCCAACGAATGTATACTTCAGGTCACCAAATTGGCTCCAACACGTACGTAACTAACTCATCCGCCGTCTCCATTGGCTATTGAAGTATATTGTTAAGATAAACTCGCTAATTAAATCCATCCAGCTGGAACAATGCCGATCTCTCCACTCTGGACAAAACCGGGATCGAGAATGAACTATACCAGCTTGAAGATGCCTTGCGCAGCATCGTCGGCGTGTACCCTACGTATCTTCTACCTCCCAACGGCAATACGAACCAACTGGTCCGCGACACGGCCGCTAGCTTGGGCTATAAAATCATCAAGCCCGACATCATCACCTATGACGAAGAGCACCAATCGGATATCCAAACGGCCATCAGCAACTTCGACTCTGGTCTGGACGCTGGCGGTAGCATCGCTTTGGTCCACGACGTCTACCAGGCAACCGTGGAAAGTATGCTCCCGGCGATGATCCAATCGATCCAACAGAGGGGCCTTACCGCTGTCACGTTGGCCCAATGCTTTGCCAGGCCTGCATCTTACTCTTACTCCACAGCTCCTTAGGGACAAAGTCGAGGAGACGTGTAATATCTTATTGGGTATCACGACTTGGCAAGAGATGACTGGTTGTGCATGTAATGTTTAGTCCTAATAGTCATAGCGTCATATGTAGCTACGGGCGGTTGCATCCAATTCGACTTTTGAAACTTGGTTCGATGCCACTTTCTCGCGTCAAAGATCGTGTCAATCTAAAGTAATCGTGCAATGCAATAGTAATCCATCTTCTAAGGTATGATGAGAGCGGATCAATCTTTAAAGACCATTCAAAGCTCACTCGGAAGGTTCCCATAGCCCGGGGGACAGCTATTGATAGGGGGGGCTGTTGCACACTCTTAACTGTTCTGATAAATTAATGGGTTTGATTAACGATACATACATGGACCTTTGTTTCTGTTTCTAGCCTATCATACTTTACAAAACTTTTCAAAGTTTGGACATGGCTCATTGGGCAAGGCATAAACAATACTGCCTAGGTTTCAAAGAGGGAATCCAATCAAACGAGCGTACCAAATGTACTTTCAATCCTGCTGGCTTTTGCGCTAGATAGCACCATCACCGGCCAATTTTCAATTCATCTGCTAAGGGAAATTAATGCCAAAAAAAAAGACAAGGGAATAAAGTATCCCGAAAGGGGGTAATCGATGACGCTCTCGAACTACTCATGCCTAAGAAATGTTGTAAAGAAATTTCACCTCATTCTAACCTCTTCAGCTATGTAAGTCTTGAACTTGCGTGCCGAAGGTTTCATTTCAAAGATGTGGTCAATCTAAGCCGTCATCCGACGCTCCATATCGAGCAGGTGGAAGAGATAAGCATGATTTTGATCACAGTTCACTCCCATGAAGCTGAAACCGGTCTTGCGACCCAAGTCTCCTTGGTCTGGGCTAGATCAGAGGGGGGGACGAGCTTGGGGAGGGGATGACCTCTCGCTAGTTGCCCAATAGTTGTTGTCTTAGAATGACGATGGACGGATTCTTCTCGCCCGTAAAAACACATGTGGCAGGCCATGAGAGGAACGGTCAATACTCTCACGGCGGGTAAGGGATAACCGGCCGCTTCAGAAACCAGAGATACCGATAGCAGTCCAAGGAACGAAGACGGCACCCAGGGAGAACAAGCGATAGATGCAACGGTCGACTCGCGACTTGGGCTAAACTCCAATGCCATTCGCAACGATACCGACTTCTGTAGACGGTCAAAGCGAAAGGGCCGTTCGCCGCCGACACCGCTCCATATTCATGGAAGTGCGAAGGGTAAAACAATATGCACTTCTGGCTATCAATGTCGAGTCCTCTGCCCAACCATTATGATAGGCAAGACCAGAGCACACGTAGTAATATGCTGAGGCTCAGCTTTCTGATTTCTGACCGGAAAATATCAGGCGGAGGATTAACTCGGCCGTTCGATATTATCGGGCACAGTCAAGCTGTCAACGTTGTCGAAGAGTTCAGTTCAGTTCAATCTTGCTAGTCTTCGGAACTCACAGCTGACTCCTGCGTCGATGGTCTAGATGCGCATCGACAGAGAGAAACCTACAGCTTCTGGGTCCAAACCCCCTAAAACCCTGTGGGACGTTAGACGAGTTGTACGGTTTGAGAATGCCGGGCCGCTTGACGCTAAGGAGATGTTTCACTCCATTCGAAGTGCGAATTTCTGAATCACCAGAACTGCATCGTAAGCCCCTGGGATCGCACCAGGAGATCCCAGCCGGACAGTTTTCAATGCTAGTTCTGTCTAAGTACCAATCCCGTAGTTCCGCAACAGGACACAAGTTTCAACTGAATGATACTGAAAGAAGAGAAAGTTCATAAAGGATGATTACAAACTCAATAAGGGGTTAGATAGCAGTAAAATCCGGACCTGTTTTATCTAGAACTATTTGTACCAAAGTCCCTAGTGTTTACTCACACTGACAGCGGATATATGTAATAGTTTCGCATCCTACATCTCACTGAGGCTTGGCTTCCAATTCGCGTGGCTTTGATCCTGAGATGCGGGGTATCGAACTGCCAGGTGAGACTTTCCAAATTGCACAGGCGATCAAATCCCAAATGCCTAGATAATGTATGCGCAAGAAATTTCTTGCACTTGGGAAGTGAGAGATCTCGTTAGCCAGTTTATGACCCAAGTCGGGGTAGGGATAAGCCGAGAGTCTGTAAGACAGAAACACCTGGATCCCTACATATGGGCTGACGTGACATGCAGGAGATGCGAGTCTGGTACCTACCTTAGTTTAGAACCGGCGTATGGACTCAAGCCTGTTGACTTGGTGAAAGGATTAGTCCGCTCCAAATTACCGGTTTTTGAATCAAGATTGCCAAATGATCGAGTATTACCTGCATCCTGTGTTATCCGAATCGTAGCGCCTGTCATCATCGAGGAACACCAACTTGTACCGATCTGCCAATGGTCACAGAGACGTAGCGATGCAACGCACAAAGAACACCGGTACTACCGCACAGAGAACTTGACGGCGGGGAGTCTTGGGGGTCTCTGTACGCGAAGCAATCCTGCCAGTGAGCCAGGTTGGCAGCTTTCATCTGGAGATAGATGCCGACGATTTTATAAGATCCGCACCGGATCTCAGATTAGGTTTGGACATCGAGTTAACCAAGCTAGGCTGATAATTGCCTCATCATGAACTCTAGAGTCATCAATCCGACTGGCGATGGGCTCGCAGAAGATGTAATGGATATAACGGCAAGTTTGAACCGATATTGTTCCAAGTAATCAACACTGAAAACTCTCGGTGTGGTGAGTTGTTTGTTTCCATCCGAACCTGGCTGGAGCCACACGGACACTGAACTCTTCCAACGTGTGACTGATGATGCAAGTGGAGCAGGAGATGGAGCGGGCGGAGGGATTAGACCAAGAAAGCAGAGATTGTCAGATGTAACCCCGCAAGTGAGCTAAATTGTTGCTTGGCTCCCTGGAGACGCGCCACCGGTACCGTATCAATCGTCAACCCAGTCGACGGTAGGCATTACACGGGGTAGCCATGCAATATTTCGTCACTGCGTTACATGGGATGAGGGAGATGGGATATTTGTGTAAGAAGGCAAACAACAAATCCTGTTGTTGGCTCCCACGATAACATACGAAATGGCATGATCCAGGGTTGTCCCCCCCTGCCAATCTTTTTCCAGACCAAGGGTGAAAAGGGGGATGGAGAGATTTACGTCAGTCCAGCACAGGGTCGCGCCACCAACCAACAATATTGCACTCTGAACACCCTCACGACGATAATGGAGGAATCAGATTCTCGAAATAGCGCACGCCGTGCGGGGTAACATCAGCAGTGCTTTACAAGTTCAGAACTTCAGATAGGCGTGATCCATCGTGGTGCGACGCATCGGCTAACAGTAGCTCGGCTCAGCTCATCAGGGTCCCTCAAAAGTACTTGCTCCTGCATGGATGGCATCAAAGTGTATTCTCTAGCATTCTTAGGTTGATCCACGTCACACTGGATCTCCGGTGAGGCCGAGGGTGCGATGTGATATCGTCGCTGGATGGTGGGATTCTAGATGGATGGGTCAGATGCCGATCCGCTGTCTTGGAGGCCGCACGGCGATGGACACGAGAATTGAGGCTACTGCACTGCCTTCCTGCAAGCATGGCACTTACGTCGATGGGTGGTTGTAACTTGTGCCCGGTGGGACAGGCAGGCCACGCATTTTGCCGGCAGCCAGGCCCTGCCAAGCTGGAGACTGCAGTTAGCGGGTTGATAGTCATATCTCCCACCGCTCGAACCGGCCTGACCTGCAGCGGATCGCCGAGACCAAAACTGGGCCTGTGGTTGTGTCTTGTCTGGGTTGGGTCTAGCATCTGGCTCAACTCCACGAACACACCTGAGCAGGCCTCCATCCTTCAGCTGGCCTGGGACGCTTGTGGGCTCACGGAGCACGCTGTGCCTAAAACAGGTTTCTCGTGGTGTGATGCAATGGCAAATGTGTACCACGGCTTGCATCACCCCGCGCCAAGGCATTGATGCAATCAATGGCCTTAGTTGAGGCCATGTGCTGGCAGCTCCGGTATAAAGAATGACAGCTTCTCCCCTCTGCCCGGCAGCTAGAAAGCTTGTGCCCATTGAATCCCGATCATCAAATCATCCACAGACGACGCTGCTCCATCTTCAAGTTTTCATCCGATCACAGAGAATCACTCTTCAAGATGTCTTACCGTGACAACGACAACGACAACGTACGTGCCTTAGTACGAGTGAATTATCATAGCTAGAGCGAGAGCTAACAAATTGCGTCCAGTCCGGCTCCTACGGTGGTAGCGACAGCTACGTATGTCTTTCACCCACGTGTATATGCCTCTCATTCAATCAGCTAACACTCATGCTAGGGATCCAACCGCAGAGACAATGACAGCTACGGGTCTTCCGGCCGCAATGAGTCTGACAGCTACGGCTCCTCTCGCCAGGAAAATGACTCTTATGGCTCTTCTGGCCGCACTGGCGGAAACAACACTAGCTCTTACAACACATCCAGCACCACCAGTGGCGGTACCTATGGTTCTTCTCGCCGGGATGATGACGATGACAATTCGTACGGCTCCTCCGGTCGCACCGGTGGAGGCAACAACAGCTCATACAACTCATCCAGCAACATCGGCGGAAGCAACACATATGGTTCCTCCCGCAAAGACGATGATGATGACAACTCTTACGGCTCTTCCCGCAAGGATGACAACACTTATGGTTCTTCTGGTCGCACTGGAGGAAGCAACACATACGGTTCTTCACGTAAGGATGATGACGATGACAATACGTATGGCTCCTCTCGCAAGGACGAAAGCACATACGGCTCTTCTGGCCGTACCGGTGGAAGCAACACCTACGGTTCCCGAAATGACGATGATGACAACTCATATGGTTCTTCCCGCAAGGATGATGATACTTATGGTTCTTCTGGTCGCACTGGCGGAAGTAACACATACGGCTCCTCGCGCAAAGACGACGATGACGACAACTCATATGGCTCATCCCGCAAGGATGAGAGCACATACGGCTCTTCCGGCCGTACTGGCGGAAGCAATACATACGGCTCATCCCGCAAGGACGATGATGACGACAACACTTATGGTTCAGGTAACAAGAGCTCATATGGGTCCAGCAAGAGAGACGATGACGATGACAACACCTATGGCTCTGGTAACAAGAGCTCCTACGGTTCCAGCAAGAAAGATGACGACGACAATACCTACGGTTCAGGTAACAAGAGCTCCTACGGCTCCAGCGACAATACCTATGGTTCATCCACTGGCGGCTATGGCTCGTCTAACCGCCGCGATGACGACGATGATGACAACGACAACAACAAGAAGGGCAGCACCTTCGGAAAGGTCTTGGATGCGGCTGGTGACATTCTGAGCAAGACTAACCTCAACGACCGCAACAACCGGGAATAGTCTGGGCAAAGGCCACCCGCGACATGTAATTTTGGTTATTTTCTTAGGTTGCGGATAGGTGATCCTCTCGGATCAAATTTTATGATAGCTTAATCAGTATGAAATGAAATCTGTCTAATTTTACGATTTGCCGTTCAAAATCCGCAGTGCCAATGAGTTTTTCATCAAATGGTTTTTCCAAGAAGGTAGGATCTGCCCATGAGCGGAAACATCGTTTTCCAAGTAAACAAGAGGATTGATAGATATAGATGACAATAACGCAAGATATGCATGCTCAGAGAAAGTCGAAAAATGAAAGGTAATTCTGTCCACCTAATTTTATATCAGTTACTATCACGAATATTGCTCCTCAAACAAGCCCCTCATTGAAGAGTAAGATAGGGCCACCTTGCATAGTTTATGACTGTTCAGAACTTCGAGACCTTGTTTTAGCTGCTGAAGAACCATCTAACTCGAGACAGAACGAAGTGTTATGGCTAGGAATAGCTGAAGACGGCGGAGTTGCAAAAGACATCAACTCATCATGCAGAAGCTGTTGCGTGTTGAGCTTGCTATGGTAGGTAATATTTTAGTTGAGCTATACGGGGAATGCATCATGCACCAGGCTGTGATGCTTATTTGTGGTAGTAGGCAAGGGTAAGTTCTAAAATTGATCCGCGCTTATCACAGGATACTTGGGTAGTCTAACAACGACTTAAATGTCAGACCATCCTCTATACTCCGATGATACCATCCTGTACGAAGAGTAGATATTCTAAATTCTCAAGACCGCCAGCTTTCATAAATAATAGCTCATTTTAGGAACTATTAATTCTTAAGGCACTTATCTATATATCTAAAAGGGAAGTTTGCTGAGTCTCCTTTGAATATATTGTCAGCTTGGAGTCTGGCTAAATCATAAAGGAAGTTCATGGACCCTTACATTCAGAAGCTGCTATCTTACTATTTCCGTACTCTTTTGAGGTCACGGCTTTGTACTCTCACGTGAAATCATGCCAACTACGGATGGCAGTTCGAGTGCAAAGATAAAACACCAATAAAAGATATCAACCCGACATCTCAACAAATTGGATATCCCAACTACAAAATACTTTGTAGCCTTTGCTGCGGAGGGTGGCGATAATGCGGACCAAATTGCGGAATGTAAGGTCATATTGCAAACAGGGCAACTGGGGCCACTACTAGAAATTTGGGACAAAGATTATGAATTTACAGATACTCACAGGTAGTCATCTACTCAAATCATTTGTTGCCCTTTAGTCAACAGTTTGCCTTTTCAATTATGAAGCTTTTGAACAGTTGCACTCTAACCCTCATACATAGACCGCTCTTGATCCCCTGATCGAGTGGTAAGGCCACTTCTGACATATCGTTGTGTAAGGAGGAGCAGCTGACGCAGTGGCGAGAGGGGGCAGCGATAGTTTAAATGGCTTGGGTCGCGAGAAGCTGCGCTGTTAGTTGCCACAAGCGGAATAGGGGTGTTTACCTAGATGCAGTATAAATCCAACACCAACAATAAGTTGATGGATCGTGTATGAATATCTCTCATTTCTAGCCATTGTAGCTACTTGAAGCTAGATCGAACCATCCTTCAAGGCAAAACAATTCCATACGGTGAGTACCTGCTCAAAAGGATGCGTTTCAAGCCCAATTCACCGTAGGCTCTCTGCCCATCACATCAAGCGAGGAAACAAATAGGAAATCAGGATCAACATACCAAGCCGCACGTGGGAGTAGGGCGGTGGTGAAATTCGAAGGATTTGGCAGCCGAATAAGTTAAACCCCTGAAATGGTTTGCACTCAGGTACCAGTCACGCCAGGAGCCGGAGGGTTTCAAACAGCAACCTGCATCTCGGGCGCGCGCGTCGGGACATCCGGGTTTAATGTTTGTCATGAGTGTGTCACTCCAGGATGGCGTTCCACTCGCCAAGGCAAGGAAAGGGATTCGCCAGGGGCGAGTTATCCATCCTTACAAAGTAGGGCATAAGTTTGGGCACTATCAACGCAGCGGAGCCTCTAAAAGATACCGCCCTCGTTAGGATTCCTGATCCAGGATGGTTTAAGATTCTGACAGGGCCTGTTCCGAGCCTGCTCCATAGTCCGAGGTGCTCGCCCCTGGCAGCTTACCAAGTTCACAACGACTAATATCTAATCAGGAGATGATCCCAGGCACACGTCAGATGGCCCTGGGCAGCTAACTTCGTAAGTATTAGACGGTCTTAGTTCTAGTCAACGGACCCACGCTTAAAGCAGTTCATTGATCTTTCTATAAAAAGTAAAAAGTAGAGCATAGTGTTACATCCGCTATAGCATGACAAGGGGTGGTGAACTCGGCAACAATCTAGAAGATTACGCCCTTAGATCAACTCCACGTTGTTGAAGTGGAGAATGATGAATAGCTCCAGAATCACGCTCAACTCGAAGTCTAGACCCCCTCCCCGTCTAATCTCCAGCAGATTATCCTCTCCCTCGCCAGTCTTTCGTGCGAATGTGGCAAACTTGTACTCTGGCCCTCTCGAATCCTTCTGAAACCCTGAGGTTGGCATTAGAGGAAGTGGGTTATCCCACCAGAGTTCAAAGAATGGCTCTACGGTGCCTCCAGTCTTCCACGTGAGCGGGCGAGGCGTTGCTGCTCTCCCAGGCACTGAGACGACTGGGATATCAGACTGGTACTTGGGGAAGGAAAACGAGGTCGTTCGCGTTACAGGACGCCAGAGCGCGTCGGGGAGAGTAGGAGAGTATGTGCAGATTGTGGCCACAGGCTGGCCTTTGCTTTTTGTGAGAGGTAACAGGCGCGCAGCAGCAATAGCAGGAAGTCCACTATCGGAAGCAGAGAAGATCTGGATATCGCCGACTTTGGAAGGCGAGGTGAGCTCAATGCGATACAGAGGAGTAGGGTCGACTGTGAGAGCGAGATGGTAGCTCTTAGCGGAGTCACGGACAATCGTGAGGTAGTTGACCTGGTTGTCCCGGATTGAGCAAGTCTGCACGGGACCAGTGATAGAGCCCGAGCGAGGGGTTGTGATGTCTGTGAAGGGCTGCTTCTCCTGGTAGGCAGGCAAGTTGTCGTTGTTAGAGGCCATTTTGGGCTGTGAGGAGATTGATGATAGTGTCTTTAGGGCTGTAGCTTTCAATAAGGTGAGTGATGAGCAGGGAGAATCGATGGAGAGCGCGTCAGCTTGGCGGCTGGAGCATGCGACAGGTATAAGGCCTTGCGGGCATCAGTCCATCAACCCCCACCTTCGCGTCACCTCATGCTGGGCTTATTCTAGGGGTCTTGCTCCTCAGCCAGGTACTACCGGTGGAAGGATTCAGCACGTTTCCATGGTCTGATTGGCTGCAGCGCTCGCTTAAAATACATGCCGGCAGCCCTAGGAATCCTCCCCTGGCTAACATGTGCACGTTCTCGATGCCCTCGTCTGATTGGCCAGAAGCTATCACCAGAATCACTATACCAATTGCCGACATGCGACTCAACCGCAATCTGGGAATCGCCCCAATTGCCATGCCCCGGTTGTTCTTTTGCACGTTTCTGTTATTCTGGGGGTTAATTGGGTTCGGTGGCTTTTGATCTATTTTTGGGATTGGATGCGCAATCAAACATGATGCAGGGCTCGGTGAGCATCAGAGAATCTGGGATATATAAGAAGCTGGCAAGCCGGCCACAATGGCATTGGAAACAGCAGCAACAAAAACAACAATAACATTCTTCTCAACCCTTTCACTCTCCTCTTTTTTTCCTTTTTTTCCTTTTTTCCTTACGTCTTCTTTCTTCTTTCTTCTTTAAAGAACACTTCTTCAATTTTCATCATGCGCTTCAACTTCGGTGGCATTCTCCTGGCCCTGGCGGCCACCACTCAATTCGCAACCGCGAACCCTGCTCCAGCCAAATGGAACGGCAAGGGCGCTGAGGCTGGGTAAGAATCTCAATCTCGATCTGTTAAAGTTCCCCGGGCTAATATCTCTATAGCTACAAGTTCGGTGCCGTTGCCTGCGCTGCAGGTGCTCTTGTCTGCAACTCCCAGGGCATGACAGTCGGAGCCTACACTCTTGGAAGCGCTGCCTTCTGCTGCAGCACTGCCGGAGCCGCAGTCACTGCCTCCCAGTCTGAGGGCTGGAAGAAGGCTTGGACCGCCGCGGCCAACAAGCTCGGCGACGCCGCAAAGATGGCCAAGGGCGGAATTTCCAAGGTCGGAAAGCTGGCTACCGAGTGCAGCGACAAGGTGTGCAGACTGATGCCCGGCAAGAAGAAGCAGCCCACGCTTCCCCGAAGGGCCACCATCGACGGGCCCAAGCCCAAGAAGTCCCGGCACGGGAGGAAGAAGCAGTCTCAGAAGCACTCGCAGAAGCACTCGGATGATGAAAGCCAGGGAGAGCGACGTGCTTCTAGACGGTCAGTCAACTACGAGCGCCATGCCAGAAGGGCCTACGACGACGAGTACGACTACTACTACTAAACGGAACGGGAATGACATGCAGGCGGATCGATGAGCCTGGCAGGAGGAGAGGGGAATGTGATTCTCAGTGCATTCATGGGCAAGCAAGCAGCCGCTTTATGTATTTTACCAGTTTGATTTGATTTTGACTTGTTGGGGAGCAGGAGTAGCAGAGGCGCAGGTGTAGAAAAATTGAGGTGTTCATTTGCAAAAGAGTCCAATCAGTGAAGCAGTGCAGAGCTACAGGCGGGGTGCCACTGATGAAGACCCCGGCCCTGGTTATCAGCCCTATCTTACAGCGTCATAGCACTAATCACGGGCCATCCATCCACTAGATCAACCTCTGGGGATTCTGGCCCACTCTTAACCCACTGGCTGGGCAATCAGCATGGCAGTTGCTTCCCACTGTGGAGGCAGTCGATGGTCCTTCTTCACGACTCCCTCACCCAAAGCCTCCGATTTCTGCCCAAAACAAACTCGCGATCCTGGTCGCGAGAACGATGTAAAGTTATCACGTCGAGCTCACCAAATACAATTAGTTTCCTATCCTTCCGTCCGCCTACAGCCTGCATTTCATCAGTTTCAGCAGCTTTCCCGATACATCAGCCATGTCGCAAGCCCAGAGCCAAGGAGCCACCTTAGCCTGGCTCCCCAACGAACTGCTAATTCCCATTGTGCAAGAATCGGTCAAGATCAAGGTCACTCCTGATTCCAAGCACTCCAAACTATCCTTCTCTAAACAATGTGATTCTTCCACTGCGGCAGCACTGGCCCTCACCAACCGATACTTCCATCATCTCGCCACACCGCTCCTCTACTCCGAAATCGAGATCCAGTGCCATGGTGCCTGTCGAGACAAATACAAGGAAGTATGGATGACAAGGCATCTGAATCGCACGTTTCTCGAGAACCCTTCACTACGGACACACTGCAAGAGACTTGATATTGAGTTTGGATCCTCTCGAGAAACCTTCCGGATAGGAGAGTCGCGCGGCACCCACCTCTTCAAGATTGCCTTCGACTTCCTCGAGTGGCTCACCAACATTGAAGAGCTTCGCATTGCTGGATGGCCACAGTACCCACACCCCGGTGATAATCAGGGGCTTGCCGCTTTGGCTCCTACCAGGGGTGATTATCGTCAACTTCTAGACCTAGCGTCAGAACATCTGACCAGTCTACGACACTTGGAGCTGGTCACGCACAGTGGCGTAACTCTAGATCTGCCAGTCCTGCACGCCGCGCTTGTTGGACTGAATATCAGCGCATGTCTTCGGACACTTGATATCAGTGGGATGTCTCCCTTTGGAAGTAGGCGGGACTGGGAGCTGCTAAAGGTAAGAGCATCTTCTGTGGAGTCACAACCACAAGTTTGAATTTCGATGCGTGTATACTAACCTTTCTAAAAGACTCGAGCAGGCACCGCGCCGTTCACCGAGCTTAAACTGAGACATTTCGACGCGGGACCATTAGCACTTGAGGCGCTCGTAATGTGGCCAGCCAAGTTGACATCATTTCAGTTTGCAATGCCCTGGATTCGCCGCTTCGTTCCTAGTACCTGGACATACAACTTGGGCGTATTGCAGTCCATCCTATCCCACCAGAAAGATTCACTTACCTTCATGAAGATAGACCAAATTCCAGATCCAGATCCAGGGCTCGAAAACTTCAACATGGCTAAATTTCGCAGTTTAAAGGTTCTATGGCTGGCGCGTGACTTAACTGGGGCCGATCCCGAGTTTGTTGCCAATCTTCTTGCACCCAACTTGGACGTGTTTCATTGGAACCCGATGCCTGAAGATGAGGACGAAAGAAACGGCCTTAATGCGTTCGAGAAGCCTGAGGAAGACTGGCTCAGGGCGTTCGCAGCCGCCGCCATCGCGAGCAATTCCACTCTTCGTCATATCAACATCAGATTTTCCCCCAAAGAATATATCCAGCTCGAAGAAGACAAATGGGACCTTGAGTACCCTTGGGATCGGATGGACAGAATTGCGAGCGAGATTCAACCTCACGGGATTCGTTTGTCATATAGCCCCATCAACGTGAGCAGGGAGAGGTTCAATGCCCTGGCGAGAATTCAGGTCAGGGTCCCCAAACATCTCAACAGTTCATGGCAGCTTAAAGAGTTGCACCTATCAGATGGGTACTCATCACCACCATCACCAGGTGATCCTCCTTCAGCAGGGGGGCCAGGAGAAGCTCCTTCTAATAGCGTTCGTTCTTCAATTTATTCCTAGCCAGTCTAAAGGTTCTTTCTGATAGCGTTCTTTATTTTATTTCCTAGCCAGTTTGAAAGATACGAATAAGAACAAAAATTCGGTATAGTTCTGATCCGTTCGACTCGTCCCGGCAACCTGTTCCTCGGTGTATCTCACGCCTCGCATGTGATATCAATGCCATTGAAAGACATCTAATCTCAGGGGTATCGGCACCCACTGTTACGGCAGCTACAAGAAGGAATTCCACTTCGCCCATACTTTTACCAGTCATTCCTGTACCTTCGCCATGGTACTCGAACAGAATGGAGTCGTCGGAAGCGCGTCATCCAAGTGATCAGACTAGACGGAGCCGGGAAAGGGCAAAAAGGAAACTCAAGGTCTCAGTGGGGATCGAACCCACAATCTCCTGATTCGTAGTCAGACGCCTTGCCATTGGGCCATGAGACCAATTGATAATGGACAGCGAGAAGTTTGGGAATAGAAGGATTGCCAGCCACTCAGCTTGTTTCTGAAGCTCCGACCGCGGGGAAATCTACCTTTCTCATGCTTGGCGAGATGATGCCCGTTGTTCAGTTTTCAGTCGTTGTTCCTCGTAAAGTGTAGGGCTAGTCAAAGAATGGTTCGTTGGTTTTGCTTTTTTTGCACGATCACTCTTTTCTAAAGGTCGGTTGTCCCCAACCAACTCAGGCCTACTAATGAAATCTCAGCCATCCATCTAGCACCTCATTGAGCTCGGTTCGTCTTCCCCGGGATGTACCGCATTGGACGGGATAGTTGAGCTGGGACTCTGGGAGGGTTGAAGGATCTTCCGACATTGTTCGGTCTAGGGCGTTTAAGGTTAGTCCACCTCTCGGTCCTCGCCACACGTAAACTCTCACAGGATTAGTGCGCGTCGTCTTGAGGGAGGTTAACGAGTCGGAAAATACGACAACAAATTATGAGCATTATTGAGGCCCTGCGATCAGGATAATGGGACGCGATCAGTCAGTCTTGCGCAACCGAGTTTTTGCATGGTGGATCTCATTGATTTCGTGCCGACAAAGCAAAGGTAGCTCAGTTAGTTCACTGTCTTTGCCGATGGTTGACACCCAAGTCATAATGAAATGTATATTTCCACGATGAAAGGCACAAAGGAGTTGAAAGGCAGAATTGACAGGATATGGACCGTAACAATAGGCCATATCGACTCTAAGATCATTCAACATACGTCCTATGAGACGCATCGTCGTGGAGATAGCCCATGACAAGCCTTTGGAGTTGGAGTCGATGTAGGGTAGGGCAGGCTTTGGGCCAGACGTTGTGCCCGCCCAGGATCTTCCCTCTCATGGGGAAATTTCAACGATGATCAATCATAAGGTCTCATGGCCCAATGGCAAGGCGTCTGACTACGAATCAGGAGATTGTGGGTTCGATCCCCACTGAGACCTTCCAACTTCCCTTGTACCAACTTCTCAGCTGTTCGGAATGCTCCGAACACAGCTCAGTTGCTTTTTTTGCCTGGTCTGTCTCTAGAGGTAGGGCCTTCTTTTTTTCACCTGTTCAATATGAGAAATCATACACGAAGGGGATCCCGTAAAAAGTCATCGGCGCCCATCGCAGCCTTGATAAAAATGGACAAAAAAAAGGTAAAGAATAGCAAAAGTTAAGGGTCTGGCCGGGGATTGAACCCGGGACCTCGCGCATTTAAGCTTAGGTAACCCTAAGCGCGAATCATACCACTAGACCACCAGACCATGTCATGTAGAATTCAGAACATCACGTGATGCTCCTTGTTGGAATTTTGTTCACTTTGTCTATATATAAGGCATTAATCAAATTTGAAATGCATTTCCCCATCGCACCGTACTTGTACGTCCGCTCCGACCGATCCAACCAACACAATATACATCAGATGCTATCTGTTCCATTTACGTAGCGACGTGGACAGTCCTTGCGCGGACTTCTGGTGAAGGTCATGCGCTATTCGTGACGCTGGACCGCAAGATCTCAGCTACACCTCCGGCCTCGCGTACTAGACAGACATCTAGAAGAAGGTCCAGTTGCGTTTTCAATGTGCTAGGACTAGCATATCTGCCCCTGTTTCGCCCTGATTCTGTGTGCCGACCTAGCTATATTTTCGCTGGGAGATCTTGCAGCTCCTGCAGTCTGCGCTGATTCTGTCCCTCCCTGATTCTAGCATGCGGCGATGTTCTGGTGCGCATGCCTAGCCTATTTACCCACCTACCGACTTCGAGTTTCATTTCACCTTTGGTGCACAGCGGTTATCTCCATTTCCCACGTCGCATCGATCGTGTCAATTGATATACGACTTGCAGAAAGCTGAAAAACCGCCTTTCTATGTTTTCCCAAACCAAGAAGATGCGGGCAAAAAAAGGTCCCGGAGGGAGTCGAACCCTCGCTGACAGGATCAAAACCTGTAGTCATAACCGTTAGACCACGGGACCAGTAATTGATTCGCAGAGCCCCTTCATGAGAACAAAGAAGGTCACCCCCCGAACGCCTTGGATGCGTTTCTGTCCAGCTATTCTCACAGTGACTATTATACGAGCTACGCTGTTGGTATCATCGATTCAACAATATTCATTATGTCAGTTTGAGTATGGGAGCTAGTAAATACAAAGTGTCGCTTTTCCGTCCTCGTTTCTTCATGTACAAGCAATCTCCTATGTCATCGCTGGCGCCTTTGATCTCTCGCTGGCCCAGCCAGTTCAGAGACACCATCCACCTTTTCCACCTGAATGCAATTCATCACCTTTTTGGCTCGCATCGTTTTTGGGGGCTTGTCTCTTTGGATATTACAGACTTGATGTAAAAATTCTGCGGAGTCTCGAAACTTCCTTCTTCTCCTTCTTAGAAGACTGCTTAATGGATGTACGGTTGGCCCATAAGAGTCCCACCAGGCTCGATATGATGACTGCTTCTTCCCCAAGATCCAGGGTATCAGAAAGTAGCAGGATACCCTCGGTCTCGGCCTTATGAATACCTTTGCCGGTAGGTTGAAAGTGCTGGTAAAGTGCTTTGGGGTATGATATGCTCCCCTTGCTGGCGTAAAGAGGATAGAGCTCGTGAAGCTCGTACGTGACCACGTCGGACTCTGAGGATCGCGCGCGCCACTCTAGGTTGGGGGAATTTGGCCCGCTCCCTCTAATAACGAAAGAGGGAAGCTGTGGACCTGATCGCCTCCAGGATCTTCTCGAGGTGGGAGAAGACACGGAAACGTGGCATAATGGTAGCTGCGCTGGCGCTACTACTCGAACACAGAAGCCATCATCTAGGCTGGATGGTAGGGACCTGGAATAATATACGTTAGTATGGGATAATCTCGGGGATTTACTCGATGGTTTCATACATGTTTATCTCGCACCTGTCTCTCTCCAGAGTCCGTTCTGTGAGTGCAGCCACCTGTCTTGCCGGGTCGTAGTCGATGAGGAACCGAACATCGTCGTTCCATGAATTCCCAGAAGGCCTCTCGATGGAGTCCAGCTGTGTCCGGCTGGCCCCTGCGCTGTCGACCCCATGATGCCCAACTGACTCCCGGTAGCTGTCGGTAATGTTATAGAGTGGTAGATGTGTTGTGCTGTTGCTGTGGCTTGGAAAATATAGAGCTCGAGTGAGAAAAGGTGCTTGTGATGTCAGGCTGTATCTGCTTAAGCTATCGACTGATCCGACGTAGGTCATAGGCGATGAAGCCATAGGTGGCAGAGTGGATAAGCCGAGTTGGGTAGCCATCGTATTAGGTATTACGAATGAAACAAGATGATGAGACTCCCAGCTGAAAAGTGTCCGCGGGTAAGATGCGCTTATAAAGGCACGGACACTCGTTTGGGGACTGGCCGTTGAGAGTGCATATGTCTGCAGCTACTGACAGCGGGTGAGGAATGCAAAGAAAATCTGCGATCTGCAAACGAACCAAGACAATCACTTAATTTCCTCGGTGCAAACATGCACACACTGTCAATCTCGGAGAAAGGTTTGCAAACGGACTGTCAATGTGGATCATTTGTGAAACATCTGTCAACCCACCAACCCGCCATGGAGAAGCGAGCGAGGGTCTTTTGTCCCCCGATAGCTCAATTGGATGGCATGAAACATGACTTCATGCACAGGCTACGCGTCCGCTCTGCTTGGCGAGTCGGCTCATGCAGCGGGAAGCTGGAGACGAGAGATGTGGCGACAGAAATACGTAGGGCTGCCCTGTGAGAACCTTAACGGCAAGCATGGGAAATTATCGAGGGACGAGATGAGACACGGAAGGGATAATGGGGCATGGTATGGTAGGGTAATTAACGTAGTGAAACTTCCGCTTGCGGGTGTGCACTAAAGGTATGAGACCTCGATTTTGGCACATCAACCGAGTCAGTTAAATGCATCCCTAGTAGCCATTTTCCTTTGCACTTCTTTTACTGAAGAGCCAAAGATGTTACCTACTGAGTCTGGCCAGTGAATTTCGTCCGCTTGGCGCGGAACATTGCTCTGACGAGTTCTCGACTCGTTTCATTAACCCACTATGTTGACCCTCATGGAACCTAGCATTCAACTCGGAGATTTCTTGTTACCTTGCCCATTTGGTGCCCGACTCGCTGCAAGTCGCTCCCCTGATCGGCGTTTATCCTAAATTCCTTCTGATAAGGTAGCACTGCATCACTTGCATTAGACATTGAACACTTTTGGTTTTCCTTGCATCAACAAAAAGGAAAAAGGCAAGAACTCCAAGTACGGGCCCATTTTTAAAAAGCAATTGTTGCGGAATGACAGCTCCCACAAGCTTGAATTGAGCGTTCTTCCACTGGGGCTATGCGGTTGAAAAGGGGATGGTTACAACGAGAGGAATAACATTGATAATATGGCAACACCTTGAGAACAAAGCAGGGGACTTTTGAAAGTTTGATTTGTGTTTGTAATTTTCTTTATTGCAGGATCGATAACTGCCCTTTGCAGTGGCTGACTGTGAGATACGAGACAAAGGGGGGAGAAGTATGCTTTTACATGGGGAACGAGTGAACACTGGTAAACAATCGATCGTATATTATCGCTATGAAGAGATTGGAACTCATATCTTGTGAAATAAAGTTTCTAGAGCCCACACTGATGATACCGATCGTTATCATGTCACCTGACTCGCATTGAGGCGATCGAGCCCATATTTCTTTGGCCCCTGCTCAAATCCCGCATCGTACCGTGGCATATTTCCGAAATGCCGCGATCCCACCATCCATCATCACGTTGTTTCACGAGAAATGATGAGATAGGGTGGGACTAGAACGGGAATAGCCAACTCTATTCGAAACGCCTCCAACTCTCCTTCGGTAGCCCTTTGTCCGCGGCGATCGTTTTCCGGTTTCACTCCAATGGTTTCGGCTCCGGCGGCGACTCTGCGCAAGGCATGCGCCCCTTGCCATACGCGGAAAATCAAGTGTGACGCTGCAATCACAGGCCTGCCCTGTGGGCGATGCATTGCTAGAGGCTGCAGCAACAGTTGCATGAGGCCTCTTCGGCATCCCAGAGCGTGAGACAAACATCCATTTTCCCCCATATTGTTTTGCTAATCCTTTTGGACCTAGGAGGAAATCCGACCGATTGAACCAAGAAAAACAGCAAGAAGAGAGCCAGTCCCCCCAAGCTATTAACGTAAACACCACTAATGATTCATCTGGTTGTGTAAGCCAACCCCGTTTCAGCAACTTTCCCCTAGCGATTCATCATCATTTACTGACATATCAGACCCTCCATGTTGGTGGGCTGTCTACTCCCGAGTATCAGTTCCAAAGTCATTCAATCACACCACAAGCTGCTCAGGATGCTGAGCCTATTACCCACGAAGACCAGGCTCGAATGCGCACCTGCCATGAAATATCAGGCGGAGGGGATCCTGTGTCGGCATCTGCCATGACCTCGCCTGGCCAAGGTAGAGATACCGTTGAGTACCGCAACGGTCTGAACTTCATATCCGCTTTGGGAGAGCTGGTTGGGAACCAGAAGCCGCGACGTTTAACAAGAATCATGGCCCACGACTCAATATTGGATTCTGAAGACCAGAGCCAGCAGCAGCGATCGTCTGAACAGAGTCCAGCTGTATCTAGACTTGGTGCTGCAGAGTTGGCGTTGCTTGAATCGAAAGGCGCACTCTCGCTTCCTCCCAAGGTTTGTTGGTATGCTTACAATATTTCTTCTCTCTTGGTCTCAAGCAATGCGAGTGTTCTGATATTCCATGACAGCGACCAGCTTTTGAAGCTGTATTTTGAGATTTGTTACGTGAGAACGCCGATCTTCAATCGCGTCGAGTTTTGCAGGGCGTACGAGTCGGATCAATCATCACTATTCCTCATGAATGCGGTATTTGCTAACGCCGCCCAATATGCCCCGATTGATCTCATAGAAAGGTGCGGCTTCAATAGCAGGTCGTGTGCTCAGAGGGCCTTCATCGCGCGAGCTATTCTTCTTTATGATCTGGGTCATGAGACTGTCCAGCTGCGTCTATTACAAGGGTCTGTTGTGCTAGGTGCTACTGTCTTCTCATATACGCGCGATAAAGACTTTCGATTTTGGATGCACAATGCGTCTCGCCTGGCAGTCAAGATGGGACTTCACCTAAGGTATGTGGTAGTAAATTACTGGATTGAATACAATCTAACAAGCATTCAATAGGGACATAGAAGGGGAGGTTGACCCTGACACATTCAAGCTATGTCGAAGGATATGGTGGGCTATATACGTGAGTTTGCCTGTTCCGAAACCATAACAAAACTAATGATCGATGATGTAATTAGAGCCGTGATATCATACTGCATTTTACTGGACTGAGGAACATGCGAATGCTTGATCGTACTGATTATGACATGACCCTGCTCTCAGAGGATGACTGGGAGAGTGACGAAAGCATCCCCGATCAATTTTGGTCCATATTATCTCCGATTACTCGCCAGCAAAAGCTCTTTCATATAGAGTACGTAAAGCTTACGCTGGTCGGTAAGGTCTATTCCTTTCTTCTTACACAAGGAAGCAGGGGAACTGATGAAGACTCCTTAGGCGAGGAATGTCTCTCGATCGTAAAAAGCCACCAGGATTTTACGGATTGTCAAGAAGTCGAAATCTCAACACGGTTCTCGTCGTGGAGAAAAGCAATGCCTCACATACTAAGTATAGACGAGCATCCATCAACTCCTGGCCAAAATAGGTTGCCTATTACCCTGATAGCGGCTAGCTACAGGTTTGAATGCATATTGTATCATGTGCTACAGCGCAAGTGCCATAAGAGCAAGGGTGATGCATATACTTGGTGCAGAGATCGGCTTCGAAGGTCAATTTTCCAGCTGGATACCTTGATTGGTAGAGCCATAACGGATGGGCTCAGTGGGGTATATTCCCAAACCCTGTAAGCTCTTAATACGCCTTTCTGATATTTGCAAGTAAAGCTTACACGATTAGTGTCGGGTGTGTTAATACCAGCTTAGCACTTCGCATTGAATCCAGCCTACAGCCGCAACAAAGCCATCTTGACAAAATGCTGGACTACAACTCGATCAGGCAGAGCATTTTGTTTTTGAGGGAGGTGAGCGACCTACCTAGTGTTCAATGGCCTCTGGGTGTATTTGAATGGATTCTTGGCCAAAAAGGCTTGTTCAGTGAGGTTGGGTTGACCGAATCACGGATCCATGGACTCGAGAATGTGACGGGTACGCACACTATCACCGAGGATGAGATAAGATCGACCCTGACAAACAACCAATACTTCGGAGCTTTGGAAACTGCGGATCAGCTCGACAATTTCTTGTACAATGATGACTTTGCCGGTTACATGGGACTTGGGGACATATAGATGGCATACGGCGTTGGGATTTCTTTTTGGTGTGTCACACAATTTAGAAGCAATTAGACGTCATTTCACACGGAAATAGTATATGTGGAGCAATGTTGGGAGGTTTGCCAAAATGTTGAGAAGATGATACCAAGGGTTGATCAAGACTGGACGTGACATGCCTTTCTTACTTCTCAACCGAAGTTTACCTACCCTAATATAGACCCCGCGACATATTAACGTAAAGGGATGGAAGAGGGTTATGGATTTTTCTTGGCAGTCATCTCACTCACGTCGTGAATTTCCGCTTCTCTGTGAGGCGGAATTTCAAGTTTCTGCAGAAGCCGAAAAGCCGCTTTGTCCCCACATGCGGCTCTAGATATAATCCATATTCCTTTCCTTTCTTTTCATTCAACTATATTGAAATTTCTTCTATGAGTTTATGAATTGTTTTATTTGTTCTCTTGTGTTATTATTCTCGATATATTTTGATCTACATAATGTCCGAACGTAAAGGTGAGGATGGCTCTGAGCCCACGCAAATACCATTCTGGCGGATGATGTTTGATCATTCTGGCGTCACCTCGGACGTTCTAAACTACCAATATCAGGGATATGGGACGAAGGATGATCCGTACATTGTTACGTGGATTCCAAACGACCCAAGAAACCCAATGCTTCTAAACAACAAGTTTAAATGGTCTATCGCCGTGTTCGAAGCACTCTCCACAACGGCCGTTGCCCTGGTATCTTCCGCATACACTGGTGGTATGGACCAAATCATCGAGGAGTTCGGTATCAACCATCAGGTGGCTATCCTCGGCGTGGCACTGTATGTTCTTGGATTCGCAGTCGGGCCGTTGCTTTGGGCACCGCTCGGCGAGCTATTCGGGCGACAGAAGATCTTCTTCATTACATTTGCAGGACTCACGGCATTTAACTGCGGTGCAGCAGGTAGTCCAGACGCGCGGACTCTGATCGTTCTGCGTTTCCTAGCAGGCTCCTTTGGAGCATCTACTTTCACAAATGCGGGCGGTGTCATCGCGGATATATTCGATGCCTCAGATAGGGGTCTTGCCATGGGCATCTATTCAACTGCTCCATTCTTGGGTCCAGTGACTGGACCAATAATAGGGGGGTTCCTTGGGAAAGCAGCCGGCTGGAGATGGATTCTGGGATTTCTGGGTGCACTGACCGGATTCTTCTGGATTCTCGGGTGTTTACTTGTTCCCGAGACGTACGCTGTTGTTTTGCTTCGGAGACGAGCCGAAAAACTGTCTAAAATAACTGGAAAGGTTTATATGAGTCGCAAAGATGCCGAAATTGGCGAAGTTTCCGTCCATAGGGCCCTTGGAACTGCACTCTCCAGACCGTGGATTCTTTTGGTAAAAGAGCCTATTGTCCTCCTTCTTTCACTCTACATGGCAATCATATACGGGACTCTGTACTTATTTTTTGCTGCCTTTCCTATTGTATATCAACAACACCGAGGTTGGGACCAAGCAATTGGAAGCCTTCCTTTCCTTGGGCTGTTGATTGGGATGATAATAGCAATCATCTATCTCATTCCCGAAAACAAACGCTATATACGAATCGTCGAGAGAAATCACGGATTGGCCCCTCCTGAAGCCCGTCTTCTTCCGGCGCTGGTTGGATCAATCCCACTCCCGGTTGGGCTGTTCTGGTTCGCTTGGACCAATGGCCCCGAAATTCATTGGTTGGTCAGCGTCGCTGCTGGCATTCCCTTTGGGTTCGGCATGGTTCTCGTGTTTTTGAGCGTCATGAACTACTTGGTCGATGCTTATACGATCTTTGCTGCTTCTGTTCTTGGAGCCAACACCTTCTTGCGATCTATTTTCGGGGCGGTTTTCCCGATTATCGCGACATACATGTACAACAATCTCGGTATTCATTGGGCATCAACTGTATTGGCATTTTTGTCTCTTGCTTGCGTCCCGTTTCCGTTTCTGTTTTACAGATACGGTTCTATGATTAGGCAAAAGTGCGCATATGCCGCTGAGGCAGCGGCACATATGAAGGGGCTACAGCATGATGGAGGCGAGTCTTCACAAAATGAACAGAGTGATGAGACCATGGTAGAGATTCAAAGGGGGAACATAGTTTCTCCTGCTGTAGTAGAGCATGAAAACATGAGAACGGCATATAGAACAATTCTGAAAGACTCGACTAGATAACATCTTCATCCTTGGAGTTTGATTAGAGAGAGGCTTTCTACCATAGACTGATTTAATATATAGAGTATCTAAAGCTTTTGCGTGCTTAGCCTAATTGAAGTTGAAACCAATGGCGGTGTCAGCTCAAGAAAAGGGGGACCAATATCAGAGGATTTTCCCAGATTATCTCACCATGGAACCGTGAACCCGGTATCGTTTGCATACTTTCTTCATCCATCATCATAGTAGAGATAAAATATCCCGTTTCGGTCATGGCTGTCCACGTTATCACTGCAACAATTGGCTTACCGCTTGAGACGCTCATGCTGTTGCTGTACGGACGGGTTCCCTTATCATACCGGGATTTATAGATAGACAATGTCCCGGGCACACTTGATATCATGATCTGCTATCATCAGATCGACAACTCTAAGCCCTGTTTGACATAGCGTTAGATTTGGGTGGTCTCTTTATCGCAGTTAGTGTCATGTACACCTGACGGAGCTCTGGTCGTCAGCCGTCCTACGTAACCCCTTTCCCCATTCGATCTGGATCACAACAGTTCATAGATGACGACTTGATTTAACCAAAGGTTCAATTGAGTTCAGAGTTCATTCTCATAAGCTAAAAAAATTATTTCGTGATGAAAGATGATGGGGTAATGTCGCTAATAGAGTAATCAAGGTTTATAAGAAAAATGAGAAATATTCCAGCACCGATTTTTTAGACAGCAATTGCTTGCCGGATCACAGCTTCCACAGGCTCAAGCTGAGCCGCATTGCCAGACGTGGCTGCGATGATGCGAGCCATGGACTGCTGAGCGGGCCAGATCTCGCGACCGGCTTCCACCTCGCGCTCGTAGTGCTCCTTGACCATTTCTCGTGCGCTACTCTGGAACCAGAGAGCGCCCTTCTCCATGCCTGGGTGCAGCTCTCCGTTGACGAAGACACCCCGGAGGATGTTGTTCTGGGCACCGATGGCAAGCTCCTTGTCCTCGGACATGACTCGCTTGTACATGGCGTCTACCTGCTCGAAGTCCTCCCGAGGGGAGTTCTTGTTCCTGTAGACTTCATATCTCATGATGGAGGAGTTGGTACCGGTGGGGATAAATCTTTGCATCATGAAGAAGTGTTTTCTAGGCCTTGTTAGTCCCATTGGTCTAAGTGTGTGGATAAATACGGATAGATACGGAGTACTTACGAGACATTGATGGAGGAGTTGGGGAAGAAGTATGTGGGGGCGATCAGGAGACCCTTCTCGATCATTTCTGGGGTAGGGCTGCCGAAGTGCATGAGATATGACTTGACAGGGTCAACAACGTAGGTGTTGATGTCTGCAAGATCGTTGAGATCAGGGTGGGAGACGCGGCAGTGGTAGCACTCATTGTAGTTGTCTCCGAGCAACTTCCAGTTGTAGGCGCCCTCCATCTCCCAGGTGTGGTCGTACTCGTAAGACTCCCAGTCGTACATGTCGAGTCTCGGCTGCTCATCGGCGCCTCCCAGCTCCTCTGACCAGGCAATCTCGGGAGTCTCACCGGCGTCCAAGTTGACCCAGATGAAGTTCTTCTTGTCGATGTGGACGTGGATAGGGAGGATACCGTGCTCATTGATATTGAACTCTTCAAGCTCCGGGGTGATGTGGAAGGCGTTGATCTTGCCATTGTTGTCACGGCAGACAACATAGTGGAAGTTGGCGATCTGATAACGCTGCCAGTCACCATTGTTCGGGACCCGCTTGTTGTGGGTGGTGAGAAGCCACCTCTTGGAGAAGATGGCGCGTCTCTCAAGCTGGTACATCTCCTCAGAGATGTACCATGAGGCAGGAAGAGCTCTCACTGGAGCTGTCTCATTGGAGGAGTTCTGGGGCTTGCCGCACAAAGGGTTGATCCTAGCGTTGGCAGGGGGAGCAGGAGCTGGAGCAGGAGCAGGAGTGGCAGGGGCTCTGTTGACATAGGCGCTGGCTGGCAGGCCAAAGTAATTTCTGAGGAAAGACATTGTCTTGATGTGTGAGAAGAGATGGAAACTTGTCTCTTTGTTTAGTGTTTGTGGAGGAGGTGTGGATTGATGAGATAGATTCGTGGGGAAGAGGGAGGCCTTTGAAATAGTTATAGCTTATCGCCATCGACACATCTCCCCTCCAACTCGCTTGAACTAGATCGAATTCCTATAGCCATCCTGTCTCCGGACCGATACCGTCGGTAGGTTATCGCTGGACGGGCGTAATCATGTGCCGTGGCTGATACGGCGTCGAGACCGGACGCGTAGGATCTGGGCTTCCCCAGTTGCCACGTCCAACTTTCTTGATAACCATTATCAAAGAAGGACGGCATTGTATGCAAAATATCTTCCACTTTGAGTAAGGCTCGGAAGCCTATCTGATAGTGCTAGTAATCGATTGCCGCCTTGAGACGCCCAACACGAACCAGTGGCCGAGACAGCCGGCCGGCCACGGGCCTTTTCCCCGCTCACATGATCGGACTTTGGTCTCATCAACAACTGATGGGCGCCACACCGTAGCTCAGCCTGGGTTGGAAGCACCATTCGGAGCTAAATTTACATCTCCAAGTGCAGGTTATCTGGATTTATGGAGCATTTTACAGTCTAAGACCTGGAATCTGAACTTGAAGGCTGTGATCGACCTGATCGCCAATCCATCCTTATCAACGATCAATGCATCGAGGATCTCATAGAATAGCGAAACAGCTTTCCAACTTGGGCCGTCATCGGACCACGGCTTTGAAGCAGTCCTCCGGGCGGTGACAAGTCAAGATTTCAATTATTGAGTAATAGATTGGTTAGGTGCTAGACACGCGGTCGTTCCGGCGGTATAGCCAGACCACGTGTGTCGAAGGCAATGAATGCCCAATGTGCGCATGACCTCGAACCTGAAGCTGTTATCTCCCAAGAACGGGCAGGTATTCTGAACATTCTAGCCCGTCCGGACGATCCTCCGTCGGCATTGAGCTGCGAGACCGGCCGCCCCTATCTATCGTCCCCACCACAACATTTGACACATGGGAGATTGGCCACCAAAGGGAAGCCACCAACAAATCATGTGTCCACGGTCGTCCTAATCTGTGGTGGGCTGCAGGGGGAACGAAGGTTGTGGATCTTGACTTCTGCATCTAGGGTGCAAACTCCAAAAAGGAGACCATCCTGAAGGATGCGGGGAATGCGGAGAACTAGGTATTCTACTAGAGAGCGCCGTAGAGATAAGAATGGCCGAAATAGGATATTAACTTACAACACCGGCGTTGCTAAAGTGCTCGGTCTGGTCACCTACTCCCAGCCTCCTTTCCCCTTTTCCAAGCAACAAGACATAAGAAGATTGACTGATTGGATCTTATTCATGCATGTCATGCCTATTAGGATGCACATACCGTGGCAAAACCAGCCCCATCAGATGGACCGACTTGAATCAACATCGAGATATGAATTTGCGGAGCGCCACCGTTCACGTGATCGGCGGCCAACAGCGACGGTATCGCCAACGACTTCCTGCTTATCATCGTCCATGCATCTATTATCTCGATGACTCGAATCTCGATATTCGTATCCAGTGATGTGAAATATTACATTACGTAGGTATATTGATTTACGGGCGTGTCAGGTGTTGGGCAGCAATGCACATCAAATTCACTTACTGCCAAGGTTCATAGATAGAAATCACTAACTCATAGAATTCTCTCCATGATGCGCTGGTCGTATTTTGTATGAGTCTCAGATTCAGGCTGATAAGAAGATACCAATGTCCCCTCAAGGTTCCAGCTAAAAAACTTGCGTTAAGTTTATCAACAAGATAACATCGCCCACAGATGAGCAGAGGCTAACAACCAAAGTGGCGGTGAAACTCCGAGTCAAATATCACAATCTTAGTAACTGCCGTTATCGTAGAGAACTTTCATTTATGCCTGGAGCTGAGAGATCGAAGCAGTATTAGGATCCTCATTGTTAGACGATGGAAGTGGTTGTACTGGGCTGATGGACGAAGTGACTTAGCTGGCATCCAAGCAACGCTGGTAATAGCACTGCAATTTAAATCTTCCATAGCTTGGCATTTGGTCACCGAATTTGAATCGGATTGTCCCGTTCTCGGCTTAAAGGGCCATTTCTCGGGCAGGCGATGTTACCTTTCAATTTGAGAATACCCGTGTTGAGAGACCAAGAGTGCAATACCAGCTTCTTTTTTGATTCAGAAATTTCCAACGGCATGACCCCAAAGATATTTTAAAGACCTGGCAGAATAGCATGGGGATTTGGCTTTAGTAATACTTCTTTTCTGGCCGTGTGCTGGGTGGCAATAAGATCCCTGCAACCCTTATCAAGCATTTTTGCAATAGGTTTGCAGAAATTGGGAAAGAAAGAAAGACACTTAGCTTCGCTAGAATGCTTTGAGATTGGGGGAGAGAATTCAAGGGGAAAGGATTGAGTTATCATACGACACTGCCGGCTGTGGCTTGAAATTTCCGGTGGCGGGCATGGATGCAGCATGAGCCATCAGTACGGAAATCTCCGTAAGTCCGATGTAAGGAAATAATGTGCTCTAGGGAGAGCAGCCTGAAGTGACATCTTTCCACTGAATAATATATGCCGCAGCGGTCTCTAGGCGTTGTTAGTGAGGGCCGATTCAGTCTCACTGGCAGGAGTGTCAGTTGCAACGACTGCCGGCCTCCCTAGTATAATAGCAATTCATACTAAATGCATACTGTTTGACTATAAGAAAGAACTAAACTTCTTATCCTCAGATATCTCTCTTTTTCTACATTGATATCTCGTCATAGCTTTTCCTATGCATCGCTTGCCACCGCTCCGCCACCTCGTAGCAGGTTTCACCACTACTCAGTAAATAATATTGAATCCAGATCTGGCATTGGTATTTGAGACAGCCTTTTAACCGCTCGGATGAATTTCTCGCTGCCATGAAGCAAGCACAGCCATCTACCTTCGATATTTTGGAGACATAAGCGTGTGAAAGTGATGGAGAGAGATTTGGACATATATTTATCTCTATGGCATTTTTAAATCATAAAACATCGGTAAAGAAGAACTATAACCCCATGGGCGAAATCCCGGCCATTCCCAATCAGTAGATAACTGGCCAGTCGTTTTCCCAGCGGATGAGGTTGATGCCCAAGTAAGACGCACCACTATTAGCATAATAGTGATACACAAAGACATCTGCATCTGCATCAGAGAGGACGGCTGGGTGGCCAGGTCCGTGGATCGAGCCATGGCTCGCCATGACCTCAGTACCACCACCGTTCAGCATTGCCGTGCCGGCCTTGTCGGTATACGGGCCAGACAGGCTTGTAGAGCGACCGACCATGGCACGGTAAGTGCTGGAAGCCCCCTTGCAGCAGCTGTCAAAAGCCACCCACAGGTAGTAGTAGCTTCCACGTTTGGTGATGAAGGGTGCCTCCAGGGCGCCGCTGTTGTTGGGACGGGCGGCGATTGAGGTGAGGCTTGTGCCAGAGCGCAGACCCGTGCTGGGGTTAATAGCAATCAACTTGATACCCGACCAGAACGAGCCAAAGCTCAGCCACCATTTGCCGTCGCTGTCAACGAACAGATTGGGGTCGATGGCGTTGTAGCCGAGACTGTCGTTTGACTCAATGACCAAGCCCTTGTGAGTCCACGAGCCGGAAGCTCCGGTGGAGCTGGTGGCGAGGAAAATAGCCGACTTAGCAGATCCAAATGTCGAGGCCGAGTAGTATAGATAGTAGAGGCCATTGTGGTAGGAAATATCAGGTGCCCAGAGGTTAGTGTCACCACCAGTATAAGGGGTAGTCCATGAGGCACCGTTAGGGAACACGGCACCCGCGTTCGTCCATTTTGTCCGGTCAGTCGAAGTCTTGAGCTGAATATTGGTGCCGGTGTGAGCGATGATGTATTGTCCACTCGATGTCTTTACGATTGAGGGATCATGAAGACCAGTATCACCCGTGACGACCCCGGGATCGGGATAAGCTGCTTGAACTGCCACGGCCAGAGCAGTGATGGCAAATAGGCCCCGGTTGAGAAGCTTTTGTAAAGAAATCATCATGAATATCAGATCCGCGATCCCTCAGAGATCGACTTTAGTAGACAAGTGTGGTTTTGGTCTTTCGTTTCAAGACGGTACAGCGCACCATGGTATTACTTATACTCGTAAGGTCCATTTAACCTAGCAGCTCGTTTCATAACAGTCGCGCTCAACTTTCTGCTTATTGTGTCCAAGCGCGCCTCGGAAAATTTGGTGTCGGAATACGGCGGGCGGCACCCCCTTGATTTCCCTGTAACGCGGAGTTTCATGTTCCGCTGCTGAACTCGGCACTTGGACCACCTGAAGCGTATGCAAGCTAGCCTCAACAACCGGCCTGCTGGTATTCCGTATTCTTACTGGCAATTAGCGGAACCAGAACCCCTCGGGATAAAAGGTGAATTAAGCTCGTGTCATCTGACCCAGAAGTGGGATCACGTCTTCGCCAAGGTCGAGGAGACAACCACGTTTCACTCTGCTGCGGCAATTGAACTACACACCTACCTAAAGGGTAAAAGCCCCCGAGACTTGATCTCCTTTTAACACCAAACCAGCTAGTCGAAGATCTCTAGTTTGTACAAGGTAGCCGGCCCAATCAGGTGAAAGAAGAGCGGTCTATCCTACTTGTCAGCGGCAGAAGACCAGACGTAACGAGAGTCTATCCGCAGAGATATATTCTGCCTCGCTACAAAGAGTCAATCTCAGCTCTACGTGTAATGGAAAGAGATCCTTCATGATAGCTGTGCAGAAAGGGTCAGTCATGTTATCTGTCTGTAGGGTGATGGAAAAAGCCACCGATGCATCTTTTCTATCACAAACTATACAATAGTGAAGGGACTCCCCTCTACCCCTGGGTGTCTTATGTCTGCCTTAGATAGCCTTAGCTGCAAGAAAGGAAACGGGGATCATAAGTCTATTACAAAATGGCCACCATGGTAACGTTCGTCCTGATTACAAAATCGTGATTGATAACCATAGCCTGACGATCAAGCGGCTTGTCGCGATAGGTGGATTGCCTCCCTTGCTCTATTCCTCAAATAAATCAGGATCATCGACGTACTGGTACGATTGGGGAATGCGTACATCGCCCACCCCTCGCATCCACGAATAAATCCGTCGGAGATTTTCAGAGTATATGCGAGAGGTGAGGTTGCGAACGAGATCACCTTCTCTCTTCATAGTGTCTATTCGTCCTAAATCGTACATGACCATCGCAGGGATTTGATATCCAATATCCAAAGTGAGACTGGAGGCGGTGCAACTCAAATCAACCTTCCCATCCAGTTCCCATTCATTGAAGAGGAGACCAAGATATGTCAGCTTTTTGAAGCGCCGTGGTGCAACGCTAATCAACTCTTTAGCCTGTTCCAAGATACCTTCGCCACACTGATGAATCTGCAGGTATTCCAGATTTTCAGGCAGGCAATCAACAAGCCTTGGAGCTCCTTCGACCTTCAATGGCATTTGAAGCGCGATCTTCTTATGGTTCTGTGGCCTTCCAGCAAGCATCCCGGTTAGTGTCCGCATGCCCAGTGTGAGTCTCTTCAAGGCATGCATTTGACTGAGTTCGGTGCCCATGTATAGTCTTTCGGGGCAGCTCGACCAGTTCCATCCATGATCCCAGTCATCTTCAAGGTTGATGTATAGGTCCTCAAGCGTATCCGCATGAGGCAACACAGCTTCAAGAAAATCTCGGGGCATGGCCTCCTCGGAGAGATCATACATCCCCCGGATAAACTCAAACTTCTTGAGCGCTTTGCAGCTGTTGAGCATGTCTCTCAGCAGCGATGCCGTGGCGTAGGAGGAATGAAGGTTAATATCTTCAACAGAAGAAGACCTTGGTGGTAGACGACGAAACTTTTTGGCCGCTTCGTCACTTCCATAAGCCATGATACACTCGTAAAATCGGAGGTGAGGCAAGGCGAAGAGCCTCGGTGCCTCTAAATAGAATTCACGGCAGCCCACTTTGTCATTATTTGCTTCGTGGAACACATCTTGAAGATTGGAAAGTGGGACGGCCGTGTGACTGATTCGCGCGACGTAGCGATTTCCCTTTAAATACAAATCCCGGAGAAACGGTAGCAAGGTATGAAAATGGGAGCAATTGCTTGTTTCCTCGTATAGTAACGTTCGAATGTTGGGGCAGGTAAGCAAAATCAGGGTCACCTGAGCATCAGGGTTGCCTGCTTTCAAATCTTCTGCCCATGCAGTACGCCAGCGAGAAGTTTTGTCAAAAGACTTTCCCGTAATAGCACCCACAATGGTCTCAATTTGCTGTTGATAGACAGCGAGATCTTCATCGGTGCTTCCATTCCCGGGGCCCTCATCTTTACTTTCCTCTGTATCTCTTGGTGACAAGCTGCCTACAATGACAGTCTTAACATGCCTGGCCAGAAAGGGCTTAGAGACGAGAATATAACGCAAGAACAGCACATTTCGAGCCGAGGAACACGGCCCTCCGCCCTCTAAACAGTGCACGGTGTTCCGAAAGATGCTCACGGAGATGGGGAGTGCGATGTTATAGAATTGTTTGCACGTTCTCAGAATTGCTTGGATGCTTGGTTTTCCAAAAGAGACAGCAAGATAGGAGAATATTTTGGTCTGAATCTCAGGTGGTAGCCCTAAGAGTGTGGTTGGCCTTGGTTTAGCCTGCTGTTCCATTGCGTCCGGTTGTGGAGGCCGTGGGCGACTGGTATAATTTCCGGCTTGGTGGAAGTGCTTTGAGAGTATGGGCAAATTAAGAGAGGAAGTAATTTGAAAATCAGGCGATCATCAGGAAAAGCAAGCAGCTGCAGCTTAATACTTGAGTGGATACGTTTTTCTCGCGCCCATTATGCGACCAACGCAATATTAGGCGGAATGGGCCTAGTAGTATTGCAACAAGCTAAAAAAAACCTCCCTTGCAATATGGCTAGTAAGGAGATGGGACCAGGGGGTACGCAGTTATTAACGTAAGCCAGAAGTTGTTGGCTGTTGGTTGTTGGTTGTTGCAATGCAACCGTGGAGGCGCAGCTGTAACCTGCTTTGATTCCATGTCCCTGGCCAGCATGGATTGGTATCTAACGAGAGCGAAAAACTAGATAGTAAACTCAAACTATGCTGTCTGATATTTTCACCGGAGTCTTCATGGATATTCTTTCCCCTGTTTACTGGTATCTGAAAGTTTTATATACTTGTAGGCGGGACGAAAGGACGATTTATGACTTTACTTGTTGTAGAAGAGCACTTGGTGAGCAAAAATAGCCTCGCGTAACATGTTTTGTTGGTCGACATCACTTGGTGAACAAAATAAACCTCGCGTAGCATGTTTTGTTGGTCGACATCACTCGGTGAGCAAAAATAAACCGGCGTAGCATATTCGTTGGTCGCATTGTCTCTCGATCATAAAAATAACCTTTGAACGAGTCCGACGTGATAGCATGTCTGGGAAACAAGAGGCTTATAAGGGGAGGATCTTCCAGTATCAGGAGGATCGATCTTTCAGTATCATAATCGTCTCAATCATCTCAAGATTTCTTCAGATTTATTCTCTATCCACTTCTATATCTCTACTTCATTCTTCGTTGCAGTTTTCTTCAACGCGATCATGGGCTTTTTGAAACTTGTCCCTCTTATGACTGTTGTACTTGCAAGTACTGGCAGATCTTGGGGCACCACTCTGGACTCGAGCAACCTCGTTGCGCGGGTTGACCTCAGAAATGCCGTTGGTACTGAGCACATCGTGCAGCCTCGTTACATTGAAGCTTCTACCACTGTTCGTGCTGAAGAAGGGGACAGTACTATGGGAAATAAAGGCCATATATTAAGGGGAGAACGCGACCAGAGGTACAATCTTCTCCAGAGAAGCCCTAGGGCCTCTAAGAGCCTCAGGGCTACACTTAGAGCTGTCTCGCAGCCCAAGACCAAGATCACCACGAAGCCGAAGCCGAAGCTTGCTTTGAAGCCCCAGCCCAAGCTCGGAAAGGCTGTTGCTAAGCCCAAGGCCCTCAATCCTGCTACAAACCCCAAGCATGGCATCTCCAAGGCCGGGTTGAAGCATAAACCCAAGGCTCAGAACACCTCTGCTAAGCCAAAGCCCAAGGCTCATAGTGCCGCTGCTAGACACAAACCAAAGGCCTCTGCAGCTTCAGCACCGCCTAAGCATAGGAACACGAAAGCTTCTGGGATCCAAAAGCATAAGAATCATCATGCTCCTAGCAAGCACAAGCCCAAAGTTCAGAATTTCGCTGCCAAGCCCAGGCCCAAGGTTCAGACCACCGCGACCAAACAAAAGCCAAAGGCTCCTAAGACTTCAGCACCGCCTAAGCATAAGAGCATGAAAGCTTCTAGACTTCAAAAGCATAAGAATCATCATGATCCAAGCAAGCACAGGGCCAAAGTTCAGAATTCCGCTGCCAAACACAAGCCAAAGGTTTCCAAGGCTTCAGTTCCGCAGAAGCATAAGAGTGCCAAGGCCTTTGGTAAGAACAAGCCTAAAGCTCATGAAGTTGCAGCAAAGCACCGTAACAAAGCCCATAAGATTCCTTCCAAGAAAACGACCAAGGCCGCACACCACCGCAAACCTAAGACTCACAAGGTCGTTGCCAAGCACAAAGTTAAGGCTCACAAGGCTGTTACAGCACGGCCTAAACATCAGCCCGGCAAACACTCTGCGAACAATGGGTCCAAGTCCACTAAACAGCACAAGACAAAGAAGGTCGCTCCAGCGCCCCAACGCAAAGTTTCCAAAGCCACCAAGCCGAATCAACATAAGAAGCCTAAAGCTGCGGCTGGTGGGAAGGGTCCCATCTGTCGGCGAGGGCCCGGCGAAAGCTGTGGCACCCAGCGTTCCGCAAGCCCGGATAGAGCATCGACTTCCAACTCGGAAGGCGGGGTAGTTGATCTTAAAGATGTGAGCACTGTCGGACAAGTCCTCCTTACAGGCGACAGTTCTCAAAACAGGCGCACGGGCGCCGACATGGATGATATATCACCATCTACGTATAACTATCTAAGCCGAGTTGGGGACTTGCATGCTAATACAGCTCTCCAAGGTCGACTTGGATATAAAGGCGTGCCCGGCCCTGGTGCAATTGTCAGCAGTAATCCTCCTTCGTCGCATTCCAGTTCTAGTTCGCAGTCGGGTAGTCCGCATGTCAATGCACAAACTCCTTCTTCCAATAACAATCAAGCATCCTCTGATGTCAAGCCTAGTACGCCAGGTGCTAGTTCTTCGAAACCCAAACAGGGTACGACAACAGCTGGTGGCGTTAAAGGAGATGGGGGAGTGAAGGGGAAGACTTGGTATGACGAGGATTCTGAGGAGGATTTGACTCGCTATAATTCGGGGTCTAGTTCGGAGTAGACGAAGAGATATCCGGCATGCTCATCAAATAGATAGCCACAAGGGATAGTATACGCCTTAAGTCTGAGCCCTACACCAGGAATCCCTTTGAATAGATGAATAAGGCCGGGAACGACGAGAAAAAGGGAGGACTGAGAATACTTGAGCTTTTTTAGCGCATCGGCTTTCCTGCTTTGACTGCTCCATGTTTCTCATCGGTGAGATTTAAACGTGGAATTCTGCTATCTTGTCCCACGATTATAATAAAGAATTGAGGAGGACTCTAGCATAGATCAATAGCAGCAACACAAAGTTAACTCTGAAGCTTGAATGGAGGGAAACGATGTCGATGAGGTATGTTGTCCCCTAGAAACCACCACAGATGGCTATTCCACCTCCGATGACCGGGGCTATGATGTATTTGTGAACTCCCTGTCTATATTGTTTGTTGTCGTGCGGAGAGAGGCTCAATCCTTTGTATAAAATCCCGAGGAAACATGCATAATATTTAGCCCACAGGCATGACATTTATTGATATGTTACTGGCATTAAGAATGCTGGTGCAACTTGGTTACCTCATGGCATAAAACCGATGCTGCCCATCATCTATGACCATCATAAGTGGGTGGGATAAAACATGGCATACTAAAGCTCTTTCCGCGTAAGGCAGAGACCTTCGTTTTTAGCTAAACACAATAATAAGAGAATAACTAGAGAGTAAGAAATTATTCTATAATATCTAGCTTGATATCTTATTCAGTACTAGGTTATCTATTATGATATTGTGTTGAATTTCAATACTGAACTATCTCGGTATGTACTTGGTTGCATGCATAGGGTAGCCATCCCAGTTTCACTACTTTACCAGTAACTTGGCGCGTTTCACCGTGTAAAGAGTGTGCATCGGCCGGACTTACATGTATGTGTTCGATGTGGATGGTCATGGGACCGGCTGATCATTATAAGCTGACATCCATCGAGGAAAGCAAAGCCACAGTCCGGTGTCTTGCTGCTTATGCGAAGGAAGACCCTGACATGACACCGGATTTGACCCAGAGGCTAGAATGTTACATCGAAATGATGGTCTGGACCCTTGGTCTAAAAATAGAAGCGACCTCGGACACAGGGTTCAGTACAGCCGAGCCTAACAATCTTTACCGGAGCAAGCTATGCCTGGCTGCATGATTGTTTTACTGTGGTGATCCTGAGCAGATGTATAAGAGATTAAGGAGCTGCTCATGTTAAGGGGCCTAAGATCCAGGCTTGCGAGTTGCTCGGCACGGGGTGGAGAGACGGCCTCGAGGCATCTCACTGCTAGGAATTCATGTCCCTGGAATAATCAGCCCTTTGGCGAAGGATGCATATTGTAACATAACGTAATCCCAGGCCACTTGGCGTTAGATCGGATCTCCCAGGCCAATAGCATCCGAGACAAGCCATGCATAAACTCCCATTAGAGTGCCCTCTGTTCCTCAATGCACCTTGGAGGTCTGATCCTGCACTCTCGGGACGCTGCTAGTGTCTAATTCTGTACACAAATATGGCCAAATAGTGCAGACATCCCCATATTTCACTCGCCGGGACCATGGTTGCGGTTAGAGGACACCGAGCCTCTGTCACCGTCTCACTCCCCACGCGACACCCTGCCAAGTCGTCCATCCTCGGCCTCCATTTGTCGCTGTGCCTTTCTTCCTCCTCAATCCGTCCCTTCCAGCCCGCGATAAACCACGCCCGCCACCATGCCGCCGCCCGAAGCCGAAGAGGAGGAGATGAGGTTGATGGGGGAGTATGACACGACCACCGAGGACCACGAGGACCACGAGGACGAGCCCTTCGACCACCGCCAGTACGATGAGAATCTCGACAGGGCCGAGGTCAGCGTCGTCGAGGAGCTGGAGCCGCCATCCGTCTTTGGCGCCCGCGGCTCCTTTGCGCCGCCTCCTGTCTACGCCAACATCCATCGGTATATAGGCTCCCTCCAGCTTGCCAGCTTCGTCAACGACCGTGCTAACATGCGATTGCTTTGCTGACCTGCAGGATACGCCGCCTGATCCGAGCCAGCATCGATGACCCCTACACGATGGACCATTTCCACGAGCCCAAGCTCAATGCGCTCGTCGTGCGTCCGCTGGTCGACCGCATCTACGACGCCAAGGACTCCTCCACGAGTAAGCCCTCCTCGAGATTCTCTATACACTCCCGCAGGGGCTGAACGTGCCTAGTCTACTGCCTCCTCGCGAACCGCGTCTACTTCCTCCGCGAGCAGACCGGCCTCTCCTACCAGAGCGTCAACAGTGCCCGAGCCACTCTCTGCGAGCTCCTCGCCAGTCGCGTGTTCCGCCGCTTCCACGAAGACCACCCGGGCGACTCGGGCCTCCTCCTCCTCGCGCACGTCCTCGTCGAGGGCTACGACCCCTTCCAAGGCGCCCCGAACGAAGTCGAGCGACGATACCGCCCCCTACAATGGCCCGTACAGGAGCGCAAAGGCCACGAGCGGAAGCTCACGGCGCTGGAGCTTGCCATCATCTCCGAGAGCAAGTTCTTCATCAGCACCGCGGCCTTCCAGCTCGTCGTCGACGCCGTGCATACGGGCCAGGTCACGTATACGCCGCTGTCCTTCATCGATATCCTGCCCGACCACTACGAACATCTGCCCATTACGATGTACCATCCGAGAAAATCCCACCTGCTGAACCACCACCGACTCAAGGTGCCGCGCATCCGAGGCTTCGTCGAGCTGTTCCAGTTCGTCATCCTCTTCTTCCTCTACTTCATGACGATGCATTACAAACACGAGATGTGGAGTCTGTGGGAGCTGGCTTTCTGTATCTACACAGCCGGCTGGGTGCTGCAGGAGTTTGCCGCAGTCATTGAGCACGGCTGGGAGCTCCATTCCCAGAGCCTGTGGTCCTTCCTCGACATCAGCTTCATCGCCATCTACGCCGCCTACTTCCTCGCCCGAATCTTCGATCTCGTCACCGGCCGCATCGCCGACGGATACGGCCTCTCCATCCTCACCATTGCCGCGCCCATCGTCCTCACCCGCATCGCCTTTAACCTCCTCCCGAACAACATCGTCTTCATCTCGCTGCACGCCATGATGCGGGACTTCACCATCCTCACCTTCATCGGCATCTGGTGCTTCACGGGCTTCCTGCTCGCCCTCCAGTGGCTGCTGAAGGCGAAGGAGGCGAGCGACCCGGACACCCCCAATTGGATGACGATATGCAAGTGGCTCTTGTGGATTTGGTTCGGTCTCGATGGAACGGGTATCGACGAGGCGGCAGGCTTCCACATCATCCTGGGTCCAGCGCTCATGATCAGCTTTGCCTTCCTGGGCAACACCCTATTCTCAACCATCCTCGTCGCCATGCTGACCAACACCTTCTCTCGCATCATCACCAACGAGAAGACGGAGATCAAGTTCCGCCGCACCGTCATGACCTTCGAGGGCGTCAAGAGCGACTCCATCTTCTCCTACCCCCCGCCCTTCAACATCGCAGCCCTGGTCCTCCTACTACCCCTCAAACTCGTCATGTCCGAGCGAGAATTCCACTACCTCAACGTCTTCCTCGTCCAGACGATCAACGCGCCCCTGCTCCTCATCATCACCTGCTTCGAGCGGCAGCTCTGGGCGCCCAAGAAGGAGAAGAGCTCGTGGGCCAAGCTCGTCTTCACCGGCTTCTGGCCGCACGGAGACATCAACGCCGTGCTCAAGGCCGACCCGCCGCCGGAGCTCATCGCCCAGCTCGAGCGGCTCGACCCGATCAAGGAGATTTCCGTCCTGGAGGACGATTTGATAGCGGAGGCGCAGCATGAGGTGACGCACGCGAAGCTGAGGAGGGCCATGATGGGCGCCCTAGGTTAGATAAATGATGGTGTTTTTTATTCTTCTTCTGGCGCAAGTGTCCTTTCTCGTCCCGTGGATGGACGATACGCGAGCGAGCATTTACAGCATTGCGGTTTCGGCGTTTGTTCTTTGCATGGCGGGCGGTTTAGACCATAGAATGTAGTTACGTTAGCACAAGTTTCATGACAAGAATATGACTGCTTTGATACCCCAAATTTCGTCACATGGCTATGGAGAACGATGGTGACAGGTTGAACAAAACAACGTATTGTCTGTACAGACCCTCATAAATCATATTCGATTGACAGAGACTTATATGCTTACAACTATCTCACTGTCCAACGACCCTGCCAGTGGCCACCAATGTCCAACTGGCCCAAGGAAGATGCGTCCCAGTTATTCGCATCAAAACTGATCTTCTCATCGCCCACAAAGAAATCCTCAATCACGAGGCCGAGATTCCCAGGCGACTGATCCCCCAGCGCAATGGTCTGGTTACCATTCTCCCCGTCCGTGAACACTCGAATAGTGCTCCGTCCAACCCCCGTTGTTGGTGCACCGAGCTTCTCGGCCCAGATATTAGAGAAGGTCATGTTGTCAATGTTCTGCAAGGGGTTGAAGCCAAGCAGCCCGGGGCAGATGCCCTCGCAGCGCCAGTTGGTGACTCTGTAGTTGGAGAGGCGTTTGTTTATATCAGCGGTTGACGTAGACTCGTCATCCTCATAACTGGCAGCTGACGCTACAAGTGCCCGAGGCCAAGGCGTCTCTTGGGAAATGTAGCGTGTGTGGATGACCTCGACAGAATCGACGGTGACATTGTCCAGGTCTCGCGCGTACCAACCAAACTGAACGATGGGGGCATTGTTGGATTTCCAGACTGTCATCTTCTCACAAAGCACATTGCTGTAGTACGTCTTGATGCCATCGTCTCCAACGTGGTAGAAGACGTTTCGAACATGGGATCCGGGATACATCTGGATGCCGTCGGTCTGGCCGAAAAACGCGCCCACTTGCTTATAATCAGAGGCATCCACTGAGAATGAGCTCATGTCGCCGTAGAAATCCATGCTGTTAAAAGGAGGTGCATTGATGGTAAGTCCATGAAGAGCCCATTTTGCACCTGCGGCAGAGTGGCCACGCCACATCTTTAACGAGGTATCGTCGGATTTGACGTTCTCGTAGCTCTGGGCGGTGTTGGCCTGGTAGACATATTGCTCGCCTGAAAGGACACCGAATCCAGTGGCACGGAGGTCAAGTTGCTGGCTTTCATACTGGATCGCTCCCTTTACATATGCCCCAGGAGCTAGATAAACCCATGTAATACTGGGAGACAGGATGGCGTGGTTCGAGCCTGTGAGCCAGTAAACTCCTGGAGAGAAATAGAGAGTCGACTGTTGAACCTGCGTTAAATCCGTAACCCAACCCTCGGGAACTCTGTAGACATTGTTTTCCAGATCTGGGATATACTTCTCCTCTGGAAAGGGGCTCATGAACACCAACAAAGCGTTGAGTGGCTCCACGCCCACGACGGGCATTGTATCGTCGTACTCTGACACATAGCTCATTCCATTGGGGTTTTTGTTCTGCACGTAATGGGACCCAGTGCCTGGCCCGGCATTGCGGTATTGCCACAAATTGTCGTTGAATTCGACCGAGAACCGATGACCCTCTTCGCTAAAAGGGACGTGGATGAGCAAGGTATCTCCGTCTTGTTCCATGGTGAATCCTAGAGTGGTCGGCCGGATAACAACTCCTGCTGCATCGACAGAGCCGCCATCTGTCCTGGTAATTCTAACAACGGTATCGATAGCCGCGAGGTACTGCGTCCACGCCATGTCCACGCCGATGTCAGCTTCGATGCTGATCTGATCGTCCACATCGCTGGTAGAGCTCGGGTCTCCGGGGATGCGTATCTTGCCGTTGCCGTTCCTGGGAATGCTTTCGTACACGAAGGAGTCATAAAAGTTCGTAGTGTTGGTGGAAACGCCGACTTGGATTGAGTATAAGTGGGATTGGCGCACATTTCCGTTTTGCACTGGAGTCTGCGTGTTGATTTCGCCAGTGTTGTGCCACCACGTTTTCAGCACATCCGAATCTGCCGTTGTATTGAGAGCTGTTATTGTCAGCGGCGAAGTAGAGTTGCTTCAGCACCTTTTACTGACCTTGTACTCCAGCGGTGCTGATGGCAATAGCTAAGAGGCCAAGAGCCATCCTTCCACATTGACCAGACATGATGGGAACATACATTAGAAGCTCGTTAAAGGAGGCAAGTTATTGACCGTGTTGCCTTGATGATCCACGGTCGTTGATATTCGCGGCAGTTGATATTGGTTGCGTGGAGCCTGCTGTTTGATTTACGGGCCGATCGTGATGATCATCCCCGTAAGATTAAACGGAGCGTCTGCAGGTTTCTAAGAATGCTTTGTGAAACAACCTCACCTTGTTCTCGCACGAAGGATTTCCTCCACTCTTAGCTTGACTATTCTTAGACCTATTCAGGCAGCCACTCATCGGCTTACTATCGTAAAGTAAGCCGGATTATTTCCAATGGTAACCCATTTGTTCTTGAGATAGGTTACCATCGAAGTTGCCGCAACCATTAGTAAGAGCAAATCGGTAGCTTGCATTTCTCACTGTAGGTTAAAGTCGTTGGAGATGATAAAGCCTAAGTAATTTCTATCTAGGCAACGATAAAGGCAAGAAGATCATTTAGAATTGGACGGGAAGCTCAACATTTTGCCCCCATGTGTGTGAGATTCTCGGCTAGCCTTGAGAACTAAGTACTAGTTGAAGCATACCGCGCTGTTAGAAATTAAGAAAAACACCTGTTCGACCTAGGTGCAATATAGCTGGAAGATTTTAAGGCGTGAGCATAAATCTGAGGACGATAATTATGACCGAGGACAAAACTCAGTGAAGTTTTGCATTGCCGGGAAATTTTGTGCTGGAAACTGGATTATAAAGGTTTGAAATTTAAATCAATGACGTCGCTATAGGCTTTTGTCATTCCCTCCCTCTCAAGAAACCATTTTTTCCACTCTCGCCTTGAAAGCTTACTCAACGATAACTAATCGATTAACAGACTCTACTTTTTCTTTTTTTGCCCCATTATTTTACAAGGAAACATTCACCGTTGTACTATCTATATAATTACATGGCACCGTATCCTCTGCAAGCTCGTGAGGTTGGTAGCTGCGACCCTGGCCGTTCTGTACGACTGAAAGAGTGTCTAAACTGTTACCAGAGCATGTGTTAAACTACTAAGATTTGCATCTCTATTTTTAGAATTTCCAGCGGCCAATCAGAGAGGCATGTTATCACATAGATAGCTTGTGCAAGTGCACTTTTGGCCGTAACCCCGCAGTTCTTAAGCCTCTTTGCATCAACAAAATCGAATTATCTTACTCTTGGCCCTCCTTATAATATAGTATCAAATCGTTGTTGCGATGTCAGAACCCGGGGCGTCATCAACAAATACCTGCCCTGATTGCAATAAGATGCTACCGCCGGTGGTTGTCCCCTACCACTGTTTGAACTGTATACTGGAAGTTGGCTTTAGCCCGTCTCGCGACTATGTTAGTCAACCGTAGCCTTAATCAGGGAAATTACAAATTCGAGAGACTAACGACTAACTGGGAATGCTCTGAAAGGATCAAACCGTGAGCCGCAAAAGTCCGAAAATGTCTGAAAATATCAAACCCACCCAGGAAGGAGAGGATGCTGCTGATGTTGCGGCTCGAACCAGCCCGAATCAGGCAGCCCCGTTGAGTGACACAGCCCTCCGTTCGCTCGGTCTACTTGGTGATAGATTTCAAACTGCTGAGATAGTGGCTATGGTGGCAGACTTTGAGAAGAAACTTCCACTTCATAGGGAAGCCATCGCCAGATTTCCTGATAATCAAGCCCGTGCTTATCTCTTGAATGCAATTGCGAACGCACTTAACATGCTTTTTACCTTGACGGGAGTGGTCTCAGTTCAAGATCTCTCCGTTAAATATGCAAAGGACGCTCAGCATGAAACCAGCGAGAAGCCGGAGAATGATCCATTTCGGCTGGAAGTCATGGACACCCTTCGCACTGTATTGATGGCCCGATATCGACGCATTTGGGATCTACAAGATCTAGAGCAGGCTATTGAAATCACACGGAGTGTGAGAGATTTACCCAAGTACGACTATCTAAAGCATTCAATACGTCTCGCCGATCAACTCATGTTCAGGTATTTGAGATGTGGTGAAGTGGCCAGCCTCGAGGAAGCCAAGCTTATTTCTCGCGGAGCGCTTTTGGCCACTTCAACGAAAAATCCAGATTATGCAGACTGCGTGTTCAGTCTTGCGAGGAGTATTTTTCTCAGCAGCGAACGAACGAGTGGATTATCTGAGCTGGAGGAAGCGATCCAGTACTTGAGGTCAGTTGAGGAATTTCTTGCAGATGGCGACAACGAGAGATTATTCGAATATTTAGGCGACCTGTCAAATTGCCTGAACTACAAATACTCAATAACCTGTCAAGCGAGTCTGTTGGAAGAGGCGATCCAGTTGATGAGGGGGGCTGTAGAGCTTATCGGCCCAGAGAGTGATCGTCATCCCGAAATTCTTTGCCAAATTTCGGTTCTACTTGGAGAAAGATACTGTCGAGTAAGGTCCATGGATGACTTGATTGAGTCTATCGGTTACGGGGAAAGGGCGATAAACGCCAGCTTACCCAGCGATTACAGACTCCCTGCATTCATGACCTCTCTAGGAAATAGAATCATGGAACTGTATCTGCGGACCGGGAAGTCAATCTATTTGGACAAGGCAATTGAACTATCAAGGGGTGCGCTCAAGAAAAGCCCAGAGGGCCATCCATCGCACGTGGAACATGTCCTGCCCCTCACCTTTCAACTCGTCGAGAGATACTCCAGATTTGGCATGATGGCCGATCTAGAAGAGGCTATTCAACTTGCTAAAGAGACGCTCAGTCTCGGCTCGCTGAACAATTCGATCCGGGCGACATGCTTCAACATTGCCGCAACGACATTGGGGGACAATGGCTTGAGAACAGATTCTCTCGCGGATCTCGAGGAATCTGTTCGGTACGCAAATTGTGCCGTTGATGAAATCCCAGAGGGACATTCAAATCGGGCAGCTCATTGCAGCAATTTCGCTAGGATGCTAAAATCGATACATGGGGTGACTAATTCCATGTGCGCCCTAGAGAAGTCCATCCGATATGGAAGGCAAGCGGTTAAAGAGACGCCACCAGGGAATGCGAACGTGATAATTTATTTCAGCAATCTCGCATCAGACCTTGCGGAAAAGTACCGCAAAATAAAAGAGGCTGCGGTTTTGGAGGAGGCGATTAGCTATGCTACCAAGGCAGTCACTGACTGGCCGGAGGAATCCCAATACCGCGCAGTAGCCTTGGCAAACCTTGGAGATTACCTTCGAGACAGGTATGCAATCTCAAAAGCAGCTTCTGACCTAGAAGCTGCGATGCAAAACTATGAGTTAGCTCTCGCCCATACGGCATCTCCCATCATGAGCCGTATCAGGGCCGGCATCGAAATACTTGAGCTCTCCAGCGCTCACTCAAGCTGGCGTCGGGCTTTCGAGGCCTCTGCAACGGCGGTAGGTCTTATCCCACAGCTGTCAATGCGGTCACTAGAGAACTCAGACAAGCAGTACATGCTCAGGCAAGCTGCCGGTTTGACATCAAATGCTGTCGCGGCTGCCATCAACGCAGGGGAGGGGCCCCTCTGCGCCTTGAGTCTTCTCGAGCAAGGCCGAGGCTTGATAGCATCGTCCATTGAGGAGATCCGAACAGACGTGCTGGAGTTGCGGAAAGCCTACCCGGAACTGGCAGACGCTTTTGTCTCCCTCGGCAATATCCTAGATATGCCACAAGCATCTACCTATCAGCATATTATAACTGCTCCACAGGCGGGGGCAGATAGGAGATACAAAGTAGACAAGGAGCTGGCTGAATTGATCGAAACGATTCGTAAAAAGGACGGGTTTGGTAACTTTCTCCGGGCCCCGAGTGAGGTTGACATACAAGATGCAGCCAGGAATGGTCCTGTCGTGGCTATCAATGTGAGCAAGTTCCGCTGCGACGCGCTCCTTGTTGAGAATCATCAAATTCGTCTTCTGCCGTTGCCTAGTTTACATCTTGTAGATATCAAGGAAAGGGAGCTTCAGTCAAGCCTTGGGAGCACTGTCGTTCTTGAATGGCTGTGGGATACCGTGACGGGTCCTGTCCTACATGCTCTGGGGCTCACTCCGGTTCCTTCAGGTGCGAATAACTGGCCTCATATATGGTGGATTCCTACAGGTCCTTTGGGGAGATTCCCCCTTCACGCATCAGGACATCACCAGCACGGCTGTTCGGAAACTGTTTGCGATAGAGTCATGTCATCGTATAGTGCATCCATCAAAATGATGATATATGGTCGGCGCCACGCTAAAACATCCCGAGTAATAAACCAGGCACTGATGCTGGCAATGGAGAACACCCCCGGGACTACAAGACTCCCGTTCGCAGCAGCGGAGGTGAAACAAGCATTTCCCATCTGTCAGTCGATGGGACTCAGCCCTATCACACCCGAACCTTACAAGCAGTCTGTGCTGTCGCAGTTGTCGCAGTGTTCCGTATTCCATTTTGCCGGTCATGGCGTCACGCACGATACGGACCCATCAAAGAGTCATCTTCTTCTCTGTGATGGTGTTCACAACCCACTGACGGTTTTAGAGATTCTGACTCTGAACCTGCGTAAAAATCCTCCGTTCCTCGCCTATCTCTCGGCTTGCGGAACGGGTAGGATCAGGGACGAGAAGTTCTTTGACGAGAGCATTCACTTGGTCAGTTCGTTCCAAATAGCCGGGTTCCGCCATGTGATTGGTACGCTGTGGGAAGTCCAGGACGAGATGTGTGCTGAGATGGCAACGGTAGTTTATGAAGAAATGAGGGACGGGGAAATGAGCGATGATTCGGTTTGTAGAGGATTGCATAAAGCAACCAGAGCGGCTCGCGACCGTTGGTTGAGTGTCTCATCTAACCCGGAACGCAGCAGTCGGGCTACTCTGAAGCGAGAAAGCACAGAAAGCACGGAAGCAGCCGATGACATAGCTTTTCTGTCTGTTCATGGAGAGATCCGATTACCGAGAGACATACAAGAATGTGCTGAGGGTGAGCAATTTTGGGTTCCCTATGTCCATTTTGGGATATAGAAAACATGAACCGAAAGGCCATAAAATAATATAGAATTATCAAGCAAAATAAAGAGGCTACATGTACGTTACGTAACCCATTGATAAAACTAAATGGCAGACATCGAAATCGAGTTCATGGATGGAAAGAGAATGGTAGTTGATCAAAACCATACTAGAAAGATAGACTAGCAATAAGTTGGAGCTGTATATTTGAATCTCATGCATTTGTGGAATATACACTCAATAACTCATTCAAGACACGTGCTTTGCAAATGCGGAGATGAAAGGGACTTGTCGTGGGCGTGAAATACCAGAGTCCCTTGACTGTGAAGCATCCTTGCAAGTGACTACAGCAACTGAGCCTGGAGGCAGTCACCGGAGTGATACGGATCCGGTTTGGCATGTGATGTTGTTTGGAACTCGCTCTGGCATCAGTGATTGGGAGCAGAGTTCCTGAATACGAATAGTCATTCCGCTTACCTTCTGGCCATATTGTATACCTTGGCTCGAGGATCAATTATCCCTGTGCTCCTTAAAGCATGCCCGAGGTTTAATTGAGAATAGATACCGGAGATAGATAGATCGAGGGTTAAAAGAAAAGAAGTTGTCAGACCCAGTAACTTCTTTTGTTTTAACCTTCAAGCTATCTCCTCCGGTATCTCCTCTCAATAAAATCTCGGGCATGCTTCCAGGAGCACAGGGAGCGAGGGTTGAGCAAAACTTGTTTTCTCTCGACTGGCGGAGTCCGTCATACCCCGCTCTTCACAACACCGAGATCTGCGCTTAACGAATTTTTGAAGTTAGCAGCTAAAACGGGGCACTCCTTTCAAAGGAGAGAGAGATCCGGGGGTGGCTGCTCGTCTTTAATGAATTCCAAAGCTCTGGTTGCTGTCGAGATCAAGAAGAAGGCGTCAGCAAATCAGTGAAAACAGTCCATCGTCTGACTCCTCGTAATCTCGTTCTTTGCGGCCACAACGGGTTGTACTTTACGAGTCGTTGAACGAATCGGCGCCTTTTTCGCATCGGCCGACGGCAGTTCCGTAACGCTAAAATTTGCACCCGCGACTTGTTTTTGTGCACGGTGGCCAAGTGGCCAAAGAAGGAACATCTTGCATGTGAAGAAAGAAAAAGCGAGCCGTGGAGAATGCTGGAACCAATTGACGATGGTGACCCTACAATTTCGGGGCAACTTCTCCGAGTTGGGAGCAATGCAGCGTGACCGAGCGCGCGGGAAAGTAGAGCCAACGAGGATGTTTCACGGTGCGCGCACCGCGCTGGAGCTCGCAAAATGCTGGCAGTTGGCTCAGGCGGCTCAGGCGCTGGCCCTGGGAATCTGGGATCAGGGTTGCGTTGTAGGGCTCGAGTCACCGAAGTACCGGGTGTCCAGTCTGACCAGCCAGTTCGCCGAGCCCCATGTGCCAGCAATTAGGACTCATCAGGCAAGTAGAAACCGACCCTCGGGATTCTGCATAAGAGGTGAGATTCACCGAGATTCACCCTCGATTGAGCGTGGCACTCAGGGCAGGCTCAGGGGTCGGTTTGGCGAGGCGAGATGAGCCAAGTTTTTGGTGATCGACAAGGTGTGTGTGTGTAGAGGTACAACACGTCGATGTGCCGGTCTCCCAGGTGGGCTTTCCTCGGCCCAGCCAACCGATCATCATCTGGTGTTGGCCGAACCAACGGGATTCGATTGAATCCATGTGAAAATACACACATGCGGAACCTCGCAGAGTACCGAGTCTCGGTAAACGACGATTTCGTCCAGCCCGCAATCTTGGTTCTCCTCGGGGTCCGCAGCAATATTTTTCGCAATTCCCCCTGAGGGTTGAAGGGGCCGCCGTGGGAGATATATTTAGACCCCTGGCCAGGAATTTAGGAGGCTACTGTAGCACTGGGACCGATGGAGCTGGTAGTGATAAAATCTTCCCAAAGGGGCCAAAGTGGCATCACGGAAAGTGGGAGGCCTGTTGGGGGTTCTAGAAGGATGGTTCGCTTGGAGGGGAATATGTAGCGAGCAGATGACACACCTGTTATGAGGTGAGTCTAGAGCCAGGAGATCCACGGGGGGGAACGCCCGGAGGGTTGTGAGGTCCCCGAAAGAGCCAATAAGGGTGGCGGCAGCGTTTGCGGTGGGTTTGGGCCAGTCAGTACAATGCAGCATCTTCAATCATGCCGCGTACAGACGCTCGCATTGGTATCGCCTAGAGTAGTGCCTCATGTGGCAGACGCCGAGCGAGAGCATAGCCAACGAGAAGAGCCCTAGCAAGAGCAGACCGCAGCAAGCGAAGCACTCGCCAACACAATGCGAGCCAGCCAATGCGAGCCAGCAACAGGTGGCCAACTTGCATTGGAGGAGGGATGGGCCTGTCACAGCACGCGACACAACGCCTGTGCGGCTGGACGAGAGGCAGCCCCGATGAGGCGCTACGTCGCGAGTACCGCCCTGGCCTCAGACGGACCCTCGTAAAGCTCGTACCGCGCCCGTAGCGGCTGGATGGAGCAGAGGCGGGTGAAAATTTAAGATTGCTGGGCCAGGAGTCAGGACACGGCACCCTTCCCGGGCCTGGCGTCAGCGCCGTCGACCTCCGCTATCCCTGTTGCAGCAGTCGCTCGTGTGTGAGGTCGGGTAAGCGGCAGTCTGGGGCTCGGCACCAAGCAATAGTTTGTCTGGGGAAGAGTCGCGAGAGCCAGCGCTGGCATTGTCAAACCTGATTGTTGTGCCATGAGAGGACGCCGTGCTGATCAGCTGGCTGGGGCGTCATCACACGCACCCAACCCCGGCTGGAATGTACCTGGCGCACAGGAGAGCAGCAAGCTGGGACGAAGCTGGTTGGCACGCGCCTCCTTGCCTCATCGGTCGCGATGTGTCCTGGGCGTCTTGGTTTGGGTTTGCAGATGCATTTCTGACTCTCGGGCCCCACGTGACACACCACCAGGTGCAAAGTTGGTGCCTGAGGTACAGATACTTGCGGGCTGAACTTCTGAAAACCTACTAGAAGTGGCGCATGAATCAACTCCCATCAGCAATGGATGGCAATCAGCATGGCAAATCTGCGCTGACATGAGACGGCAACCCAACAGCGGAACTTTGGCATCTCCAGGCTGACTCTCTCTCACATGAATAGAGACAAAATCGGATCCCGGCATGCTGCTCCTAGGGCATCGCAGCTCCACTGGGCTGAAATGCTGCTGTAACCTAGTGGCGGCGCTAGGCACCGGCTGGTCCCAGCAGCAGGGCAGGGCAGCCCGTAAGGCGCGGACAGCGAATGAGAGCGCCAAGGGGGGACGCTAGCGAGGGCCTAGGCCTGGAGGTGCCGAGAAAGCAGCCTCCAAAAGGGCCTGTGCCAGGTACTGGTACAGCACACAGGCCCTGGAACCAAGATTGAGAACAACTGCACAGCACAATAAATCGAATCGACCGCGGTATTGTGTCTGTTTAGGGACGTAATTACCTAATTCCTCGCCCAATCACCCAGTTCCCATTATGCGTCATCTCCCGGCTGCCGCTAAACCGGTGGCTGCTCGTGTGCTGCTGCTCCTGAGATGACGCCCGGCAAGGCTTTTCGCAGCTGGAGGCTGATCTGATCTGAGGATTGATTCTCCTGATCTGCGGCCACTGTTTCTATTTTCTCCCGCCACAACAGCGTTTGCATTGGGGTCGGTTTGTGTCTCAGGCCCCCTTCCATCCTGCAGTCATCCATCCCAATCTGCCTTTTCTTGTGTCACTCCCTCGCTCATTCATTCACCCTCCCTTGCCCGCCTTCTTTGCTTTGTCTCTTCCTCTCTTCTTTCCACCTTCTCGCCCATATCCTGCCTCCAGCTGCTGCCCCCTTCCCGATCCACTCCTTCTCCAACCGACCACTCTCTTCTTCACCACGGGGAGGAGGCATGGGCAAGGAAGCCGAGGTCTAACTCTCCCACCGGAACGGCACCATCTCCTCTGCCGTCACTCGCATCACCACCAATCATGCTGCCGTCCAGCTTCTTCCCGCAGCGCCTGGCGTCCTCGGTCTGCTCCCGCCTCGCCAACCGCCGCTTCGCCTTCACACTGACCGCCCTGGCCGTGCTCGTCGCCAAGTTCGTCCACATCCACAGCCATCTCTCGGCCCTGTCGACGCAACAGCTGCTGCTCTGGACCTACTCCTTCTTCGCCCAGGATCTCGGCCTGCTCATCTTCATCCGCCTTCTGCTCGACCACTGGGTCGCACAGGCCTCCAAGGGCTCGCGCTTTGCCATCGCCACCCTCACCAACACGCTCATTGCTTACAATGTCTTCCTCGGCCTCGTCGCCACCACCTTCTATGTCGTCTCAGGATCCGAAATTCGCTGGCGGAACGTTGCTGTGGCGAGCGATGCCTCGTCACGTGCCCTCGTCCTCACCGGCACCGTCACCTTCGTCATCATCATTGGTCTGAACCTGGGATGCAGCTGGCTGCTTCAGGATGCCTGCTATGGCCTGTTTGGCTTCTTTGCTGATGTTGTCAACGCGTGTTTCTGCTTCGTTGCGCGCCTGCTCGCCCGCGTCTTCTGCTGCCGTTCGCGCGCGTACGCCAGAATCCCCCAGCAGGACGTCGAGTATTATCGTAGGTCTAGCTTCGATCTGTCCGACTCCGATTCCGAGAGCGGCCTTAGTAGTAGCGTAAATAGTGGCATCTTGTCGCCCCCGCACGCCTTCTTTCGACTTCTCTCCCGCTGGTTAGAGAGGGCCAACATCAGGGCTTCACCTACCGCCGTCCAGTTCGTTTGCAAGGTTATCGTGTACATCCTCGCCTCGATCCTCCTGGTCGGCCTCATCGTCACGAGCATCCTCCGACCTGTCGACGGCTCGTTGACTTTCCTCTCGTGGACCACTGGACTGCTCCCCTTCATCGACTTCTCGTCGTCGTCGCCCACTCTCGAGAAGCTTCAGACCCATTATGGCACTGGGATCCAGCACAAATGGGACAACATCTCTGCGCTCGCCGAACCCATCCCCCTGACGTGGCTCCCGGAGGGCGAGCCGCCTGTTGGATTCGAGGACTGGTACAAGCACCTGGATCATTATAGCGCCGCCGCCGACCCGATGAAGATTGACAACCTAGACAAGCCTCTCCTTCCTGAGCTCAAGAACAAGCTCAAAGACATCAACATCCGGCACGTTATTGTCTTCTTTCTGGAGAGCACCAGGAACGACGTGTTCCCTATCAAGAAGGATGGCCTGATCTGGAACCGACTGGCTGAGACCTGGCCCGACAAGAAGCTGCCCAAGCATGTGCAGGATAAGCTCGCCACGCTGACGCCAACCGCCAACTTCATCACCGGAGACTTTGACGACGGCTTCGACCACCCCAAGGGATCGCAGAAGGGACGAGGCGGTCTTCACTTCACCAAGGCGGTCACGGCAGGCACCTATACTCTCAAGAGCTTGCCCGCCACCCTGTGCGGAATTCCTCCTCTGATTGCCGATTTCAACCTCGACTACCAACACCACATCTACCAGCCCTGCTTGCCTCACATCTTTGAGGCCCTGAACCGCCTCGAGCAGTCGGATGATGCCAAGGACCCGTATGCCAAGTCCAAGTGGCAATCGTACTTTTATCAGACCGCCACGCTCCAGTTCAACCAGTTCGACAAGCTCATGGCCAAGATTGGCTTCCCCAAGGAGAACACGATTGACTCCGAGTACCTGCGCTCCAAGGCCGCCACCCACGGACGTGTCCCTAACCCGAACACCAACTACTTTGGTTTCGAGGAGGAGCCGCTGATGGACTACATCCGCGATGCCTTCAAGTCCGCCAAGGACAACGATGAGCGCGTTTTCCTCTCGCACATAACGAGCACAACCCACCACCCATTTGTCCTCCCAGACGAGACCAAGTACGTCCCGCTGTCCAACGGCCTTGACGAGCTGTCGCACTACATCAACGCCCAGGGCTACGACGACCGGTGGGCGCAAAAGGTCCTCGACCTCCTCGAGGAGCAGGGCGTCGCCAACGAGACCCTCGTTATATTCACCGGCGACCATGGGACCTCCCTCGCCGAGAACGACATCGCCTCGGCCTACTACGACCCCAACGTCGGCGTAGACCATGTGCCCCTCGTCCTCTCCCACCCGCAGCTCCCGGCCTTCTCCGTCAACGACGCCGTCTCCTCCGTCCAGGTCCTCCCCACGCTCCTCGACCTTCTTCTCGAGACCGGGTCGCTCAACAAGCAGAGTCGCAAGGCCATCCAGGATCTTGTCGCCAACTACGAGGGGCAGTCCATGATCCGCCCGCAGAAGACCATCAGCGAGAAGACGGGGCAGGGCAACTGGCAGATCACAATCGTCAATCCCGGCCGCGCGCTGCTCTCAGTCCGCGACGCGCGCTACCCGGATCGCCATCTCGTGGTGCCCGTAATCAACAACGTCGAGTGGCGCTTCACCAACATCACCGAAGATCCGCGCGAGCAGCATTCCGTGCAGGGGTTCAACTTCCCCACGTTCCTGGAGAGCGTGGAGGAGAGGCACGGCGTTGAAGTCGCAAAGTGGATAGAGGAGGGCGCATTTATCGTGAGGTTCTTCGTGGAGGAGAACAATAAAAGATGGAGGTATGGGCCGTACGCCGTCTAATAATCTTTTTTTTGCCCTTCCGTCGGGGTTTATGTCTTTGCTCCGGCCGGGAGGGAGGGGCTGTGTAAAAACTGCACTGGGATTTAGGATTTTTCTGGCGTTTTCGGGGGAACAAGCATAACCAGGGCATTCATCCATGCAACCCACCAACTTTGTTTTTGAGTAACTAGAAGCGATTAGAAATGGTGGGCTGGTCTGGTCAGGCGTATATTTTGATTTGTATAATAGGATGCATCATACAGTACATGCAGAAAACTAATTGATGAGGACATTTCAATCCATTTAGGTATTTAAAGTGTGCGGGCTTAAGAGCTTAACTCCCGGGCGAGCGACAACCCCTGGTAAGCTTATCACGCCGGGATTACGTATGTGATGACATCCCCCGCATGGTCGCTGCTTCGCTTCGTTCCGCCTCGTTCCGCGGATTTGGTCAGCCGCGGATGTGGTTGCAGGGTCTGGCCCTGCGCATCTTGAATGATGGTGTGAGGATCTGGTCGTGATTGGGCTTGATCCGAGGGATGTTTCGGACGAAGAAGGTAGAGTGTGATCTCGCTAAGCCACTCGAGCTCCTATTCTGCTGGAACTCTGGGTCCTCATACTAAGCGTAATCAGTGGAGTCGATGGAAGAAATGGTGGTAAAATCTAGTTGAGTGGTGCTTCCTACGTTTGAACGAGTGTGATCTTTAGACCGAGATGCCAAGCATATTATCGATTGACTAATATACAAGTCCCCTTTACCTGATTTCGAGATGTAATGAACTAGCATGCGCTTAGAATGTAGCTGGACATGACAGAGGGGATGGTGTTGGGACAAGATCGATATTGGCCTGGCGATATCTAGTCACGCACGGCAGTGTTGGATCAAGCGGTTTTTTGCCAGCAATCATTTCAAATACCATTCTACTTGAATAAATATGGAATCATTCTTTCCATAGCTTCAAGCGATCAACGGGGTATCTGCTTATTTGGCAAAGAGACCCAAGGTCTAAAAGAACCATCTCCTATCTTCCATCTCAGGTAGGTAGGCCTTCCGAAATCAATTTCGTGAAAGAGATCACCTTTTTTAGCATGTTTATTATGAATATCTCCATCTTGGGATGAATGAAGTTGAAGAGAACACCATGGAGAACAAAACGCGTGAAGCTTCTACATCCACTTCACCTTGCAGGCGAGATGTTCCAAGGCAATATTGGCGATGCCTGCCTGTTCCTCATTCATAATAATTTGATAGAATGAATCATGAGAAATATACTCCGTAGAGATTGAAGCAATAGGCCTGCTGGGTCTTGGAGTTGAGTGCAAGTCGCGAAAGATAATTTGGCCAGCTTTTAGGAGCTACCCTACAGTCAATCATTTGCCCAAGCTGAGTCCTGCATTTGATCACTTGTCCTATTCTTTTGAGGATCAGAAAACGACCATATGCATATTTAATTTATTTTCGAATCGGAAAAGATACTAATGACCCTATGATTGGTGCGCCTAATATGGCAATGCCGTGGGACGGTCTGAAAGCAAGGTGTTGGAATGGTTTATCTCACATGGCAAGATGCAATGGTATTTCTCAATTTTGTGAGCTACACTTTCAAAGCAAACATCATCGGAGTCTAAATATAATTAAGTCTTCATACGTAATCGAAATCTATTAAACAAAGGATATAAAACTCTATCATTGACATAAATGCACAAAACTCCGCCCAATTCATTATCCGTTATCATTAAATTGAAGGACCGAAAAACCTGACGCGCTCTTCAACATCCTGAAATTGCTTAGGGCCAGGATCCCCGGCGCGGCCGCCAAAGACGAGCTGGGCGTTGAGCTTCCAGCTCGTCGGGATATCCCACTCGGCGGCGACCTTGTCGTCGATCAGGGGGCTGTAGTGCTGGAGGTTGGCGCCCAGCCCTTCCGTCTCGAGCGTGGCCCAGAGGATGTACTGCTGCATGGCCAGGCTCTGCGTCGCGAACATGGGGAAGTTGTCGGCGTATCTGGGGAACTGGTCCTGCATCTTCTTGATGGCGTCCTGGTCGTCGAAGAAGAGGATCGTGCCTGCGGCGGCCCGGAAGCCCGCGATGCGGTCGGCCGTGTGCTGCCAGCTGTTGGGGGCGACGATGGCCTTGAGGGTGTCCCTGACGATATCCCATAGCTTGTCGTGCTCGGCGCCAAAGAGGACGAGCAGGCGGTTTGACTGGGAGTTGTAGGAGGAAGGGGTGTGGAGTGTAGTCTCTGTTACGAGCTCCTGGATCTCGTCGCGCGTGAGATAGCCGAGATCTTTATTCAGCTGGTAATAGGTGCGACGGCTCTTGACGGCGTCGAGGAACGTATTGGTGGTTTCGGTAAAAGCGGGCATTGTGGTTGTGATGTTGTCGGGATTCGGTCGTCTGAATGTCACGAATGTATATTTAGAAGCGAATCAGATGCGACCGTTATGTTGATTGATGCTACAACTGCAATTGTATCTGTTGTAGATGTAATACTACGAGAAAACAAGCCGGATTACAATGATGACAGCGCCTGGCTATATATAATCGCAAAAGAACCAACAAACCCATCTCTCAACCCCGACTCCAATATTTGATCGATTGGCGCGCGTTGCAAGTTTCCCGAGCAGAAGAATCATGGAACTTTCAGGCGCAGATTTGTCAGTGGATTAGCAGAAATGACCAACGAATGAACCCCTTCGCTTGTAATGTCGCGCGCGGCAGCTCCACATCAGCCGGCTGAACGTCTGGTGTGTGTGGCATTTGCTGACGGATTTAGTAAAGTGACGCGCTCTCGGCTTCCCTTCTGGTATTGCCGCGCGCGCGGATTATCAAAGCTTGATCGTGGGTGCTGGAAGGGGATATCTCTACACGGACTGTGGCCAATCGCGGAGAATCAATTCTTGTCATCCACACGGGACAGGCAGAGAGATTTGGAACTTACCAGCATCGCATTAGAAGACAGCGACCCTGGTATACTCTTGGTGGTCGAAGAGCATTTGTAGCCTGTATCACATAGTCTAGTCCGTTATGCATCGGCAAGGTGAGAAGCATTTCGTGATGGAACATGACCGCAAGTACCCCCCTGCATCGATCAATATCTGTCTGGCGCGCGTGAAATATGGATTAAAAAGCCGCTAGCCAGATGACGGTCAGCATCATGCGAGAAACCGGCGCTTTCCAAGTGGAGGTGAGATGATACCTTAGACGTTGGGACTTGTGTATGTCCACGAGATGGAACTAGGGTTGTCGGCCGCAGGCAAATTTTTTTTTCAGTTGAAAGAAGAGTAGTCATTGTACGCTGAAAGGATCTATTTCACTAAGATAAAGGTTACTACTGCTTGCTCTGGCTCTCACCCAAAGTTGCTGCAGCCTTGAGCTCCTCTATCGTCAACGAAAACTCCGCGTAATGCTCCTCTAGATGTTCTATAAACGACGGTGTGGGGATGCTACCCGCCTTCAAAAGCGTGCAGAAACCTAACCCTCGCCCGGCAAGTTCTCGGATCGCAGCCTCGAAGCCCACTATTTCTGTGCTTGCATCCTTGGTGAGACTCATCAGATATTCGTAGGCCGCATGAGATCCCTCAGGCGCCTCTTTTAGCCTGGAGTGTACCCCTGTTCCTGGTGCAAACTGGCGCTCGATAAGATCACTCGCCTCGGCGGTTGAAGAGAGTTGCGGGGCAATCTTGTGAGCTATTTTTGCTTTTGACTCTTTGTCAATGGTCACGATATACCGTATGACGGCAGAGGGATTTTCGAGTCTTGGTAGGAGCTCATCGACCCGCGAGGTGCCTCGACTGGCCTCATCGATATCTACTGCGAGCCCTGAAAGTAGCTGCAGGAGTAGGAATTTGAAATCTACCTCGTAGATGATGCCAGGTGACGTTGGACGAAGAAAACCTCCCAACGAATTCAACCACGTTTGATTCAGGATCGACATTTCCCCGTTTTCCTTGAACCGTGCGAGTACAAGGGTCGTGCCGCTCAAGTCTGGGCATGTAAAGGCCATGCTTACTGCTGCCATCAGAAGGTAGCGTGCTGCCTCGCCTCCGAGGTGGTCTCCGTCGCCAATCGACCTGTTTCCAGACGAGAGCAGGTTTGTGAAGGCCGAACCCTCCCTTGCGAAAGGCTCCATGCGTCCCATTCCCTGATCGAGGTTCTGTCCATACGCGTGCGGATCTGCGCCCATTGAGATCAATGCCTGGACAAGCTTCACCGTCGGCATTCTGTTTCTGCTGTAGTACAGAGACTGATCTGGATCCCATGCCTCACGTAGGACGGCAGTGGCCAGCTCTCTGGAGTCTGCCTTTTTGAGGCTTGATATGACGAAATCGTCCATGTGGTTGAAGTCTGTCAGGTGGCTCAGGAATGGAGGTTGCTTTTGCCAGGATGGCCGGTCGGTCCCGATCGCGCCCTTGTCGTATTGAGTCTGGATAAGGCGCAATAGGTCGGCAGCCTCGTCCATTCCCTTCTGATCCTGATCTTTAGCCAAGAGAATGGCGCGGCCGATGAGCGTACCAGAACGTCCCATCAGTCCAAATTCGGAGTTGAGGAAGTGAAGGAGGCAGAGCAAGCCTTTGACCAGTTTAAATTCCATCTCCCTCTCAGATAATGCGCCGTGTCTTAGTATCTCTTGGCCAATTTCGGTGTCTGTCAAAAAGTCATGAGCTGTGCGATGGATGAAATTGACTCCACTGAACAATGCATCCTCAACTTCTTTAGAAGCTTCGGGAGCTTCGACACTATTTGCATCTCCAACGAACTGGATTGTGCGTCCACTCATTGATACCGGAGTAACTCGCAAAAGCCCAGCGCATCGGGTTTGTATAGCGGCTGTGGTTTTGTTGCATAGCTCTATGACCTCAGAAGTGTTCAGAGTCTTTCCCTCTCTGAGAAGCAAGTCTTGGGTTTCGACACTTTCTGCACACGCTATTTGGAATAATGTGGCCTGCCAGACTTCTGGAAACCCAGATGGAAATCCAACTTCCGGAAACATGGGGACTACCCCCTTTTTGTCAAGGGCATACTTAAAGAACCTTGCAGCTGTCTCTCGATAGACGGGGCTATTCTCGTTGAGTCGCCGCCACATATCGGCGTATAAGTCCTTGAGCTCGCCGGGTAATCCTTTCAAGCGTGCGAGAAGCAAATCATGCGAATCTCCGTTTTGGATTCCCACCACAACGCTTTTTGTTGCCAGGACAAGCCATAGGAAGACGCCTTGAGCTTTGAAGACTAGGTCATGGACAAGGCGGGAATAAGTATCTTTGGATATATATTCGGGGACAAAGGGTCTAAGCTCTTTCTGCACAAACTCGCGCATTTCGGGTCTTGTGAGGTCTTCAAGTAGGATACTGGGTACGTTTTGCTTCGTCAACCAATTGGTAACCAGTGTTTCTGGTCGGCTAGAAACACATATTTTGATGTTCGGAAACTTGGAAATTTCCTCAATCAACTTGATCAACGCGTAGAGACCGTCGGTGTTAGAAATCTCGTCGAGCCCGTCGACGAAGATGCACAACTTCCGGGAGTCGTTCTTGAGGATAAAATAGAAGACGGACTTCAACTCGTCGTCCGACCAGTCATGATATGAGACTTTGGAAGAGAGTGTTGGAAAGCGATCCAGTATCTGTTTCACCGTTTCTGAACTCTCGTTTAGGCTGCGGTAGACCAACGAGCAGAGAAACCCTTTGATACTGTTCTGGGGATTAGATCCAATCTTCCAGAAAAAGTGCGATATAATGGCAGCTTCTGGACTCCATTGGCGAAGTAATTCCTTCGTGTTTCCGGTACCCACAATGAACTTGACCAAGGTACTTTTCCCTGAGCCTGGCTTTCCACGAATACAGAACAATGAGTTGTCTGAGCACAACCACTTCACGAAATCTTCCCAGGCGTCATCAATCTCATCCTTTCTGCGGGGTTCAGGTTCAAAGATGGAAGCGTCACTCAGTTCGGTGTCGCTTGAGTCATCCTTTTTGCTTGTTACTGCCCGATAAGACTCGAATAAACGCGTGAAGCTGGCTCGCTTAGAGCTCATCAGGTCATTATATCTCTGATTCATCTCTGGGAACTTGAGACTTTGGACCAAGGCTTCGCGCTGAGCCTTTAGTTCTGCGTCGGCACTCAATGCCCCCATCTCCTTCGTAATGTGTTCTGTAACGGCTTTTTGAGTCTTTCCAGATTCTTGGACCACAACTCCGCGAGTCCAATCATTCTCTTTTCTGACAAGCTCTTCTAACTTGGTATAGCCGCAAGATATCTGCGCAACAAGCAGCTGCACGTCGTCAGCTAATTCCTTGAATTCTTCCTTCTGCTGTAGCTCAATTGCATCGCTCTGTGAACTGCACAATTTCTCGCGTTAGAATTGATTATCAACGGTTCACCGGGGCACTTACCAAAGATGAGAGATCATTTCTGTTTCCATTACAATTCTGCAACGGGAGAGGGTACTTTCCATCCCTTCGATCTTCTTCCGTTGGCTTGAGGCTTTGAGGACCGCATTCACGGCTCTGAAAAGGCTGCCCTTCTTCTGCATCGCCGTCACAGAGCAGACTTCTGCTTCAAGCTCATTTGCAACACTAATGCACTCCCTGGCCAGAGTATCCAGCCTTTCGTTGTACTTGAAGGGCCGGTCTTCGGCCATGGCCTTACACCGACTTTGTACGGCGTTGGTGGTGTCAGCCAGCCGCCCAGCGTATAGCTCCAAATCATGATCGATCGTTGGTTTCCCATCGTAGACTTTCTTGCAGTTGGATATGATTGAACCTGCCACTTGAATGACCTGGAGAATGGCACAAGCGGCACCGAGAGCTTCGATGCCGGTCGCCATTGTATGTTGAATGTTTGAAATGTTATTTGCTGACAGTCAAAAGACGGTGTTGAGCAGTCTTACCTCAGAAAAGAAGCGGAGATACATATAACCTCAAGCAATCACGTGACAGTTTGCACTCCTTCTCAAAGCTTCCGTATATTTACAATAACTTAATATAGAAGACCAGGATTATACAAACATTAAAAGATGGTTGTATATATAAATGGAGCAAGTACGTATTTTTAGTGGTAATACGATCCTCCTAAATTGGAACACTGCCAGTGGCAAAATCATATTCCGAAGAAGTAGAACCATCTAGCACGTATACAGTTCTCGATGAACACTTTTAACACTGCATAAGCCCTTAAACCTAAGCTGAACAACAGCCCAACAGGGTTATATGCTAGCTGTAGTGGACTCATTGATCAATCAAAATACTATTCTGGGCAGATAAAGAAGCTTGTTGAATTGAACTCATTAATCCCGCTTGTCAGAGTTGAGCTTGGCACTTATGATTGTCATGATCTGAAAGGAATTGGAAATCTTGCTACTGTCACCTGATCAGTTACCTCACCACAACAGTCTCGTAGCCGGGGAACAGAAGAAATATGTCGTCTTTAATACCTAGGTAGGATTTCCATTAGGTCATATCTCGTGTAGAAAATAAGATACTTTACTACGAGACCGTTGTTCGTACTGCCATGAAGAGGCCCAGACGGTGAAGTGAATAACACCAAGCATAAAAACCCTGACCACTCTGAGAGGTCCTCAATTCCCACTCCGGTCCTGTTGTCCCGGGAGGCCATTGCATTGCAGGAGAAGCTGGTTGGTTGGCGGGTCTGACTCAGCCGGTGAACCGGATCTGGAATCAGTTCTACAAAGCTCATGCCAAGGAATCCATCCCAAGAAATATTAAATGTCCTATGGAATTCTTTTCGGAGTTAGTTCTCTGCTTAGCCATGATTCGCCGTGTTGTCCCATCGCTAGTCATGGGCGAGGAAGTCGCCAGAAGAGTCGACCTCCCACCAGAAATCTGGACAGAAATATTTACTTATTTTCTTCCCTCTGAGCCAGAGGGAATCTTTCAACAACACTTGCCTCAACAAGACGATTGGAAAGATTCGCTACGCGACCTCCGCACATTCTGTCTGGTCTCCCGTCGATGGCGCCTTACTGCCCAGCCGATTCTGTATCAGAGCCTCATTATCGACAACCCCAGTCGCCATGGTTTGGATATGAAGCTATTGAGAACTCTAGCTTTGACTCCTGGGCTAGCCAGCCAGGCACGGACTTGCAAGCTGCTTGATATTGGGCGGCAGGGGCAAGGGGTGGAAAAACTACTTTCTGCCATCTTACGGTCGATACAAGTACCTCACAGATATAGAAACCTCACCAGAGCACGTTTGCTGGATAAATATCGCCCTCCTTCAGAGGGACTCGCGGCGATCACTCTTGCATTGACCACGAAAGCACGACGCATTGAGATTAGTCCTGGTCCCCAGCCTTACGGCCTGATTTGGATGCTGAGCGGATCACTTGATATACAAGAGGGGAACCCCGAGAGCTTCTTTCGTTTCCCGAAACCGGTGACGGAATGGACGAATGTGACAACAATCCAAGGCGATGTTGCCAAAGGGATCAATAGCCTGTCCTCTCATTTACCACGCGCAAGAGATCCAAGCGAAGCTGACATTCGGCTCTATGGCGTGAGAGCCTTTGCCAACTATGGGCTGCTACACCTTACAGATTTGCATCTGAATTTTGAAAATGAGGACAACAGGCTAGTAGATTTGGCAGCTATCAGAATTCTCTTCCACCACCCGAGCCTGGAAATATTGCGACTTTCAAACATCAACTGGCTTACGGAGCCAGGAGAGGAGATGGGCAATCAAGTCATCGAGAACAAAATTCACACTGTTGACCTTCGCAATTCCACCGTTAATGCGTTCTCAATAAGGCATATTCTGATCAGCTTCTCTTCTCTACGCTATTTCTCAGCCGAGCTACATGAAAATAACCGTTGGAGACCACGAGAAGATGAGGATTATTTTGACTTGAACTTCTGGGAGTTCGAGTCAGCCGAGTTTGGTGCTGCCCTAAGGAGACATGGACGAAGTCTTGTCGAGCTTAGATTGGAAACATGGCAGTACTACTACGACGACTGGGAACGGAGTATGTCAAGGGCCTTCGGCTCGCTTACTCAGATCCCCCTTCGCAGGCTAGAGGCTGAGCTGCATGAGCTTGTCCCTGGATATAGGAATCTAGCTAATGATGAGATCGAAGTGCTCATGAGTGTTCTCCCTCTAGAGCTCGAGGAGCTGACCATTCTGGGCCCAAAAAGGGATATCTTGGTTGGAATTGGATCTTTTCTGCGCAACTGCATGAGCAGGCCGCTTCGGGTGGTGAACTTGGAGATGGTTGACTCGAGCCCTCTCGATGAGAGTGAAACAAAGGAAATTGATGGTTGGATTATGGAGCAGGACTGCAGATATACACGAACCGCTGCTGGCCGTGATTTGATTAGATTTGTGTCCTTTGTCAAGGTACGCGTTCGCACTTGACGTATTCCGGAAAGAAGACCGCATTGGCTGTTGGACAAGAGGGAGTTGTGCATCGAAGATAGCTTAAGACAATTGTATAGAAGTTTGATGGATGCGGAACCAAGTATCGTATGTGGGGTCAAGTCGGACTTTGTTGATGGGGGACATCTGTTCAGGTTTGAGCATCTTCAGTGCTGAGGCAAACATTGACCAGTATAGCAACAACGTCGGCTACGAGTTTAGGCGAATATCTCAGGGAAACGTTGCGATGAGTGGGGATGGAGGCGGGCAGGTTTCATCCGTTGCCCACAATCTTCCTGTTTCAACTCCCTCCTTAGCATCATCCCTGGCCGAATCAGTAGAACGGCATTGCTGTCCCGCGTCACAACACCCTGGGAACCCTGGAAATTAGTACTATGACTAACGTTTTCTCAATTAGAATGGTTGGGTTGGAAGTGATCGCGGATGGCAACCGCCGTCGTATGAACCTAAGTGGCTTCACTCACCGCGTTAGTTTGCCTTGCCTTGAGAAGGTAGGAGAGCTACGACAGCTCAACTATACTCTCATCTCAAGATCTATATAAGATGGCTCTTATCATACCACAAGCAACAAATTCCACAGTCACTTTCATCATCACTAAAAGTCTGATTCAAGCCATTCTTCACAACAACTGATCAATATGCATGCCGGGTATTTCGCTGTGCTCCTCCAGGTGGCTGGAGCTGCTTGGGCCGTTCCATCAGCAGAGAAGCCTGCCGATATCGAGATACGTGCGGACGACCGCGGCAGCTACACTGTTGCTGGACTTGGAACTCGCAAGCAAGCCGTTCTTACGGCTGGTGGTAACACTCTAGACCTCGCCATCGCCATGCTTGAAACAGGGAACATGGGAACAGACTATGCTTACGGTGTGTTTTCTGTGAAGATATGACCCTTTCATGAGACTGGGCCTTGAGACTAACGCACGGCCAAAACTATAGGAGACAAGAAGACTTATGATTCTGCTAACTTCGGCATCTTCAAGCAAAATTGGGGCATGCTTCGTGTCTGCGGATCTAGGGCGGGCTTCGTAGGAAAGACCTCAGACCAATGGAACGATGGTGCTAAACTCAAGTAAGCAAACCTCAGGTGACATCCATATGCAAATCACAACTCCGCCGCTAGCAAAGCCGCCCTTTCAGCACCGCATGCTGAGCACCGCAAACTTTGTTTGGAGGCGACTGACCGTTCCATAGCTCCGACCTCTACGCCGACGTGGCTTCCCGGTGGGACTGCCAAGGATACTATGGCTACGATATCTGGTTCGCCGGCCATCGTAACGGTGCCAGTGGGCTCTCGAACCCTTACACTGAGGATATCAACAAGTACAAGACTGCGGTCCAGTGGATTCAGGCCCAGATTGATTCAAACTCCAAGTATAAGACCGATGACACTAGGTTCTGGGTTGATGTTGAAGCCATCTAAGCGATGAACGAAGCAAGTTTTACCAGCATGCAAATTGCGACTTGCGACTTGCGACTTGCGACTTGCGACTTGCAACTGTGATAGGGGATGTGTATGGTCATGGGGTAGGGGTAACATTTTTCATTTTCTTGTCCCTCTTTTGTTATTTAGAAGCAGGTCTTCTTGTTTTGTTTATCTCAATATATAAGCCGTCGACGCGACTTAAAACAGTCACTACTTGGATGTGCTCCGCCCAACCTTGCCTGGCCTCAATGTTTTTGTCAATTTTGGAAAATCTGAAAACTGCCCCCCTCATGCACCATCAACCATACCATGAGCTTTCCCCTCTGTCGTATACTGGTAGAAAGTACAATCACCTACGCAAATAAGATGGAGGTACTTGGTAAAGAAAATTTATCAAAGGGGTTCTTGTACCGCCTCATGATTTTAGGGCGAAAGTAGAAGTGCCTAGCAGTGAGAGAGTTGGCTTCTCACCTCTACCTCCTTTCTTAGTTCAAATGATTGTCGTATTCACTGGCCAAATGTAACTGACTCTCGGCCATAATAAGCAGGCACTAAGTCGATCGTGAAGACTCTAATCCATTGAGGTAGATAAGTATCCTTAGTGGGTGATGCTTCGAGTACGGTATGTTTGCTTACTACCCAAGAACCTAATATCTGGTCTATGACGGACAAGGGAAGCAACATTGTAGGCTTTGATGCTCTAATGTTTGATGAATAACTTAGATACATATATTACCAAGCGAACTAATGTCAATTGCACTCAAGGTTGACCCAGGTATATATACCTGGGTGGATTTACTACGGTTCCTGTGCCGGTGGCCTGGATGATGATCTCATCACCAGGAACAACATCAATACAGTTATCGCTCAAGGTGATGTCATCCGATTCTTCCAGCACCAGTCCTTTCGTTGGCTTTTCTGCAGTGACACGATACTCCCCGCTAGAGAGCTCAGCCTTGACACCCCTTTCCGAGAAATCAAGATATTTCAAGGGCTGGGGCCAGTCGACACTCCGAGAAACACAGGTGCCGTTCGAAAGAAGCCGCACAGCAATAACATGCGGTTCTTCGTTGATGTTATCAATATTGCCCGCTAGGATCTCGGTGGTGCTGTTCGCTTGAATGGAAACTTCACTCTTCAGAATCTTTCCTTTAATGTCGCTTCCCGTCTTCACCGAGATGAAGCGAATCTCAACGTCTACCCTGTATTCTATTTGCCGGTTACTGATCACCCAAACGGCAAACGAAGATACCTTTGTCGGCCTGGCGTGGCAAACGCTCCAGTCGTGATGCTCGCGCTCCACTGCTACCGCGAGAGGCTCAAGAGTGCGGGCAATGGTATAGAAGGACGGCTTTTTGCGAAGGAAGTAGTCGACAATGGACCACGACGTGCCGGGCCAGCAGTCGTTGAGTTGCCAGACAAGAGCACCCCCACAATGTCGTTCCTCTCCCCATTGACGCCGCCAGCCACGGTAGGCGTAAGATAGAGCCTCGGCCTGGCAGAGCTGAGTGAGATATATATGTGACTGGGCAATTGTTAGTTAGTCAGTTTGATTATCAAATGGGCGCCCAACGCGTTGGACGTACCTTAAGGTCCTCCTTTGGACGGAAGTTCTCGACTAGATATGTCGCGATGCGACGCTCATGACCATCCGCCTTGTTGTGGAAGTCCATGGTCTGAGATTGTGGGAAAAGCTCATCACTATTGGTGACAAAGTACTCGATGGTTTGCAGAACCGGAAATGCTTCCATGCCGAACTCGCTGTTGAATCTACCGCCTAGCTGGTTGAAAGTTTGATATTTTCTTTGCATGCCGTGCCAGACTGTCAACTGTTAGAGTTAGCAGAACATTACCGTATTCAGGGAAACTTACCATTCCACTGGTGTAGATCACCCACGGTCGGATCAGGCGTAGGTTTTCCATTAGAAAATGGAGAACCAGGCCAATATACCACTCCGCTACTCTCCTGGGCAACTACCTGAGGCAGAAGATGCTCATAATAGTATCGAGCTGGATACGTCGACTTGAGCCACGATTCAGGGTCCTTGTCTTCATAGTTGTATTCTAAATTCTCGGACTCTTGAACTTGATAGTCTTCGTTGTTTCCGGCGAAGATCACCACGGAGGGATGGTGCCGCAGCCGACTAACGTTTTGTTTAGCTTCTTCGCGGATAGAGCCAATGAATGAAGGCCAGACAGGATAGTTTCCGCAGGCGAACATGAAGTCCTGCCATACTAGAATGCCCAGTTCATCGCATGCGTCGTAGAAGGAGTCTTCTTCATAAATCCCCCCACCCCAGACTCTAGTGCTTGGTCAATGCCACGAACTTTTGACAGACTATAAGGCCGACTCACCTGGTCATGACCTGATTTCCTTTCACCATCAACTCTAGCCACTTTCTATACCTGTCGGCCGTTATTCTTGGGAGAAGACTATCGGCTGGGATCCAGCATGATCCACCGCAGAACACATCGATCCCATTGACCCTAAAATAGAAGGATTGACCGTTTGAATCGTCAACCTGGACCAGTTCGCTTCGTCGGAAACCGGTCTTCTTGCCCCAACTATCCAGAGTCTGGCCGTCCTTGAGAATGTAGACGTCCACATCGTATAGGGGCTGACCTCCATACCCCACCGGAAACCAGAGGTTCGGGTCATCTAAATAAACTCGAATTAATATGATGAGTTTCTAGGCTTTGGTATTGAAGTTCACTTACTGATGGTAAAGGGAATGATGGCCTTTCCTCCCAAGGACGCTGCTGTCCCGCAAAATCCCAACGCCGTCGTTGACTTATGAAATACTACGTCGTCCTGGAAGCGGACCGAGACATTGATTTCGTCAAACTCACCTTCAACTTCAACGTTGATATCGCCATTGACTTCTTTCAGATCCTGGGACAGTTCGTACTTTACAAACACATCGCTAATGTTCGCCCAAGAGACTTCAAGCCGAACCGGCCTCCAGGGCCCTGCAGTCATGAGCTTTGGACCCCAGTCCCATCCCTATTGTGTGATTAGCTTGTTTTCACGAAAGTTGAGAGACAAGCCTGCTAAAGCTCAAGCAAGACTTACCCAATGATATTGAGCCTTTCGGACTGCAAGACGCCCACCCTCTCCATTAAAAAGCACGAATTTGTGATCCGGATGCTCGTTCTTGAGTGCCCTCCCGCGAAGCATGGCACTATCGAAGTCGATTACAAGGGTATTCTCGCTCTTGATGATTTTGGTGATGTCTACCCGGTGGCTGAGAAACATGTTGTCACTCTCTAAAATGACGGTATTATTGAGTTGAACTTTGGCGAAGGTGTCGAGGCCATCGAATAAAAGGTACACGGAAGCACCTTTTGCATCTTTGGGACTCGGAAATGTCGTGCGGTAGGTCCAGGATCTCGCTTCCACCCATTCGACATCAATCTCCCTTAAATCGCGAAAGGGATCGGAAATGCTGTGCGTTGGGCATATGAATATGATAATCAGATAATTAAAGGAGCAAAAAATAAAACTTACATGCCATTGTCCATCAAATCTTGGTGCACTACAGTCGGAACACGAGCGACAGGCTTCCAGTCCTCATCGCCATCTTGGGTGCTCTTGAACGACCAGCCCAACTCTAGGGGACTTCTCTGAGCTATCGAAGGCATCTTTGCAGAAGATATATCAGGGTTAAGGAGATTGGTCCACTACGCCCTTGACTTGGTACTGCAGAAGAGCTCCTTTAATAACGAACGGAAGCAAATCGACCCCATTTTTACTGGCTGAGTCTCTAACCCATGCATCAGACAGGTCCTCGGATATTCAGCTTCAATCTTGCTAGACCTGCTAATAAGAATGTCAAAAACTGTCGTCAAGCATTTCCGAAAAGGGCTTTCCGTCTTTATTGTCAGCGTTAGGCTAGAAGTGGTTGGACCGATGTTGCCCGTTTGAGCTCTTCCGCGTCCAAATCAGGAACAGATCAGTTAGACCAGCTCCTTCGGCATGATACAGTATGTTTTACTGGGCCGGAAAATCCACTGCTGGGCGAGAATACCCTTGTCACTACTCTCTTGTATGATGACTAACCTCAACTAAGAGGCCATTGCGCTATCGTGTGATCCTCGCTGCGGGATGCCATCATCCGCATAATGAGCAGTTGAGGCAAAGCAAAGCCGTTGAATCGATACTCAGACCACGGGACAAGGGTCTTGAGGAGCGTGATAGTGGCCTTCCTCAAGTTAGAGAACTATTAGCTCAAATATAAAAGCTTTACTATGGCCGCTTTCCTTGTCTATGCGCTGATCCCTCAGCGATCGCAAGACCATTGTCATCGTCTAGTCTCTATCCAGCCTCACACTAAATTTCCCAGCTCCAAGACAAAGAGTGGCAATGGAGGATAAAGCAAGTATCCATTCGCATGCCCATCACGAGGGCGAACATGTAAGAATATTTTATGTTACACTCCCCCCCGGCTTCATCATTGTCAATACTATACACTTGTGTTTCAGCTGGTAACGGTAACCTGGAATAAATAGGAAGACGTCGAAACCAAGGTCGTTGCCGGTCATGAAGCCTTCGAAAAGGCCATGATCGCGGACCCTCCATCTGCTTGGTCTAAGGGTCAACTCCTCGTCTACGCGTTCTCTCTGGTCGGCTTCCTGTGCAGTACGATGAACGGTTACGACGGCTCTCTCATCAATAACCTGCTCCAGAACCCCTGGTTTCGCGAAAAGTACGGCGTTGGGAATAGCGGTATCTGGGCAGGCATTGTGTCATCCATGTACCAGATAGGAGGTGTTGCGGCCCTGCCGTTCGTCGGTCCTGTCATTGATGGGTTTGGGCGGCGATGGGGAATGATCTCTGGCGCTGGTCTCATTGTGGTGGGCACAGTGATTCAAGGCCTGTCTCACGAATCCGGTCAGTTCATGGGTGGTCGATTTCTCCTCGGTTTCGGCGTGTCTCTCGCAGCGTCTGCTGGCCCAATGTATGTCGTGGAAATCAATCATCCGGCGTACCGCGGACGCCTTGGAGGTAAGGCTCGCTCTCATGCTGTTAGTGGCGATATGAATGCTGATTTGGGTAGCTATGTACAACACACTATGGTTCTCCGGAGCTATTATCGCCGCTGGTGCCGCCAGAGCTGGCCTCAACGTTGGAGGCGATTATTCTTGGAGACTCATCACGTGGCTCCAGGCTCTCTGCGCTGGGCTCATTCTCCTTACCAGTCCATGGATACCTGAGTCCCCCCGGTGGCTGTATGTCTTTCACAAGAAGGAAGCTGCGAAGGCTGTTCTGGTAAAGTATCACGGAAACGGGAACCCCGATTCTCCATGGGTTCTCCTGCAGCTTTCTGAATATGAAGAGGCCTTGAATATGGATGGAGCAGACAAACGTTGGTGGGATTATCGCGCTCTCTTCCGAGACCGTGCTGCTGTTTATCGTCTCAGCTGTAACCTTGCAGTGTCCATATTCAGTCAGTGGGCTGGAAATGCTGTTCTCTCTTACTTCCTTGGTGCCGTGCTTGACACGGCCGGGTACACTGGCACCATCCAGCAGGCGAATATCACCCTCATAAATTACTGCCAACAGTTCGTATTTGCGATATTGGGAGCTAGTCTGGTCGATCGACTTGGCCGTCGTCCACTTTTGATCTTCTCTTTCGCCGCATGTACTGTGGTCTGGCTTGGCATGACTGTCGCCTCATCCCAGTTTGCCGCCTCTTACGCTGGAGACGACGCAAATGGAGATCCGATATACACCAATAAGGCAGCCTCACAGGCCTCTCTAGCTATGGTCTTCATCTTTGGCTCTCTATTCTCTTTTGGAATCACCCCACTGCAGGCTCTGTACCCAGTCGAGGTCCTCTCCTACGAGATGCGTGCCAAGGGCATGGCCTTTTCTAACTTGGCTGTAAATGCGGCGGGCCTCATTAATCAGTTCGCCTGGCCAGTGGCAATGGAGAAGATTGCTTGGAAGACATATATTATCTTCACCGTCTGGGACCTCATCCAGGTGACCTTAATATACTTTTATTTGCCTGAGACAAAGGGCCGCACGGCAAGTTTTGATCCCCTCTAGCAAAATCCGTTGACTACGCCTGCTAACATGACATGCAGCTCGAGGAGCTTGATGAGGTTTTCGCTGCCCAAAACCCGGTCAAAGCCTCGATCCAGAAACAGACACTTGCTGTCCGAAGCGATGGGGGTGGCGTGGTCAAGGTGGAAAAGGTTTAGCTGTTCCGAGGCTGCATTCAATATGCTGTTGGGAGATACGCAGGGGCCTCAATATTAAGCCGTTTGGATCCGCCTTATTAGAACTATTACGTATAGAATTAACCCCTTTTTCTCAGTGTCATGAGAACTGGGTGGTGCTTGCTGGCTTGCTGGCTTGCTCTGCTAGATCTAGGAGTGGTCGCTCATGGCGTCGGTAATATATAACTGCGTATGATAACAGGGGGTACGCAACAAGCTTTGGGTGTGAAAACAGCTAAACCCAAGACGTAGACGGCTAAGGGCGAGCCGTGTCTGAAATTCCTCATCCAGGCTAGCCTTTGTTCACTAGTTTGAGACCTGAATCAGAAAATCTCGCGTCTCGGCTCGAGAGTGTTTTACGGTTGTGTCCCCCTATAGCAAACGTTGCCGGGCACTCTCGGCTCTACACAATAATAATGGTAACTATACTATGTATCGTCACATCCTACCCTTCCCTCCTGGCTAGAAAAAGGTCTTCGGAGCCTCGGTCACCAGTCGGTCGGTTGTCGCTACCTCCAGGTTGTCACGACTCACACACACAAGTAACGGCCACATTGATACTAGCATAGACCCTGTTTGCCTACCCAGCCTTTAGACTCAATGGCGTTCTTTACCACCCCATCGCATGACTTGAATTACCTCCTTACTTCCCCGCTTCGGTCTCGGCAACAACAAACATGTACCCCAGTTGTTAGATGGCCCCTAATCCCCACACATGCTTACCGCTACAATACCTTAATCCCCCGAAGTTAATGTTGGTCACGTTCTTTGACGACTGTCCGTGCCATACTCCTCGCCAAGCCGCGATATATTCTCATTCCTGTTATTTTAATGATGCTCTAGGCCTCATAAAGCTGCCCAAAGTTATTTTCTAGCTGTTTGCTAACACTATTCAGATACTTTGGCTGACTCTAGGCCTTTTGGGCAGTTATCCAAGGGCTTTCTACCCGGAGAAATGTACCATACGTGTATGTCGCACCTTGATCAGACCCAAACGTGCTCCTGGATGCTCATCTCTTTTCATAGTCCGTAATTCCCACTTCGACAACATCTCGTCGCTGCCGGGGGCTAGTCACAAGTCGCCCAGAGGCCTCCATGCTTGTCTCGAATGCAAACGACGCAAGATTCGCTGCGATGGCAACAAACCGTGCAATAGATGCCAAGCTAGACGCTACCACTCGCCATGCGTCTACGAAGAACAACGCCCGCGTGTTGTTCCATCCAAAAAGTGAGTCTGCTTTTCGCCTATCTCCGCTGCCTTTTGATCGATCTCACCACCTAACGTCGCCGCCCCCAGGGAAATTGAGCGTCTATCCAATAAATTGGAAAAGTGCAGCAACATTTTAAGATGCTTTTTCCCCAACCATGACGTGGAATCACTGGTCCTTTTGTCACGCGAGGAGCTCTGTAACCTTTTAGAGAAGCCGTCCCCCCAATTGACCGAGCAGCTTCCATCGCCGCCACTTCGTACTCCGAACAGTCAACTGTTTGATCTTGAACAGATTCCGGCTCAGGACGCAGAATGGGACGAAGAACGACGAGAAAGAGATCCCTTGCCAGCGGAAGCCGACGACGTGAATGCATTATCGCTCACTCTCGACCGACAAACATCATATCTTGGCATATCATCAGTTAGGGCGGCGATGCTCGTCATGGTTCATATCCAGCCACAGCTACAAGCCTCCTTGGCATTCCACCAAAGAAACAGCACAAAACGAAATATAGAAGAAGCGTTTACGACTTACAATCCGGCAGAAGCCACACAGGAGCTGGTGCCTGTTCGGTGGACGCTGAAAGGCCAGGCTCTTATCGATGCTTACTTCAAGGGGTGCCACGTCTTCACCCCAATGCTCGATGAGGTCACCTTTCGTGCAGATTATCTCAGCGCCAGAAGGTATGACGCCCCATGGCTCTCTTTGGTGAATATGGTTTTCGCCATTGGAAGCATAATGGCCACCAAGTCAAGCGATACGGATCACTTCAAGTACTACGAAGAAGCGATGAAACACCTCAGCCTTGCTGCTCTAGGTAGTAGTTGTATTGAAACGGTTCAATCATTGGCCCTTCTTGGCGGTCACTACCTCCACTACATAAATCGACCAAACATGGCCAATGCGATTCTTGGGGCCACAATCAGGATGGCCAGCGCCCTGGGTCTCCATCGCGAACCAGCTAATCAAGGTATAAATAACACGGCGGCTGACGAAGTGCGAAGACGAACGTGGTGGTCCTTGTTTTGCCTAGATACATGGACTACAACGACGATGGGACGACCGTCCTTTGGACGCTGTGATCCTTCAATTGATATCCAGCCCCCTCAACTCATTGCTGAACAAGTAAGTCTCATATGACTATTACTAGCTTGACCTAGACTCAATGACTCTGCTTTAGGAAGAACGCGACTCTGCACAACACGCCGGGGTTATGCCTTTGCTGGAAAACATCAAGTTTTGCAAGATTGCGACCAAGATCCAAGATATGCTCGCTGTAGCGTCTCTCTGGGGCACGGAAAGCCGTAAAAAACTGGATGATATGCTAGTCGAGTGGTATGAGAACCTCCCGGGCTTACTACACCGCACGGAGAAGTGCGCCGAGCCTCTACATCTCTCTAGATGCAATCTCAGATGGAGGTACTGGAACCTTCGTATGCTCCTCTACCGCCCAGTGCTTCTTGCTGTGGCCAGCAGTGACAAGAATGACCCCCTCGCCGCTGAAGATGCTGAAGCAATAGCAACTTGCCAAGAGTTAGCGAACAAAATAATACAGGATATCGCGAGCGGTTGGACCAGGCATCAAATGTCTGGGTGGAACGCTGTCTGGCTGCTATATCAAGCATCAATGATCCCCTTGATCAGTATTCTGTGGCAGCCCAACAGCCCAGATGTTACAGAATGGAAATACCAAGTCACCACGATATTGGAGCTGTTTGAAGAGATGGAAGAGTGGTCACTAGCAGCGCGACGTAGCAGAGACGTTGTTGGACTGATTTACGAAGCAAGTTGTCACTTTATAGGTCAGAGTGAAGGGAGCATGTTGCTGGAGCAGTTTGAGGCGTCTGATTTGACACAGGCAGACATTTATGCTTGGTCGGATGGACTGAAGTTGGATTATATTGCAGATATGCAAAATCAAGACTGGCAGTGGGATATAAACACACTTCTAGGGTCATAGGGAAGGTCCCTTATTATTCAGAGTATGAACTCAGATGGCTTTTTAAAAGTGCAAGCATGAAACTCAGCACAGTAGCTTGCAACTAGAGAGTGGACAGAATGTTGTATCAATCCCGAAATGGCTTTATAGCGTAAGAATCATGTGAATTCCAAGCTGACTATCATTGGAGGCAAATATGAATAGCTGCTGTGCTTCAAAATTTAGTGTACGTATTCTGTGATGTCTGTGCCCCTTTAGTGTCCTCTTGTTTTGGTTGTAGTGCCTCTGAGGCATGTCGTATTGGCGAACATCTCAAGAGAGGGCCTTGCACATGTTCCTGATATATTTCCGAGCGCTCGTACCCTTTTCCACAAGAACTAGCACCAACTAGATCTTCCTTGAACACAAGAACATTATTAGACTTTATATCTGCATGTATGATATCCGAACGATATAGTTAGCAAGTATCTGCAACCCTAAATACTATAAGTGTTCCTACTATTGGTATGCATATGCACGATCGCTGTATCAATGTATTCGTAGAGGCTGGGCCGATCCTGGAACCGAAGCCCTTTGCCTTCATGGGTTAAGAAATGATACAAGTCTCCGCGATGAGTTTTCAAATCCCAAAACTGGCCATGGCTTGTCGTCCTGGGACGAGATATCCCAGCACATGCCTAGCAACTGTGAAATGTTGTGATGCTGCCTGACAAAAGACTGGCCTAAGATGACCAAACCCGTTATCATAGTTCCAAAAACTTGCTGTTCGGTGAGCATTCTAACGTGATACGTCTTAAAGACAAAGCTAGTATCAATGATCACAAGAGATTGCTGTATTTTGGCAGAGGCCCCAATACCGGCGATATCCCTCCCGCTTTCCCGCGTGAGGGGACGAAGAATCTATCTTGAACGCCTAGGCCGTCGCGAGGAAACCAAGGAAGTTGATACCATCCGTTTCAGCCTCTGTTTGCCGCAATTGGATCCCTGCGGTAGATCGCCAATATGAGCCTTATGAGAACTGTGTAATATAGTGCTGAAAGAAGTTCTGTTTAGGCTAAATGTAAAATACTACTGTGCCTCTCAAACTGCGTTTTTGAAGTGCATTTCAGGCAACAACGCGCAGTATGTCATCACTCGTATCAATGGTTCATATGATCAGATACACTTGTTGTTTATTTCTAGCTTATCCCCTGCCCAGCAATACTTGTATACCCTTGCTATATTCTAGCCTCGCTGTGTACATGCCATGAACTCATCCCATGCTGAACACGTCACCAACATTTTTTTCAGCTCATGCAGAGCAACATGCAAGTCAGCCACATGAGTCTGTTGGTTCTATTTTCTCACTTCCCCTCCAATACCCTGTAAATCCACCCATAAAACTTCATTGGCTTAAGTCTGCTCTGCTTATTCATTCAAAGGTTTTTGCCTAATTGTGGTTTTATTTTAAAACCAACTGCTGTCCGTCCTCATAGTCTAGCCCAACATTGATTCATGCCAATAGCTCCTCCAGCACCTTTTATCAAGATATGTTGCTTGAAAGACTCACCCGGCGAGAGGATAGGCTCAGCGGCTTATCATCAATTTGTACCACTAATACCATGCCACTCACTCTGCTTGCCCTCCCCTTGGAGATCCTCCACTACATTTGTAATTGCCTTACCGACCATGCCGATGTGTCCAATTTTCGCCTCGCGTGCCGCACGCTGAGCAGCGTTGGCCTTGACAACTTGGCGCCAACTGTTTCATTTGCCATCCTTCCAGAAAGCCTTGACCGCCTGAAGGCCATTGCCGCCCATCCTGTGCTCAGACACCACGTCTACACCGTCATCTGCCTCACTGATGTGCTGCCGTATTACGATTCATTTGAAACCTGGAAGCGCAACGCGCAAGAGTCTGATTTTCATCTTGGATGGGTTGTCCAGGCTGACGATGAATGGGCTCAAGAGTCCGATATACTTGCGCAAGCCCGACATCAAATTTCAGACGCCAAGCTACGGGAAGGATGGCAGGCTTATTTATCAAACCTTGCTACTCAAGAGAAAGCTTTTCAGTCCTTGGATGATCCCCAGGAACTGATAGATGTGTTCAAGGGGTTGACTCATCTTAAAAATCTCGAGATAAAGGGTTCTGAAAGTGACGGGGATTCGCTTTCTACGCAGATATCAAAGAAACTCTTTGATTCATGTTTAGTCCGACCCAGCCCTAGGCTTGCTCGACCCTTCTTCCCTTTTGAAAGCAATGGATATTTTGGATCTCATACTGCTAAACTGTTGACATCCTTGTTGACCGCAGCTAGCGCTGTACACAGGGAAATAGTCAGTCTGAGAGTAGACACGCTGGACTGCTGTTTCTTTGGAGATGGCGGGCCAAAGATTGAGTGTTTTGCGCAAGCCCTAAACAACCTCTGCCATCTCAAACTAGAGTTAGCTGTCGAAGGGTTTGAAGATAACTTTACATCTTTGGACAAGGCTAGACAGGCCCTCTCCTCAGACCATCTTCAGAACTTTCTTTGCTCGGCCCTTGAACTGGAAGTTCTCGAAATTCAATTCATTAGCGACTCCTATGAGCCAGTTCTTGGCAACATAGCTAAGATATTTCCTACGGAATCCATCTGGCGTAGCCTAAGGGTTCTCGACCTAGAAGGCATTTTCTTCACTCCATCTTCTTTCCTGGACTTCCTTGGCTGCCACAGCGAGACCCTCAGACATCTCTACCTAACTGACTGTGATCTCGCTGCCGCCCAAGAACCAATTTCCCCTGTTCTTGCCCCAGCGGGAGAAGATCAAAGTTCGCCCAGCCTTCTCTGGTCAGACTTCTTTATTCCCTTCTCGAGAATGTTTTCCCTTGAGTCTTTCTATATCTCCGGCTTGTTAACAGTCAACCGTCCTCTTGACGATGTGGCTCCCGACTATATTCAACCTCGTGATGGAGTGCAGAATATCGGACTCACCGTCGGCAAGGTACTGCAGATCTTGATATGCTCAGAGCCGTTCAACGCCTTCCTGAGGCGTAAAGTCGGGGGATCGCAAGACATAGACGCGGATACAGTAAAGGCTCACATGATTGAGGATTTGGTGGACAACGTCCCCGTAAGAACGGAACCACCGAGATTAGTAGATATTCAAATGCGGCACGAGAGTTACCTGAAAGAGTTTGTGGTTTTGCGATCTTGGCAGGTACACACTTAGGATATCTCTCTGTAACCGGATTCTTCAAAAGAATAACGAAAATAAATTTTCCAAAAACTTAAACCTTGTTTCTATCGTCCACCAGAATTAGAGCTACCCGCCTGTAATAAGCTTTCCTTTAGGGTGTATTAATCTAGCATTTTATCTTAGGGTATTAGCAAGCATATTTAATTAGTAGAGGCAATATAGCTGTTGTCTTGTTGATGGGCTGTATAGATAACATGCGTTATCTCCCAGTTGTCAGGACAAATAGCAAGTTTCAGTACTTACATGGCAAGTCGGGCTGAAATCAGAGCTTCCTTCTGGATGTTCCTCAACGGTTCTATGGTGCATCTTCCTCAAAGAGGCATTCGATGGTTCGAATAATTAAACCAACAGCTGGGTAACTCACTAACCCTGCTCAGATCATGGAGTCCTTACTTTAGCTAGCCAATCAGTGACAGGAAGCATGACACACCGAGGCTACGAACATCATAAACAACCAACAGAACACTGCTAAACTTGTATCATGCCGAAATTTAGCATGGGTATTCTTGGCAGCGCATGTTCTCTCAGTTTCACTCACCACCCTACGTAGTTTCTTATCATGGACTTTACAATACTACTGGCGGGCTGGCATATCGATTGAAATAAACCTATTCTCCCATAACAAATGTAGGCCCAAATTGCACTTAGTATGCCTTAACTGCGGAGCCAAAGTGCGCAAGTGCCTCTGATCTACCTGGCCTATAAACTTCTCACCGCAGAGATTGGCCACCTCGCTTAGATTAGACTGCAGGGCTAGCGACGAGGAGTAGATCCTGTCTTACCAACGTTCTTGTTGGTTAAGCATACCCTAGTCAATTAGAAATATGACGTTGGCAAGAAGGCAAGAAAAAGATGTATATAAACCTCTTTCTCCTCTCTCAGTCCAACGACTGAATCATCCAACGAGGAAGAAGAAGACGAGCGTTGAAAAATAAGTATTGTTAAGTGCAGTCAGGAAGAGACAGTAGCAGCGTAACCCCTACATAGGCTCGCTCTGTCGGTATTATTCAAAGGCAATTATATAGAAAAGTAAGATTAAGGTTATACCTATACTTTATATATATTTTTCCCCTTCCTCTGACAATCTCTCTCCGGGTCTATGTAAAAGGGAATAGGTACTACCAGGTATATAGATTCTTCACCTTCTAATTAGACTTTAAACCAAACACATTATAAGAGCTAGCTCTTTACTTTTACTAAAATTTCGAAACTTTATAAACTTAGTTAACTAGCAAGAGTCTCAAAACATGGACTTTATCAAATAAGATAATACCAGAAACGCTGAAAGAGTCCTTAGATATCTTATACGGCACCCCTCAAGGTGGAATAGATACCGGGGCTCATCAGAAATCATCCTTGTTTCGTTACCAACTTGTTCGGCTGCTTGATGGGCCACCATTCGAATCCTGCTCTCTCGCCAAGGAATTTTTGACATCTTTGTGGATACAGGTTATCGGCTTATCGATTAGTCGATAAGCCGCAACACGATATAGTTGAACCTTCCGTCGGATTGAACAGCTAGCTTTTGATCCTAATCAATAATACAATCTTTGCTTCAAACGATCGTTTGCTTCTTGCTGTAACAGCTGTTATCTTGTCAACCCACAATCTTTGATTCTCACTCACGGCTAGCTAGGCGTCCTGGAAGAGTTTTCTGCGGTAATGTCCCAGGGTCGGGATGACGATGTTGGGACTTTGGTTGCCGTTAAGCGACTCATGGCTCTATCCGAAGCACGCACTCAGATCGAGGAGCCGCATCTGGAACTTGACCCGAAAGATATTAGACAGCTCAAAAAGTAAATGTCCATGACTTGTGAATGATGGATTCCGGGTCCAAGGATTCCGGATCCAAGCGCGTATTGGTGGAGTGACTCGAGTATAGGTATCGTGGCATATGAGCGACAAGGGAACCTAGGAGTTATCCAGCTAAAGCGGCAAGCGGGGAGACGCTGGTCAGCCGGGGAGAGCTCCCCGACCGGACCGGCGCCCTCCGATGCTGGAGATGACCTCCCCGTTAGACCAAGGCATCGTGCTCCCCATGGCCCGACCTGGATTGTATGCTCCTAATGGCTAGTTACTAGGAATCAGCAGTCACTTAAGATATGGCTCGCTGCCATGGTCGATCTTAGTGGTAACGTAATGCCGCGCAGTTTACGACGAAATCTGGTACCAAAGACAAAAAAACGATGGGAACTTTCGACGTAGCAGTAGTTGGCCTTGGAGCATTCGGAAGCGCAGCGGCGTGGCAGGCTGCTCGAAAGGGAGCAAAGGTCGTGGCGTTTGAGCAGTACGAGTTTGGACACGTCCGCGGTGCATCTCACGACACGTCTCGCATTGTCCGGACAGCATACGATGCTCCACAGTACGTCTCGCTCGCCAAGGCTGCATACAAAGACTGGGCGGAGCTGGAAAAGGATGCGGGCGTCAAGCTGTTGACTGTGACCGGTGGCATTGTTGTGCTTGCAAACGAGCGTGGATGGACGTCTGGCGTCAAGCTCACAGATTATACAGCGAGTCTGGACGCCAACAATGTACCCTACGAGCTTCTCGATGCTCAGCAGGTCAAGCAACGATGGCCTCAGATCTATCTTCGGGACGATACGTCAGCTGTATACACGGCTGACACTGGAATGGCGCACGCAGCCAAGACGGTGGCGGCAATGCAGTTTGTGGCTCGGGCCCGCGGCGCCATTCTCAAGGAAAACACACCCGTCACTGAAGTAGTGCCTACTTTACAAGGCGTCATCGTCAAGACGCCAAATGGCGATTTTCAAGCTCGCAAGGTGATTCTTGCCGCAGACGCCTGGATCAACAAATTACTCTTTCCGCTGGGCGCACACATTCCGTTACAAGTCATGCAGGAGCAAGTGACATATTTCAAGCCGGAAAACCCATCTTCCTTCGACCCTGGTCAGTTCCCAGTATGGATTCGGGTTGTAGATGGAAAAACCTTCTATGGGTTCCCGACGTTTGGCGAGCCAACCATCAAAGCAGCGCAGGACTTGTCCAACAACCTCATGACGCCGGATGATCGGTCCTATGTCCCTTCTCCAAAGCTCTTGAATGACTTGACCAGTTTCATGAAGGACTTCATTTCGAAAGATCACAATCTCGAGACCCTTCGTACTGTAACCTGCCAGTATGCAATTACCCCAGATAGACAGTTCATTCTCAGTGCGTTGGACAAATACCCCAACGTCCTGGTAGCCTTGGGGGCTGGTCACGGGTTCAAATTCGCACCAGTGGTTGGTCGTGTCATGGCCGAATTGGCTATAGATGGAAAGACAACAGAGGATCTGTCAAGGTTTGGCGTTCCGCAGTCGCCGATTCAGAGCAATCTTTAGTACTTTGAGACATCATTGCATATAAACACATTGGTATCATCTAGACGAGCCGACCTGATCTTCCAATAAAGTACTTCTTCTATAGCTAGTGTGGTTCCAAGAATATCTAAGGCAACACTAAAGACTATTAATACTTGGACCTCAATGGCATAACTTCTCAAGTGGCCATCGCATAGAACAGGGTGGCGAAGGTGTCGTTATCTCCTTTGGGGTTAATGCCTTCTCTATCATGTGGACGCAACCACTCACCCTTTGTGTATATTTCAAGCCATGGGGTTATCACGGCAGAGAAACCTGGCAACAAACATGATTGGCAGTATTAAGGCATCACGCATCCCAGCCAAATTGGAGCATAAATCACTTGCGAGGCCGTGATGGAGCGATCTATCGTAGTGGCTAGAGTGTCTGCAAGGGGCTGAGTCTAAGTTTCAAGCATAATATTCCAGACGGCAAAATTTCAAATAAAGTTGCTTTAATCAATCAAATGTAAATATTCAGATAATATATGTAAAATGAACAAGCTAAACTGTTCATTTCTTGCTAGCTTATCTGCGTTTTGTGGCTATCACGCGGTCGAGGCATCAGGGCTTGAACATATTCCGATTTCCACAGGCAATCAAATGGAAGATGTAGACATGCATTGCTCACGGGCATACAAACTAAATAAGAAACACAAATAAACCACCCAGTCATGGTGTATAGGGCTTCAAGCTCTACATAGCTCGCTTCCCATAGGGCTCAAATGGCAGCATGACTGCGACAACAGCCTGAAGTCCTTTTGTTAGCAGCTATGTAGTGACTTTATCTGGGAGGATTCACTTGCCATTAGAATATAGAGCGCGGCGCACACGTAGATCGGCACAGATGACGACGTGTTACCGTAGGCGGCAACGAATGAGGAGACTAACCCCATGACTCGGTTGCATGCTACGCCTATGCCATTGCCTGTTGCACGATGGGCCGACGGTAGTGACTGTAAACTGTCAGCTTACACAAGTAAATGATAGAGATGTTTCTTCAAACCTCAGGAGTGTACGCGTATACTATGATGTCCTGGGATTAACGACTGTCTTCTTATTCATTCTCGAGGAATCCAAGGCAACTTACGAGTACCATAGTAGATATTCAGCGAAAAAGAGATGGCGCAGCTGAACCCGACATTTTCAGCCGAGGTGCGCACAGCAGTGTAAGCAAAGAAAAAGGCCATAGTAACAATAGCACCGATTGCCATGGTATACTTCCGGCCCAGCGGCTTCAGGTTGCACATGAACCCGGCAGCGACGGGTCCAAACACTCCAGCGATACTGCTGAGCATATAGTTCCTCCACTGATAGTAAGGACCAGACTGCCCGGTCTGAGCACCGCGTGTAGCAAGATAGTCAGGGAGGAAGACGTAGAATAGTGGATATGCCAGACCTAGAGAGAGCCCTGTCGTTAGAGATCGCTTATGCGAAATGCAAAGGGGTGGTAGTCATACCAATGAGAGTCCATGAAGCCCATATCATAATAGTAGAGATGCCCAGCTGTTTGGTTGCGAACAACCCGCGTATATGTGCCCAGAACTCACCAAGACCATACCTTGCTTTACCATAAGTAGATTCGATGGTTCCAAGAGACTGCAATCCCTCGATAGTCAGACTGCACGGTCGTTGGTATTTGTTCGCGAGATTCTGGAAGACTTCTACCACAGCAGCGTCTTGGTTTTTGGTAAGAAGATATTTAGGAGTTTCCGTAAGTCGGATCACCGTGACTCGCAGAATGCTGCAGATGAGGACAAGTGCTCCATTGCCATACCAGACATATCGCCAGCCCTTGAAGAAAATAAGCATGGAAACAACCAGTAAGTCATGCTTGCGAAGACTTACCATGTTATTCTTTTTGATGCAGCCGTCAGAGACTGCGCAGGTAAGGCTTGGGGTCGAGAAGATTGGCCAACAAAAGGCTGCAACAATCACATATGCGAGACCCCACCAGCAGGCCATAAGCGTAATCAGCCATTGCTTGTTGCCAGGAAGGAACTCTAGAAAGACGGTCGTGTCCAAGACGAGATTACCGCCAGCAAAGAATCTGTTCGGTTCGTCGTAAGCTTGGGCACCGGCCCTATGGTCTTGGGTGTTAACCTACGCAGCTAGGCCAACAAATGTCGCAAGGACGATCCAGTTGGGCGATGCCCCGGCAATGATGGCAAATATGGACGAGCAGAAGATGGAAACATTGAACGCAAAACGTCGACCTATGACATCGGCACCTGGAGCAAAGGCCCAAGTCAGTAAAAAGTATGCACTGCTTCCCACGGGTCGAGACAGGATGGAGCAAAGAATGTTGTACCTAGTCCCCAGAACAGCACTCCAACCAACATTCCTGTATACACAGATACATTGAGAGCATACGCAAAGGACGGACTGAACTCAAGAGCAGCTTGACTGGCAGTCACGGCTTGAAGGGCGAGTATCAGAGAATCAGCAGCGTATCCAAAACCGTTGAGGAAGAACAACTTGAGATGGAAGTTGGTCCACCCTATCTCATCCATGGTCTGTCAAAGGGTCGATCAGCATCGGAGATGTCATAATATACATCATTATCATAGGAGCTCGTCAGACCTGGTTCACAAGGCGCATTTTGGCATCAAGAATTGGATCAATGTCACTCATAGAGAATATCTGATCATCGACGACTTCCATTCTAATGCTTGAAGATTCAGCAGGCGGATAACCACCACCAAGTGGACTAGCATGCCGCTCAGGCTCAGACTGCTTGTCCGACGAAGGGTTCATGTTGGTGGATAGCCGAGAAGTGATCTTCTCCATGATGGTCATGCAAGGTTTAGGAAGTAGATTAGACACATTAAAGACGCGAGTGTACAGGCTATCAATTGGACTGGGGACTGGAGCTCCTTTATTCAGTTTCCCCGCATACCTCACGCGCCCATTTTCCAGCTTGGTCTCTATGATATTGGTCCGACCTAATCAGCCCGAGGGAGATGGACCCCTTGTGCTCTACAGGGAATAGCCTTCCTTGGAGATCGCCTAGATTTACACATATGCACGGACTAAAAGGAGGTTCCATACAGCTCATTGTTCGTCTGGCCACGAATCAGAAAAGCAGGATTACTATTGAACCTAAAGAAGTTACGGGGAACCCCACCTTACCTACAAGTCGAAACTGGGACTGGCCGGACTCAACAAGCACAACTAACATGCTGCCTGCGTAAGACTAATCAAAAGACTACGTAACACGGATCCAGTTCCTTCATCCCTGATGACGGCTGCGAATCAGAAAGAGTTTGACTATCGAAGAATGGGGAACCTCGAAAAACGGGCCCCCAAGACAAACTTCGGAGGACAGGGGTCTGGGTCCTCCCCGTAGAGCACGTGACCGGGGAGCACGTCGGCCGTGCTATCGTACTTCGCTTGCTTGATATTCACTAGTGCTGACCGGAAGGGCGCGTGCCAGATATATTGAGGCTTACCGCGATTGGCATTTGAATCACCACAATGCGTGGCTCGAAACGCCAACTCCATCGGGGAAGTTCACCGGGTAGTATACGGGGAACTCTACGGGGAGGGGAACCGCGTAAACTCCAGAGTAGGTATTGAGCAGTTGCTCACAAATGGTGACTTGGTACCGTGACAGCCTCAAAAAGTTCAAGTGAAGCTTCCTTCCTTGTATGCCATTTCACATATAATCAGTTGCTAGATCACAACGTCACAACTCGACCCATGGAAAGCAAGCCTTGATTCACACCTCTTCGTCCATAGTTGCGCGTTTACAACAGATTTTGAGCCCTTTGCGTGCGAAATGTTCTCAAAACTTGGTTCAATACTCACCGTCCCGAGTGCAATTTTGACAGGCAAACCGGTTTACGAAGAACCTCGAGCACTACCAGCATCGTGGTATCGCACTGATGAGCTGTATCAGCTAGAACGGCGAGCCATCTTCTCTAAACGATGGCTTCTTGTGACTCATAAACTACGTTTCAATAAACCTGGAGACTTTATACGCTTCGAACAGGCTGGATACGCCTTTGTGTTGTGTATGGACAAAGATGGGGTGACCATCAATGGGTTCCACAACATTTGTCGACACAGAGCCTTCCCCGTGGTGACCAAAGAGTCGGGAAACGCTAGCATATTCTCCTGCAAATACCACGGCTGGTCATACGGCATCAACGGCAACTTGGCCAAGGCACCACGTTTTGACACGGTGCCAACTTTCAAGAAAGAGAACCATAGTCTCTTCCCTGTCCATGTGCATATTGACGCTGTGGGATTCGTCTGGGTCAACTTGGATGCATCTACGGAGCCCGAGGTCAAGTGGACAGATGACTTTGAGGGTGTCGACAACCTGGAGCGATTCAAGTACTTCAACTTCTCGCAGTATAAGTTCGATCATGTTTGGGGCATGGAAGGCAAATACAACTGGAAGACCCTCGCCGACAATTACAATGAATGTTATCATTGTCAGGTTGCTCACCCTGACGTTAGGAATCTCGCGGATCTTTCCTTTTACTATACGGTGTCTAAGCCCGGTTACATCCAACACTTCTCGCGACCACAGAAAGGAAAAGAGGAAGATGACATCAAGGTCGTCAGTACCTATTATTTTCCGAATGCTTGCATGACTGTTTCGTGAGTTGAAAACCCTCCCTTCTGCTTTCGTTTCCATTTCTCATGTTCCTTTATTGTATAGGCCTCACTTCTTCTATATGATGCGATGCATCCCGACGTCGGTTGGTACATGTTCCATGGAGTACGAGGTCTATCGGCATAAGGATGCGACAGACGAAGAGTTCGAGAAGGTTGATTCCTTCTTCAAACGCGTTCTCGGAGAAGACAAGTATCTGTGCGATGAGGTACAGAAAAACCTCGAGGCAGGCATCTTCACTAATGGGGAGATGCACCCAGAGTTGGAGAGCGCACCCCTCTACTTCCAGAATACGGTGCGTCAACTCTTGACAGAACATCGCAAGAAGGAAGAAGTTCAGAAGAGGGAGATATGGGGGGCTCGCCGTACCTTGGCAAGCACGAAGCTTACAAGGGATGATGACGCGTTCTGTGACGGACTGGCATGCAAGGCCGACAATGCTGATATGGAATGGTAATCGCCTATTAATGATAGAATTTGTTACTGTCTACGTACAGCGGATATATCTACACGCAGGAACCTGTTGACATGCCCATCCCTGCAGGGAAAGTAGTAATCAAGAAGTGGCATTCTGAGCTTGCATGGATATATATGGAAGCTGTGTAAATATAAGGAGCTAGTCGAGGACAGATTAAGCAGCTAGGATATTAAATGTTAAGCCTGGATTTACTTCAGTTTCGGCTCCATGAAGCTACTAACTATACTAAGTAGATGCCTTAGTTTTGGTACAAGGCTAAGTAGACAAGTAGGTCCTACTATTCATACTAATCCACCGGTAGAGGCACAAAGGTTCGACCCAGTGCTCTGGCTGATTTGAGTGGGCACCATATCACTCCCACGATCTGCTCCCGTGACCTACCTCTTTCTATCTTTCTTTGTTTTTTTGTAACTCCCTCTTTCTTTGCCCATCCTAGAGACTTTAGTAGAAGGGGAGGAGTGGATAGGGGTTTGTGCAGCCGTTATCGCCTCCTAGATGACAGGGTAGTAGAGCGGATTCGGAGCATGACTTCCCCGCATTTGATAGGCGAGATACCTATAAAAAGACGTGGAGCAGCTCAGTAAGGGGTATATGAGTATTTCACTTTGTACTTTTCAGTATCTGCACAGCATGCTTTGATATTGGCTTTTCTTTTGGGTGGTCAAGCCATATCCAAGCCATCTCGCCAGCTGACACGAGCATGCGCCCACACAAGCGTCTTCACCAGGCGTGTGAGGACTGTCGGTATGTCTCCGTCTCCTCAGTTCCGGGCGTAGTCGAACACCTCATGTGCGCTTCAAGGTTACATTTGGCTGACCAGACATGGACAGGAGGAAAAAGACAAGATGTCCTGGTGAGAGACCTGAATGTTCAAGCTGCACTCGACTCTCGAAACCGTGCATTTATCCAGGCATCCCCGGGGACGCTCCGTCTTCGGTATTCCAATACAGAGGGGGCTCGACTAGCACGGTACGACTTGATACTTACACCTGACCTGAGTGTGTACGCAACTCACCATATAACGTTGGACAGGAAAGGCGTCTAGCTCAACTTGAAGCAAAAGTCCGCATGATGGAAAGTAAAGAGTATGGATACCAAACTTAGTCATGTCTGCGCCTGGCTCTGCAAGACCCAGAAACTGACCATGCTGGTTTTTGTACTTTGTTAGGAGGAGCAGCGATATCGAGTCTACGGCAACAAGAAGGTCAACAGCCTCCCGGGAATCCCAAGACTGGCAGCCTCCCCCATCACCTCGCACAGGAATCGACGGTACGTCGACAATTAGGTATGTCACAAAGTCCGGGTCGCTACATCATGACTTCAACTAACTTGAGGAAAAGCGTCTTGCCTCCGAGACATGTGCTGCAAGACGTTGTAGATTCATATTTCCGATACTGTCTGAAACAGCCTCTATGGTTGTTCGATCGTGAAGAGTTTTCCTCACTTCAAGACTGTCGTGAGGAGATTCTGTTCTCTCTCCTAGCTCTTTCTGCTTGTCATTCGAAGCATGCATTCTTCGAAGGCCGATTAGACGAGCTAAGTCAGGGATATGCCCAGCGTGCAAGAGAAAAGATTATGCAGTGTATTGGCGAGGGCAAAGTTTCACTATGGACAATCCAGAGCCTCTGCATGCTAGCACTTGCAAATATACAAGGTGAGCGATGGCCAAGATCAAAGCTCCCAGGATGTACACTGAACTACGTAGCAAATAACCCGACCCTGGCATGTCTCCATGTTGACATGGCAGTCAGCCTTGCAAAATGCGCCAATCTCGACTACGAGGCGCATTCCCTCGTCGATACCGGCCTACATGCAGAGTCTCGAAGACGAGTGTTTTGGAGCTTGTACTTTCTACAGCAGATATACGGGCACCAGCCTGCAGCGACCAACATCTTGCAAGACGTTTCCAGGCCACACTATGTCGCCATGCACGCAGATCTACCGAGGGTTTTGAACGAGTTGCCTCCTGCTATACCCCGAGAAGAGGCGGATCAGAGCACCTCAGCGCAAGGTCCCAAGAAGAAGACTGGACTCTGGGTCTATATGATCCAGCTTTCCACCTTGTGGGGGAAGGTTCGGACGTACGCTGAACAATGGGCCCAGCGGAACGACAAGATGCCGCCGCCCTGGTCCATCGAGTCTGAGTATGCTGTCATCGGAGCACATCTCATGGATTTGGAGACGAAGTTGCCGGCCCGCCATCGATTCGATCTCGCACGCTTTCCAGACCAAGACAGCCAGCATCTTCAAAGTAACCGGGAATACTGGGGTCCTTGGCTATACATCCAATTCACATATCATGCCATACACAGCATGTTGAATCACCCATTTCTGTATTCATCGCGACCTCAGCAGTCGGCTCAGCTGGGTGTACCCAACACGTTCTGGAAGACATCTACAGAACTGGCTTTCATTCACAGCACCTGGATTGCACGGCTTGTCGACCTGGTCAAGAGCAAGGAATACCGCGTCTCCGATCCTTTCATTGGTCACTGCACGGCCATTGCAGCCACCATTCATATCTACTTTTGTCGAGCTGCTGATAGGTCGACCAGAGGGGCGGCGCAAGAGAGGCTCTCGGGCTGTCTGGCATTCTTAGAAGAGCTGGCATTGCTTTGGCCTTCATCTCGATGGTTAGTGAGTATACACAGATATCCCAGTGCTTGATACGGACACTAACCTTCGATCAGCACGGCAGACTCCAGTTGTTGGTCCATTCGGCATTCGCAGCAGATCAGTCACAGGGAAGGGTAGGAGCAGAGAAACAACAGATAACGCCGAAGACTATATCGATCAATAATCGGTTGATGTGGGATATTCTTCTCAACAATTTTGCTGCGCATAGGGGCACATCTACTTTGCCTCACGCAGGTGGCCTTTTTGATGAGGGCTCCTTTTCCCCTCCAGACAACATGGACGAAGAGGAGGATATTGTCGACATGGATAATTTCCATCTCCCCAACGTGGAGGTAAGTCTGTCAAACGGACAGGCCTTACCGCCGCAGTCGGGCCAGAGAAGAAATACAGCAGCGCAAGGCGATCAGGAATTCCCAGCTATGGAACCGTCAACCCCTCCTTCGAGGACGCCAGCTCCTGATTCTTCGGCTGCTGTCTCTTGGCACATGCCCTTAGATATGACCTATGATCCATTTTATCAATTTCAACCCCCTGGTAGCCCCTTCTTCGGAATGTGGGAGGTCGGAAACTTGTAAATGAGATACTAGGCAGATAGAACGAAATAAAGTGTACATTGACTTTTCAACATATTTTGGTTTCCTCCCCCTCGCCCCTTTTGCTTTCTTTTTTTTTGTGGTTCTGATAATGAAGTGCACGCATACTCATTTATTGATAGTACCATTCCGTCTTACAGCGTATTTCTGTCCTAGTTGATATAGAGAATTAAGCCAACAGCCATCGCCGACATTATCAGATCCATATTGATTTGAACCCGAATTCCTCCGAGCAACAACGAGGCCTCAGCTAGTCGTTTCTGCAACAGCTCTCAGCCCCTGAAGCAGATCCGCCAAGAGGTCTTCAGGGCTCTCCACACCAATACTGACTCTCATGAAATCCTTTGTCACCGTCGAATCGGTCATTGTCCTCCACTCGATCAAACTCTCTACGCCCCCTAGGCTGGTTGCGTGATGGAAGAGGAGCAATTTGGACGGAAGGTTCCTTGCATAGCGGACCTCATGAAGCGTCAGCGCAAAGACCGGCCCATAGCCGCGTGACATCTGCTTCCGCAGCCAGCTTCCTTCAATATTAGCCTCATCTTGAATGCTGGCATGGTGAATCTGTTTCACCACCTTTTGGACAATGTGAGCTGCCTCATCACTGAAGGCCTTTGAGCGTGCGAGTTGCGGACTGCCTGTCAATGCAGCATGGAGCGTGCGAACTATGGTTTCCGCTGACTGACTTTGCTTCACAACCCTCATCTCGAGAGTGCGGATGCTCCTCGTTGCAAGCCAGCTGTCGAAGCCCGCCATGATGGACCCGAGATAGAGTCTGTCTCGATGGAGCCCCTGCAGCCACGCTTTACCGATGCTACTGTTTTTGACGGCCAGGATACCGCACAGAAAGTCGGAATGACCACCAATATACTTCGTCCCTGAATGCATGACCATGTCCGCACCATGTAGGAAGGGGTCTTGCAATGGAGGTGGTGCGAATGTGGAATCCACGCTAAGATAAGCACCACGCGAATGGGCCCGGTCTGCGTAGTATTGAACATTGAAGGCGTGTCCTGTCGGATTCACAGGTGTTTCGAGGTGAATCAAATCACCAGGACCGAGTTCTTCAACGGCACAGTCAAGTGACACTATCTTGGTGCCGGATGCCCGGGCATAAAGCTCGAGGGTGCCATGGCATCCGTGGTAGCCGGCACCAATAGAGACCTTTTTGGGTCCCAACATACTTAGAAGGGCATGGAAGGCAGCAAGACCCGATGAGTAAGTAATGCATGGCTGTCCCAAGATGGATGCTAGGACTGCCTCGAGGCGCGAAGACCCTGGTGTAGACTGCCTAGAGTAGCAGTGCTCCCCAACATCCAAAACAGGATACGAAGGCCTCTCATGGTGCTCGCGCATAAGATCTGGGTCTCGGGGGTAGCGATATGTCGCCGCAACGTGAATCGGCGGAGCTACATCGTCCACAAAGTTGAGCACGTCGTCGCCGTGGATGGATCGCGTGGCTGTAGCAAGGCTAGGTAGAGCCTCTCTTATCCTTATTCTGAAATGCTCCTCTGCGTTGCTCATTGTAGTTATTGGACTACTCATAGAGTCACTTGGCGTCACACGGAATCAAAAGACTAGCAAATTTAGCAAGTCCCGACAACACTTGCTCAACAAGTTTTACTAGATAAGGTTTATATCAATGATTATATCCATGAAATTTCTCAGAGCACCAGACAACTAAAGTCTTTGGACTAAACCCATGTATCGTGTCTCTCGCTCTGCCTGGCCCAAGTAGTTGCGTTGGTCTCCGATGTACGGACGTACGGATGGCCCCGACGGGGAGACTTACACCTATTGCCGGTCACGTGATTGCCCGCGGAACCCGGCGCAATGCCCCGTGTACATGTATTCTTAATCGAGGAAGTAAAAGATAGCGAGATTTGAAGTGAATTGACTTGATTAAGGAAGATGAGCGTGTCTCGAGGCTAGAACTAAGGAATGCCTACTATGCTTGGAGCCTTGGGCTGGCGGTAGGAGAGCGCTATAGGGTAGGTTAAATATTTGCCTACCCTAAACCCTCTAACCTCTACACATACATGTTCTGGCCAACCCAGTCCCTTCCTTCTGTGTTTAGAAACCAAAATTATGCCAAGTGGTGTAAAATTAGACCAGTATGTAGTCCCCATGTACCTAGTCAATACATGCTTTCTGTGCCTAGATAATAGTCTCAAGCTTAAAGGACTGTCCGAAGTTGTTAGGCGATTGTATAGCATCTCAAAGGTCAATAATAACACGAGCACTGGTGAGTAACCAGAAGTTAAGCTAACCTAACGACAGGCTAGGAGATCGCCATTACAATTTTCAGCAGCATTATCTGCCTATTTGAACTTGCGCACCTTGCGAGTAACACCTTCCGGACAAGCCAAGCGCTGAAGCATATGTACGTGGAGTTGGCTTTTGATACTCTTCAAGAACGGAAACTTTTTTTTTTGGTAATTCTTCAGTAAGTTAGATGTATTTGTATAATATAATCATTCTCTTCCTTGACGTTATCGTTTAGGGTGTATATGGCGTTTATATAGATCGGAGTAAAAGAAGTTGCGGTATAGTATAGTTCTTATTCAGTATCATATGTAGCTAGGTATCAATAATTGATACTGGCTTCTCAAAATTGCACGCTAAGAGAGCTGCAGAATCTGGGCCTCAATGTTCTTAACATCTCCAGCGGGCAGTTGATGGAGCAAATCACGAAGTTTTTGACAGACTTCTGTCATTTCTTTTGCCATGCTCTTCCTGATTTCATTTTGTTGATCCACATCCACGGGCATTGGGGGCATCAATGTGCCGAACCAATCCAGCCGAGACTGGGCTAACCAAGCAGACGTCTTGGGCTGTGACAACCATAGCAAGGTGTTTTCGTTGTTAAGTAGAGTGACCAGCAGCCACTCGTAAGCCTTGCTCGGGTGCGGAATAGGTCGACAGAGCTTGTTCTTCATCGTATCATCGTCATATGCTGCCTCAGCGTGAGCAATGAAGGCAGCGCTGAACACTTGCTGACACAAACGAACGGATTGTAGTGTGATTTGTTTCCCTTTGAATACGGGCACAGGCGCATGTTTCTCTAGCCCATCAGCTGAGCAATCAACAAAGAGTGTGTCTGGAGGGGGTTGGTAGCTGCTGCCTCCTTCAAACGTCACTTGGCTCGTCCCAATACTGACAATACGACCTTTTCGAACGATATTGGTGACCTCTTGAAGCTTTTCAAGCTCCAGCGCTGAAACCGTGGCACATCGAAACATGGTGGGCCAGACTCGGTCAGTCAGGCGTAAGAGCTGGTTTGACTCCTCCAATCGTTTGAACATATCGTCCACGGAGGTAGCGGACATAATAGCTTGGTTTTGTGCAGGAATAGTATCATGGCGTTTTTCAGCCCATTCAGGCCCTGGCTGGTATGCGCTCCGATCTAATAGCCAGGAGTCTCGAGGCATAATCCACGTGATTTTCGAAGGATCCAGATTCCTTGAAAGTAACCACAGGACTGTATCGATGCCTGTTTTGCCCGCACCGACCACTGTGTAGTTTGCATAAGGTCGGGTTGCTTTGGGGAGATCATTAGGCGTAACAAGAGTGACGCCCGCCTCGACATCGTACGCGGGTGGGCCCATTGAGGGCACCTTGACACGCATATAAGTAGCATCCACGATGCGGGTGTAGGTTTCAGCGATTTGATAGGTTTTGCCTGAGACGTTTGAAGAAAATCTACCGTCGCTGGTATATGTGCAATTAGGAAAGTATTGCACACGCCCGGAAGGCAGGAAATGCTGGTCCATAACTTGCCCGAAGTAGGCCAGTACCTCGCCGCTGGTGGCGAGCTCATAAAGACCCTTGTTTGTTCCGAATTTGTCAATAGTGTTATTGCCCAGGTTCTTTGAGTTGACACCATAGAAATTAGACGGCTGGTGAAGTCGAACAAACGGGTAAGCCCTGTTCCAGTGCCCTCCAGGGCAATCATAGCGGTCTACGATAGCCACCGTGAATTTGGTGTCTGCGAGCAAGGTATCGACAAAGGCCAGGCCCATTGCTCCAGCTCCGATCACTAGGTAGTCTGCTGTAATACTTTCCGCCATTGTAAACAATAAATGATGTTGATGGTACTGGATTCCTCAAAGAATTGATTGCCATATGCCTGGAATACGATCTCTTTTATCATTAAAACGTCTGCCGTTATTAAGGGAGCACCAGGAATTACGCTTCCCGACGGGTTAATCATCCCACATGCCCCGGAGTCCGGACAGCGGACTCCGTACCCAAACTCTCATCTTCTTGGTTCTTATCAATTATTTTTCCTTGGAAGTCATGTAATGTTATATGTTTGACTCGTTGAGTCGCCAGCCTTTTAGGTGTCAAAGCAAGAGAGCCCTCCAGAATGATTACGGGCTCGGTGGTAGGCGTAGTTCAAACCATGAAGTCACGATTGCTCGTTTTCGGAAAGACTTTTGTGATTAAATCAGGCTGCTCCTCCAACCCCTCAACCTGACAAACCTGGGTGGTTCGGGGTTCGGTTTCTAACTCGGTGCAATTCTTGCGTAGAGTCGGGATCTATGGCTGGCTCCTGAGTACTTCCAAGATCCGGCCAAGTACATAGATATGACGCAGAAGAATCCTAGTAAGCGAGCACGGCCCTCGGGGTGCGTCTCTCGCTTAATTTATGCCGGACTCGGAGCTTGGAGTGTAGTAGCTAGTAGGGAGAACTACGGGGGAGGGACGATGCGGCGAGCTCGGCATTTCACGGGGCAGCCGAAAGATACCAAGATTGCATTAGAAAGTAACAAGTCATCTATAGATGTGATATCAAGCACCATTCATATTAAAAAGGGACGAATTGATCCTCTTGCTAATTAAATACTATTATTAGGTGCTGGATCTAGCTGGACTTTGGACGGATGCCTATTAAAGGCCTCGTTCTGAAAAGGATTGAATAATTCCTGCATTGCTAGGCTCATATTCCTTCAAAACAATCTCGCCTTTATCTCCGATAAACGTGTTTGGTTGCAAGAACTTCCACTTTGGCTCTGGGTTAGAGACCACGACCTGTCTCCAGATTTCGTATTCGCCATCAACAACACTCAAAGCGTTATAGAACGGCCGACAGGCATCCACATCGGCAGTGCAGTGCCAGATATGAATCTTGCAAAGCATTCGTCCGATGGAAGGCGTTCCACAGGTAACAATCTTGGAGCGATCAACGCGGACATAAAGAGTCTTGGCATTGGGGTCATGATCTATGGATATGACGCCATCACCGTCCTGTATCAGATGCTTGAGTATGGCGAATAAAGCCTTCGAGGGGGATACATCCGTTATTAGCTATTGGAACTGGCCAACTTTGAGGGGTTTAGAACTTACCTGCTGGTGATCATCTCCCCAAGTCATGTCTGACGGTTCGAAATTTCGGAGTGCCTGGAGGCCTTCAACTCCAATTTGCAGGTATGTGTAGTAAATGACTATTAATATTCATTAACTGAAGTCAGTGGTGTTTGGGTCATTCAGTGTGCGCCTACAATCATCTGCCGTCGGTGTACTATTATCACTATACCCGAACATGCCGAGAACATCCCTGTTGTCGGCCAGATAGTCTGCAATCAAATATGCCCGGCATTCCTCCACAGTCGGTGCCAGTTTGCCGAAAACGCTATTCCAGGTCTCTCCTGGTTTGTACCATGTGCTTATGGGGTTATCAGTTACAGGGCTGATGGGGGGATTGGTATGGTCAAAGTTGAACTGGCCTGGTGCCGTCTCCGTGAGTAGTTTTCCTGTCCCATGACCAATCAGTTCGTGAACGGCAGTTTGAGCAAAGCGCACTTCATGGGCGCAGCTCATGTATGCCTCGGCCTCTGAGGGGTGAACATAGTAGCAAGGACGTCTAGGACTGTTGTTCAAGCTTATTCGATTTCCATAAACCATGTTTTTGGAACCAAGCCTTTTACCACCATGGTCCTATAAGTCTGTCAGCTACTAACAATACCATAATAAAGAGAGACCCCAGGAGTTCCACAAGACTTACGATGGTGATGTTAGTGGCTTCCCATACCGTGCTGGATACCGATGCAAGCACTAAAATTCTGTCAAAACGGCGTTCTATGATCAATTTTCACTCTTGATAAAGTAACTCACCATGGATGATGGCAAAGTCGGGTGTTTGTATTTCACTCGGCTCAAAGGGTCCTTTGCCGCCGTTTTCATTTGGCACAGCCCATGGAAGCGTGCAGATGACATCTGGGGACTTATCAACGAGTTGACCCATCTTGTTCGTTTCCGCTAAGTCGGCAACGCCTGCGGCGGCTTGCCATTCGGCTCTAACACCGCGAGGGTCCCGATACCCAAAAAGGAATCCCATGCAATGTTCAACTCGAGGAGCTCTGTCTTTGATCCACGTTTGTTGTGCGTCAAGGAATGCCTGATAGTTACCGGTACTGAAGCTCTCAGCCAGTTGAGAAATCGCCAATCTCTGCTCCTCCGTGACAGCAACTTCACGCGCGTTTGTCAGTTCAGCACAGATCTTGGTCATTTCATGAGAGTGGTCACCGCGACGGAGTAGAACCTTGAACTGGCGCTGATCTTCAACCGCAAGATAGCCAAGAACTCTGGGCTCGCCTTCTGTTTCCGCAGAGGCCTGTATGATCTCAAATGACTCTTCAGTCGAGTTCTTTCGCAGCCGCGTGTTTTCTGGCGCTATCTTTTCGGTTGACATGATCTTGGTCACAGCTTCGATCTCTTCCCGTGTACACATCTCAGACCCAGGGTAATAGGCGGACTGGCTTTTCTCTGTAGGATAACCCATTCTTGTCGGGTTATCCGCTGTCATCAGCTCAATTGTTTCAAGCCAATTCATGTCTGACTTGGGCAGCATCTGTGTCATCTTTAAGATGGAGTCCTTGGATATACGGGGAACAGCTTTGCGGTCGCCATCCTCCTGTGAAAGCAATGCGCATCAGCGAGTTGCCACGTATCACAAAGACCCCCCCAAGTTGCAGGGCAATACCCACGAAGTAATTTCCGAGGCTGGACAAGAACATGCCGCAGAACTCGAGCCACACATCGACTTCATTCTGCGTCAAGCCGTGGTCCTGTAGGAGACCCCAATCGCCGTCGCATGCCTTATGAAGCGCAATGATGAAGTCGAAGATGCCTTCGGCCTCTGCTGAAGTCTGGCGCAGTACAATCCGGCTGCCATACCAGCAGGCCCGCGCCAGGTGATGAACGTAGGCTTCAAAGTTCTGTCCATCCTGCGACTCTTTGCGCAGGCTCTCGAAGACTTGGCGGAATTCTACCCTGAGTGTAGCCTCGCCCTCTTCTTGGTGTTCCTGGCGCGGCACGGGCATGGTCCTCGAGAATCCTTCAAACAACCAGTCTGAGCGCTCAATGGCCTTGAGAAGATGCGGCTCCGAAGCCTCTGGCGGCTGATGTCGGTTAATCGCGTGATCAGGGGGCCGGGTGCTCCGAAGCCCTTGCTCGAACGCGCACGCACAAAGTGAAAAGGGGTGACATTCTAGACCGAAAGATATCGGGATCCAGGCAGAATGGCGACGTTACGTTGCACATACCTACCTGCCTAACCTCACACAAGATGACGTGGCGCCGCAGCTATTGCCATTTCAAGAAAAGGAAGGAAGAAGTTGATCCGAGTGAGAACTGACCTTCTGCTTCTAGCACAGTGGCAGCCGTACTGAAGTCGTACTGTTTCCCACACAAGGGCTGCTTATCATGTATGCAGTCCGACCGCCACGGACCGAGCCGACCTTCCAATTGGTCATTAGTGAAACTGCTGTTTCATTGGGGGGCAAGGAATGACCCAATAATCTCACCAACCTAAACCGGTGAGTAGAAAAGCAAGCATGCCCAACAAAAATGCAACCCAATGTCAACCACCTCTTTTATTATGCAACTAACGCGTACCTAGCAAATAGTAGAACAAACCTCATAAGGGTTATATTTGGTACTTCTGATATTTTGAAATTATAGGCTGTTTTATTTCTTAAAAAGATAAGCTTTTAGATTTAGTAAATAACTTTTAGTTAATTAAAATTTAATTTAAATATTTATTATTAAAATAGAATATATAAATAAAGTACTAAAATTAAAGATTAAATATAGGTCAGAAACTATAAAGAAAGAGTATCTCTAAGAATTTAAATTATTCTTATAAACTAATTTAGATTTAATTAAAATTTATAAATAATATAAATCATATAAATAAAAAGGTTTATTATTAAACATAAGTTTTTTTTCAATAATTAATTTCTTAAGATAAGTAATCTTATCTTAGTTAAGTTTATATAGATATAAAAGTAACTAACTAATAGATATAGCTACTATATATACTAATATACGAGTCAATGATCTAGCATTTGACAAGGATGCATATTCAGGTAGGCTACATAAACCTTCAGCTGGCGATGATTTTCCAATTGGCCCAGTGTCCAAGGACGGAAAGGCGGTGTTGCCAATACATTGGGGTTGTCTCAAGCCTCAATCTTTCAAAAGGTCGCAGTACTACGTAAGACGTGGGTCTACGTTGTCTCATATCATGCTACTCTGTTTCAGGCAAGTCGGTGAAAGAGATGAGATTATAAGACAGCAGAAGAGGGTATCTTTGATTGCCAGCCAAATTCTTTTGTGAAGATGCCCGATGATCTATGCAATATAGACCTTTCTATGTGGCAATGATCTCTTCTTAGGTAGTCAGTAGTGTCATTGCTATCCTCTTATCATAAAGAAGCTTAATCTATACCGTCACTATCAAATATTACTTGAGTACTTGCGTCTCTCATGTCCATTTAGGATCTAGATCGGAATAGGCCAGGCACAGGATGGACGCCGAGGAACTGCAAGCATGCCCAGAGCAAGTAACGTCACGAACTCTCAAACTAACATGAATCTTTTAGTGATCGTTTTTGTACAGCCAGTTGGGTTGCGATGGTCAAGAAATCCAAATCGTCTTTGGCCCCTGATGATCGTGAGATTGTCGAGCTGTTTGACTCGTGGGATAAATTATTGGAGTGGCTGCTCAACACCGCGCCATCTTCTATTAGGATGATTCGACCAGCTCTGGGGCACTTACACACATTCACCAATTTCTTCCACGCAAATATCGGCCAAGACTTGAATGTCTCGCACCTCTGGGGCTTGTTGGTTTGTTTGCTGCAGGTCAGTCAGTCACAATGGCCAGCCACATTCTTCCTAGCTTATGCTGATGATGATATATGGTGTGCTTTGTCCAGCTTGCATCTCAGTATCTGAGAGAACTGGACCAACTCCCACGCATGGTGAAATCTCTTGCTCTTAAGGCCGAGTCATTTAATCACTATTGTACGCGAATTAATATCCTCACATGTTCCATCAAAGAGGTTTGCTTCGACATACAACATCAGTTCGTGGACTTCTTCACGATTGCTATAAAAGAAATCCGCCTAGCCGGTTAGACAGTGATTTTCCTTTCATGAACAAGCACGCTGTAGACAGACTGCTGATTTAGGTGATCAGAATCAAGGGACTGCGGAGTGGTCGTTACCAACGTCAGTTCAGCACCGCAGGAGATCATCAGACGACGCTACGAAGAAGCGTCGGTGATAGTGGGAGAGGCTCTTTCACGCTTGAGTAAGCTCGAAACTGCTGGGTCATTCCTAGTCGACCCAACCACCTCTGGGGCCGTGCGGTCCACACCACCCAAACAACGTTGCATATTGATGCCACCGGTCAAGACCAGCCGGATCTTTGATCGACTTGATGTTTTCGTTCAACTTGAAGAGCTTCTCGCCGCGGACGCAGGAGACGGTTCACTCCAGTCGGTTGCTTTGCACGGACTTGGGGGTGTGGGTAAGACTAGTATAGCATCGTCGTACGCCGAGAAGAAGTATTCCCAAGAAACCTACGACGTGGTTTTATGGGTGCATGGTGAGAAGGAGGCTTCTTTGCGTCAAAGCTATACAGACATTGCCCTGAGACTGAAATTGCCCGGGGCACAATCGCTGGCCCATGAAGAAAACCATCTCCTTGTTCATGAATGGTTCCAGACCACAGGTTTACTACCCCTCTACCCTGTATAGTTGACTAACAAAATAATGGCTAACGTATCATCATTATTTTAGAATGCAAATGGCTTGCCATTTACGATAATGTCGAGTCCTCCAATACACTTCTCCCATACTGGCCACGAGCCACGAATCAGGGCAGGGCCATCATTACTACGAGGAACCATTCACTCGCGTATGAACCAGCGCAATCTGGTATCGAAATTACCTCGTGGGACGCCAATACGGGAGCTGAATTTTTGCTCTTCCTCCTCAAGAAGAGTATCGGGCGGGATCTGACATCCGAGAAAACGTCTGCGCATACGCTTTCGAAAAAGATGAGTGGACATGCCCTAGCCCTATCACAGATGGCCGGGCTGATATATGACGGCGAGCTGTCAATCAAGGAATTCACGAGCATGTACCTAGAGAACCCGCAACCAGCCCATGCCGTAGATGCACTGTCTGAGCTCTGGCGGTTCTCCTTTGAGACCCTCGACGCGAACAGCTTTTCTCTCCTTGGGGTCATCTCATTTCTGCAATCAGACAATATACCGATGGAGATTTTCAAACCCAGAGGCGGACTGGAATTACCCCCGAACTTGAATTTCTTGAAGAACCAATTTCAGAGGTAAACCGTTGATTTAATCATGAAGCTCACGGAAATACTAAATCTTGCCTAGTTTCGCTACCATAAGCAAACTTACCACGCGTGCACTCATAAAACGAGACAAGGACTCGGGTGTGTTGACGGTCCATCGTCTAATTCAAGCCCAATTCCGTTATTTCTTGACCTCAGAACAACTCCAGAAGGCTTTCAATGACACCATCATATTAGTGTCTTACGTTCTTCCGGAGATCGACATGGAAAAGGGCCAGCTGTATGAAGGATGGGATACTTATAATCGGTATTTACAGCACGTCATTAGTCTTAGGGACATCTTTCACGACGACACTAAGACAAGTTGCGGTTTGAAAGCTTCAATATTGTTTTGTGAGGTTCTTAACCAGTATCAAAGGTACGAAGGCTTACCTAGTTCACTTCATATCCGCAAGGAAAAAGAAATACTACCTAGAGCAAAACTAAACTGTTACCGTGTATCTAGGTATTTATACGAGAAGTGCGACTTCGAAGAGTGCGCGAGAACCTGTGAGGTGAATCGGGCCGCCGTTTTAACCCTCTCCTCTAAAGAAGACAAGATTGATCTCGAATGCACCATTTTATCCCACCAGGCACAAGTGATGGAAGTAATCGATGAGGTTCAACGTGCCATCACCATATGCCGACAGGATATAAGTATCAGACGCAAGGAGGAGCCCCAGAAGAAGATATACCTGGCTCACTCGGTGGGCAACCTTGGCATCATACACACCAGCGCCAATATGCCCCAGAAGGCGTTGGAATACTTTCTGGAGTCGCGTGGATGGTGGGCATCTCACTACGAGGACCAGAACGAGGATCGGGTCTTCGGGCCCTGTATCCAGGTGTACGAGGCAAGATGTAGGATGGATATCGGTGAGCTGGACCTGGCCGAGGAGATGCTTTACGATGCCCTCGCCGAAGAGAAGAAATCCAAACCTCCAAGTTTCGGCACTATAGCTAAGTAAGTGAAAACCACCTAGTGCATGCCTAGGAATAGTACTAATTTTCTTCCGCTATTGTGTTGAACTGTAGCGCATACTTCTTTCTTGGGGCGCTTTACAGGCGCCGACGGAAACCGGAATTTGCTGAGGATCTCTTCATCCAGGCTCAAAATACCTGGCGTGAGGGGGACCAGACTCGCGTCCACCCGTTTAATGCGGGGATTCTATACAACATCGGTGCTTGCTGCCTTGACCAAGGGAAGATTGAAGCTTCAATGTAAGTGCTCGATCGTAGCTTAACTCTTGAAAAATCGTTATAGCTGATCGCCAAACCGGACGAATAGCAAGCACATCCGGGAGTCAAAGGAACTCACTGAGATCTACAGCCGTACTATGCCTGTCGAGCACGGCCGGAACCTCTTTAAGCTCTCCGAGGCACTGTTGCAGAATGGGGAGGAAAAGGAGGTGGAAGCGTCAGTTCTACGGGATGAAGCTGAGTCCTTTTTGAAAAAGAAACGGCCAGCTGCTATCGAGACGGGCACGGAGGGCGCCTATAGTGAACTCATACCTATCTATTGGCGTTAGCTCAATGTTCAGTTCGTTATTTGCGTCCAGTCAATCGACCCTTCGTGGAAAGGTGGTTGCTTAGGCACAAGTTACCCATCAAGCGGGAACTTTGACGAGTAATTTCGGGGGCTTAATTCTAAGTTTTACCACGTCTCAGAAGCTATTCAACCATTTTATCTCGTAACTATCTAGATACATCTAGGCGTGCCTGTCTACTCAATCATTTCACTGGACGGATGGTATACGCCAATTGAAGCACCCCAATAATCAACTGCAAAAGTGCTAGGACTAAACCAGAACCACCAACAATCAGAACCGCCCAGAAAGTATACCATTGCAGTGGATTCTGCCGATTACGCCATAAGTCAGTGATTTTGCTAGGCTGGTGCCGCCTGTTGTAGCGCTGGAGGGCCAGCAAACGTTGGCCGAAAACAGGGAAGTCGTCCCGAGCCGAGTAAGTGCTGGACTCAATGAGCTCATCTTCCATGCTGAGAGCTGATACTGGAAAAATATCCCCGCGGATATGAGGGCCAGTATTACGGCCTAGAGGTAGGCCTAGAAAGCGTCGCCGGGTGCGCAATGGCGCTGTACACAAAGTCTTCAGAAACTGGTCCAGTCCATCTAGATTGGCAGGTTCGCCGTCGTAAGACGTATTTATGTTTGCCCTATCAGATGACGATTTCTCAAAGAGTTTGGCGAGAAGCTTGCGAGACTTTTTTGATTGTCCAAAGAGCAGCCGATATGTAAGAAGAGTTTCCCGATAGATCATGGCCGTGTTGTCAAGCGTGTCGACGAACTGAGGAGGTAGAAGCTTGTTGGTGATACTAGAAGGGGTGTGAGCTCGCACACAAGTACCTTCGCAAGAATTAAGGTGGATTAAGCTGGCAAATGGAGCTCAGTAAAGTGTACATACTTTTCAACGACTTCGACTTTTTGCTTTGAGAGTATCTTGGCTACACAAAATGAAGGGTAGCGATATACAGACAGCTCTCGTGTAAGACGGTTGAAGGACAGATGAGCAGTCAGAGTATCTACCCATTTAATTCCAACACGCCCAATCATCTGAAGGGAGTCGAAGGTCAAACTCGGCTCGTACAGCATATCTTCAAGATTGATTCCGGGAGGCTGAAGATCGAGACTAGTGCATGTACCCTCTCCCCGACCAGCGTTGGTCGGAACTTGAAGTCGATACGTGTGGAACATTAGGCTGGCAGGCCGGCGCAGTTGGCTAGATGAGTAGTTGCGGGAGCAGTTACTCGCAAAGAGCGCAGATTCCAGCAGGACGTTGCCTTCTTCGACGAATTCATCTGGATTTGGTGATTTCTTGGATAGCTGTGTTGCAGCGTCTCCAATTATGGGCTCTAGCGTAGCTGAAGTCCAACAGAGTACGGCGAATATCGCCTGTAACATGTGTTTCTTTTCCTCGTAGTTAGGCTCGCATCTATCGCCCCCACGGGTCATTGCCCCTCTCACCGTTTCCAGCATCTTCCGGCATATTTTATCAATGCTTGGATCAGCATCTTTCGAGGCCTTAAAGGCATCGATTACGAAAAAGCACCAGGCCCATACAAGCACGGGGTCGGAGGGCTGTTCTTGTCCCATGAGCTTCCATATAAAAGCGAAACGAGTATCCAGCAGTTCTGTGAAGCATGTCTCCATGTGGTACAAAAACGAATGCAAGCCCTCCCATTCTGTTAAATGGGCTGGCGGCAGCCCAAAGAGAACATCAAGCGCTTGGTGACGTAAATTTTGGTGAACAATAGTGAACTAATTAAAAGATGACCGGTCAGAATCCCGAATAAGTGACCAGCGGTATTTGAGATCTTGGCATTACCTCATTGCTTGCTTCAGGTGTGGTATTCTTGCTTCGTAGTGACAGGAAACCTGTCTGAGTCCTAAATTGGCCTCTGCTCTTTCGCCACCATGGCCCCTCTAGGTGACGTCTTGAGCTATCCGATTCATCAAACTGTTTTTCTAGGTCAGGGGTACTATTGGGATTGGGAGGCATTGTGGGAGACGCAAACACTCAGTAGGTGGTTGCAAAGAATCTCATCTCTCACGGGGCATTAGACCGTGGCACGCTCTACGAGCTATAAATTGTTGAAAGTATAACTCCTGACAGCTGTGACAGCCGCTCTATGAGGCGATCGTAATCTATGGAATTTGGGTGCCCGAGGAGCTCAGCAAATAGCCTGCAGCCCTAAAGATGTTGAGGGTACAAACTGAGGTCTGATGTGGGCCAGGCCATCATGCGAAAGCTCATTGATGGAATTCCAATAGTACATGTCTTGGAGATAAGCAAATACTCGGGCAGCAAAGTCAAGTGCTTGGGCATGGCTGCAGCGGCTAGAGACCTGAGGTGGCTGTGACCCCCAGCTATTCCAATACCTCAGATTGGGCCTCCATCAACATTGTAACCAAGCAGGCGGTTAAGGGAGAGGTCCCATTGGTAACAAATTGCGCGTGCCATCCCCCATCCTGAGTCAAATGTCCCTAATACACATCCATTCCATGATAACTCTCGCCTCACCATCATCTACTCAGCTGTTACCCCCTGCATCACGAATCAGCACTTCGGTAATTATTTCAATCAGTCAGCGATGTAGAAATTATGACTCACTTGACAACTGGTTTATCCTTTGGGGCGTTAAGATCCACGTGTCTCTTTCCCAGGCCAGTTGTGCCCTGGTTACCACTGTTGTTGTTTTCATTATCTGTAAATGTGAGGGTGCGGTCTCGAACATCTGGGCGACTCATAGGCTGTAGCTTTGAATACCAACACTTCCACGGCTGTTCGAGATTACGTTGCTCGGCTTCTGAAGGCATCTTGTAAGATTAAGGGTTCCGATGTTCAAGTCGCGGCTATTGTAGGCAAGGTCTCCAGGAAGAGCATCGTCGAGGACAGTTCAAGTTGACTCCCACGTTGAAGTCATATCATCAGATATATATGCCTATTCGCTGTCGTTACCAGCTGTGCGCCTAGCCGTGGGCTGAGCTTTGATTGGTGGCCATTGAGCTCAGGAATTACATGATGCACGCCGTCGGCAAGAATTGAAAGGCAGAAACCAAAAACCTGCTTTTCTGGTGCCGGTTGCCTATCAGAACGTGGAGCAGTTGGTGGATGAGTAGCCTTACGAACACGTTATACATGCCGTTTTTATAACATATATATTTGTTAAGAAAAAAGTAGGAATTATGAAGATGAGTTTATAATCCTAAATTTTAACTAGATATATTAAAGACTACTTATTAGATAAGTAAATAATAAATAAAATCTTAGAGTTAAATTATTAGACTAACTTTTTAATTATAAAAATAATCAAAATCTTTTATATTATATAATTTTTTATAAAGGTTTTATTTAATTTTAATTCTAATTAGTTTAAATTAGAAATAGCTAACTATATATATATATTAATAATTAATAAGCTAAAATAACTTTAAAGTATTAAATAAACTAAATTAAGATATAAATACAGTAGGTTATAGATTATTAGAATTTAAACTAGTTCTGTATACTATATATGAATTTTTCAGAGACAGTAATATATCATTTTTTTTCATAAAGCCTCTTTCATAATAGACCACTAGGATAGATTCGGAGCATCTGGTTTCTAGGGGATCATGCGCTACCTTCGGTCATCTGACATTTGAATACTACCTGAGCTGAAGCGGATGGCCGAGCCGCCTGATCAGGCAAAAGGTTGCCTCCCCGAGCCTTATACATCTAGAGCCGCATCTTTACCTTTAACGACCACTCAATCAGTCACATGTCAGATGTCGGGCTCACTGCGTAAGCCGTCATTCCGCATCATTGGTTATAGGACTGTGTCATTTGTAACCCAAGCTGACGTGGCAAAGACGTGTCATGCAGACCAAGCAAGGCATCGAAATGGTGGTGTACATTCGTGGCCATGCAAGTGAGATGAGCATCGAATCTGTGAGGGTTGCCTTACAGTACCTAATATGCACTGTGTTTTCTTCGCCTTCTCCCCAGGTGAGGAAGAGGAACGGAAGTATTGGAGGGATGTAGTATCAGGGCTCTCTGATTTTGGGATTTGAAATTGTTAGCTCTGCGCAGGCTGTTCCTATTTACTCCCATGCCTAGAGTTCTGGAATATCCACTCAATATCTTAATCGATGAACATAGTTGCTTTATATACTGATCTCTAAAGTTATTGTACGATATATATTCTACAATTTCTCATAACATCGCCATGCAGACCTCAATACATTACATCGCTAGAACCCCAAATTTAGAAAAAGAAAAGGCTTTCATCACGGACTTTCCCGTGGATCATGTAGAAGGGGCGGTACGACAAAACACCAAAGCCGACCATCGCCAGGTCCTGGTAAATGCGATTGATCAACCAGATAGGTTCACCCTTGATGAACATGGTTTTTGCTTCCTACGTGGTCGTCAGATAAATCTCGATCCTGAGAAGGCTTGCCGGGATAAAGATTCCATAGAGCAAGCTTACTGGTACGAAATCGAGGCCATTCTACATGAGCAATTCCCCCAATACTCGAGGATCGAATGCTTTGATACTACGGTAAGTGGCTCCTTGGATTTAAAATGGTCTATTTGGAACCTTATGCTGACTCTGCTTGCTACAGGTAAGAAAGCGTGACCCAGATTTCCCAGAAGTAGTTAGGGTGTACCGTGAGGATCACGAACAGCCATCGCCAGTGGTTCATTGCGACTGGTCCAGCGTTGGAGCTTTGGACGTGCTCCGGTGGTGTTTCCCGGGAAACGAAAACTTCTGGGAAGGAAAGAGGTTTGACATGCTCAAGTACGCAACCCCTCATCCCACACTCTCTTGATGCCACCCGTAATATCGAGAAGTCCCCGAGCATTATGCGAATGCTGACAATCCCCCAACCTATTAGCGTCTGGCGCCCTCTGAAGGCCCCAACCGACGACTGGCCACTTGCTCTATGTGATTACACTACAGTCGACACAGAGAATGATATCCTGCTTGAAGACGCGATCAGGCGAGATCGTGTCGAGGAAATCAGCTCCTTACACTATAATGAGAACCACAGATGGTATTATCTGAAGGACCAAGGAGTCGATGATCTGCTGGTTTTCCGCAATGCCGACTCGCATGGAGAGAAAGCAAGTAAGTTAAAGAATATTAAAACAACTTCTCTCTTTGAAGAACTTGTCTTTTCAAAAAAAAAAAAATTTACTAACTTCGCATATAGGGGCATTCCACACGGCTATACGTAACCCCTTATCTCAAGGTCCGCCAAGAGAAAGTATAGAAGTACGGCTAGTAGCTATTTATTAGATGATGGAGTTGGTCCTTTTCTTCCAGAGGGGCCAAGAGTGGCCTGTGACCGTAATCTCATGTGACGATGAAGGCAAAAAAAGAAAGAAGAAATATGAAAAATGAATCCTCTATCAAGCATAGCCATGGCGAGACTGTAGTATGTTCCAATTAAGAATTGACAGGCTTCCGCCAATTTTCATGTATGTATAAGTATGCCATGGAGGTTTACAACACCGACTAGCTCTAGGTTATGACAGAAGTTGGAGAGGTCTTGGGAGTTTTTGGAGTTTGGGATGAACCGAGTCACTAAAAGCAAACTTTCTGAGATTATACGAATAAATCTGCTACTTGAGTTCCTTAATAGGGTAGATTGTGATAGGATAAAATATTTCAAATTCGTTTGCAACCCTGGGATTGGATATTTCTAGAAAAGACAAGGGGGTTTTGATCCAAAATGTTGGTCCGAACCAGGAGACAGAACCCATATAGAGCCTGCATAGCCGCTTCACTGAAAAACATAATCGATATGTATATTAAGTGCTCACTAGTCAAAAAGACAACGCATTATTTGTTTAGCTGGAAACCCGCTATATCATCATTTCGGCTGGCCAATGATTCGAAGTGCAGGCCAGTTGCAACAACTATACTGGGCGGCGTAGCTCCGCCTACTTTTGGCGACTCTGGGCCAAGTCCTGCTCCATCTGCTTCTGGGTTCCTCTGCGGTTCACCATTTTGCCAGTCTGATCCCTGAATCCGTACTCCCAAATATGCTCGGCTGGATCCGCTCGCGACCGAAAACCCGGGGCTCCACGAGGTGGTAGGTGGATATCAGTAGTATAGCGCCACGCCAGTTCGATATCACGGCGCGCTTCAGGTGTTGTCGCCGTCACTGAATGCGCCTCTTGTTCCTTCAGGTGAAGAAGGAAATTGCTGCGCAATAGCCAAGTTTTCCCGTATTCGGGACACGATTCGAGTTTGCATGGGTATGCCCAAGCTTCTCCAGTGTGAAGAAGAGCGTTGTCTACCTCGTCGTCGAACTCCGACGGAATAGAGGCGTCAGGTGCTGAGGGATGCATGGTGAGGACGTAGGGTTGGCTATACGTTTGTGTAAGATGATGTTTCTTCTGCTGCTCTCAAGCCCACATGAATCAAGAATAAGAATGTTCAAGTCCCGGGCATGTATTTGCATTTTTAAAGGGAGTTTATGCCTAAGGCCGGCTGGGCTGAGCTGGAGAGCCCAATTCATTTTGATGCCTAAATCATATGCATGATGCCAAAAGCGACCGTCCACAAACTTTGAAGAGTATATACACGCAGTGTTAATGCGACCCATGTCTTTAGTGAGTTACTACTCTGTTAAAACCAAGCGTTCTAGTCAACTTTGCTAAGTCAATTAGGTTCCAGTGCAGCACAGTCAATGCATCGCCTGGGGCAGATTAATATAACCCTAAGTAAAGCTTGGGAATATCAGAGGCGCTGGCATCACGACCATCCAAGCTTGGAAGGCTGAAATCGAAATATTTGATAGCAAATATAGATAAGTCCAGGAGAGAGTTATACTTATTCTATCTTGAGATTATATTACTAGCTATTTATTTATAATAATTTATATTAAGACCTTTTAGAAGAATATATATAGAAGTAATCCGCTAGTATAATCCATAGTACGTACCGTTGCATCGTTGGTGCGAGGATGAGTTGCTCAAAATACAGAAGTTCCCTTATTTGTTGGTCGCATGAACAACTCTTCAACCCCGCCTCTTTGATTTATTCTTCTCATCTCTCATAATTCTTCACCTGAGAAAAAAGGTTGGCTTAAACCGCGGTAAGATATCCTACTCGAACGGTCGACATGGCGAAACACAAGGGCTTGAGTCTCCTTTTCCACAGATTGCGAGGGAAAAGGGAACAAGTACCGCGAGCCGGCACCCCGCAATCGACCAGTGGCACCACTACCCAACCTCCAGCCATGATGAACAACGCGTGCTAGACGAAGGCGGGGCATCATGATACATTGATCACTCACGTGCTGGCTGAGAACTCAGCTGGATGCTGCAAGGTCCTACTTGAATTTGGGTTCATAGAAAGGTCTGAAAGCAGGAGTTATGCATATTTTCTCCAACTAGCTGCCGAAAAAAATCTAACAGAACCGCTGGAGGCACTGCTTGAATATGGCCAACGCCGCAACTATCTGGATGGGTTGATGAATGATGGATTTTGGAGCCCACTGATGGAAAATGCCGTCAAGCTAGGGCGTTTATCTACAGCGAGGCTTCTTTTGAAGTCCACTCATCCTAAGGTCGACTTTAAAAAATTGCTGAAGGGGCCACTTCTTCGTGCCATTCGGAACGCGAGCTTAGACATGGTCAATCTACTACTTGACCACGGCGCAACACCTGACGCATGTGTAATTTCGAGATGCCGAGGTTGTGAGTCCGAAGAGCGCGAAGAAGAAGCGGAAAATGAGGTGGATGAAGAAAATCAAGAAAGTGGACAGGGGTCAATGGGGGACATGGAAATCGAGGCTGATGAACGAGAGGATGACGAGCTTAATGAGAAAGGTTTTTCGGGGCTATTTTGGGCAAAACAGGACCTATTTCTAAACAAACTACTAGAAATGGGCCTGATACCTTGCATTAAAACCTATTCTTACGTAGTATCGTACGCCAAGCGTTTCTACAAAGAAGAACTTGAAGCAGATGTTGAATCATCATCGAAATGCAGGGCAACGCTCGGCAGATGGTTGACAGAGCTCATTGATCTTGGCTCGATTCAAGAAATCAGCAGTAAGCGCTTGATTGAGATAGCTGCGGTTTGCCCTGCGGAGAGCATCATAGGTCTGAAACATCTTGAACAGGAGCCGGAAGCTATTCGAAATGCGAACATCCTCAACGACCTTTCCTTCACAATATAATCTACTTAATTAAATAAGAATATATATAAAACTTAAAATCTCCTTTTTATAGCTATTATAGAAGATTATTAGATTTTAATATAGTTAGCAGTCTGTATTTTAAGCTCGCTAACAGCTGTGGTGTTTTTCGTTTTTCCCCTAATACAGTAGTCTTATCGGGAAACTCCATGATACTGGTGTTGACTGGACTTATGAATGAACTCCATTGCAGTTGCCGACTGCGAGTAACGTTGCTTGGAACTTTGGTTTCTTTTGAGAGCTGGCGGCCAAGTGTACGAGTCGATATGGTTTGTGGCCACGATTTCGCATTCGCCGTTGCCAATTGCTTTGTTGTTGTTTCTCAGGCAAACTGATGGATTGATCAGCTTCCAACTATACCATGGGAACATGAAGTCATTATTCGATTATTCTCCGTGGTGTTGGGGAGAAAAGTATGCCTATGGCCATGGTCGCCTCCTTCCTGGGGATTGCGCCTCCAGGGACAGCCTTTTGCACATTGCTTGCCGGCTGGGATCGTTAGATAACGCCAAAACACTCTTAGAGTTCGGAGCGAGGGTAAACATCCAAAATAGCCTTGGACAATATCCACTTCATCTTGCCATGTCATCACTTGACAAAGTCCTCCTGCTATTTGAGCATGGAGCAGACCCGAACTGCCGTGATAACGGATGCACTCCCCTTCACTGGGACTATGACGGAAGGAGCTTTACATGGGTTACAAATGCGCGGGTCAGAAAAAATCACCTTCGCTCAGAAGAAGGTCTTCTTGTCACGAGAGAATTTATCAAGAGGAACGCCGACCTCGAGGCCGAGGATGACAACAATCTTACGCCACTCGAGGTAGCGTGCTTCTGTCATGCCACCAAAAAGCTTGAGCTCATACTGGAGCAACTCGTGGCAAGTCCAGGTGTTCTTGAAAAACCACGCTCTAGACTGCTTCCCATCGCGTGCTCATTCACCAACAGCCAATTACGCGAAAATGACTACTTAGGAAATGAAATGGCGTTTAATTGCATTCCTATTCTCTGCCAGTACGGATTTAATATCAACGCACAAGATGAGAATGGAATGTCAGGTTGACACTTCATGTGTCAACGGTTAGGCATTGACACTTACCAAGGAGTAACTAGACCACGTCTCCAGCACCTCCTGTCATTTGGTGATGATAATAACGTCAAGAATTTCTCTGGCCGAACCGCTCTTCACATTCTTGCCGCCAAAGGAAACCCCGAAGATATCAAAATGTTAGCCGATTCAGGGGCTATGTTAATAGCAGAGATGATGAGAGACAAACACCACTTCACGCAGCAGTCTCTACAGAGTATCGCAATTTTCACAAAGTCAAAATACTCATCAAGCTCGGCGCCGAGATCAACAGCAGGGACATTTGGGAACGAACACCATTAGAAACTCTGCACAAGAACTATATCAAAAAGTGGGACAATCTATTTCCATGTGAAGAGATTACTGAGTTGCTTCGGCAGAACAAAGCCCACGAATGCCGTTGCCAAATTTGCATGCCAGCCTGGCCTATCGACCTGTTTCGCCATTTTGAATCAGAAGGCTGACATTATGCTCAAATTCAGTCTCATAGGCCCTGCCCCGGAGAAGGTTTTGGGGGATAGTTTAGCTAATTAATATAGGCTGCATTTGGAACCTGCTGCTAGGATTGAAGTTGATACCAGCCGTTAAGAGATAGTCACTAATGGAATGGTTGTCCAAAAGGTGGAAGATTCAATAACAAGCCAAACCATCAAGAGTCAATTTGGCCAATTGACTTGTTCCCCCTACAATTTCAAGCCACTCCAATACTGCGACGCGTTCAGTGATCAAACTTTCTGTCCAGTGAATATAGCGTACACTCAAGTGTCTACTAAAGGCAACGCACACAGCGGCGATAGTTGTCTACAATAAGGCTTGGAGCCACTCACTACCTAGAGCATCCATAAGCTTTTCTAACCCTGGACGGGCGCTACAAAAGCTTCAGAGGGATTCCTAACGGTAACAATCTCGTCCCATTTAGACAGATCATCATAGTCCCCATCCTCATGCCCTCATGACCTCCCACAGGAAATTAGGGATATATCCCTTTTGTCCCCAATTCAACACCTATTGTCCCCCTCAGCCCAATAAAATATTTGCCCACTCCGCTTTTGGAAAAAAGAGGCCCTCAGCAAGACCCTGAGGTATATCTTCCGTCGATCTTCCAATTCTTGGTGCGTTTATATATTCACAGAGTCGGGCCTCAAAGGCTTCTTCAGTCCTCCCTGACTTTGCACATTCGTTGTTCAGATCGATGATGCCTTTGCGAATAGTCGTTCTCAGTGCTGCGAGAAGTACTGCTTCATTGTTCGTCTCTTCTAGAAACGTCCCTATTCTAGTAAACTCCAGATCCTGGCCCCTAGCACTGGTACGCTGGACGATGAGACCCCCCACCCTGTCCCGAGTCCAGCGTTTGTCGGGATGCTTCGGTAGATGAAAAATGGGGAGCATGGAGGTAGATAAGCCGGAATTCCAAGGCTTGTTGAAGCACAGAGTAATCGGGGTCAGCTTCTCTAGCCTTGGGAGTCCTCTGCTAGAGCTTTTGAGGAATTCCAAGTGGTAAATGGCATTCTTACGTTGCTCAGGAAAGTAGAAAGCATTGCAGTAGATAGGATGATAGAACTCTGGGGCTGACTGACTCTGGCAAATTTCGGCTATGCCCGAAAAATCCGCCGGTATGAGGAAACAATTCAGGCGTAGAGTCGTGTGAGACATCGAGTCAAAATTATCCGCCCCTGGAGGAGGATTGACATCGAATTGACTGAGCATGGCGAGAGCTCGAGGTAAAAGTAGGGGCTTATCAGGCGACATCGTTGTTGCTGTGATGCATTGGGGTCGCTCCAGTGATCTAGGTTGTTCGACTGGTCCAGGGAAAGCCATCCATGACCATGATGGAGCGTCTTGTGTGGGCTTTATCGTTCTGACGGCGCAAGTTCTAAGTAAGGCACCATTCCGAGGCCAGAAGTTCTTGACCAGTGGTGTCCAAAGAAGATCAAAGAGCCAGTACTCGGACCATATCCCTGCAATATAACGATCCCTTGGGTTAGCGGCGGACATCATCCGAGAAATACCTGATATAGCGACAAGCCTGTCACCTTCACTCGTCAACCCACATTGGCTGTACTTTTCGACCAGCTTGGGCCAGAGGGCGACACGGAAGTCGTCTGAATCATGAAAAATTGGCATCCTTCTAACATCCTTATCCTGTAAGATGTTGGACACAGTCTCGCTCGCGATTACTCCGTCGCACTCCCAGTACAGCTGCTCATTCCCAAGATAGACAATTCGCCGCGAAAGGGTTCTTTCTTGTAAGACCCACCCTCGCGAGTTGACGAGCGAGTGTGTGACGTTAATCTTGAATTCGTCTACATGAGTCACGAAGGCACAGCCTGTAGCTGAATGGGCGATGATGTTTCCCTCGTCGTTTGGTGGAACTATCGAAAGAGTATCTCCTCTCCGACTTGGGAACAACGTTGAGTCCGAGTAATCCCAGCAGATACTTAGAGTAAGGAGAGCATTCTGATAGACATTCAGCATCGTCTTGATCTCCCGGAGTAAGTCCTCAGGTGAGTCTTGTAAGATACAGAGAGAGTCAATCCACAGAAACTGAACAGACATTGCGCGGCAGATTGATATGATATCTTGGTAGTCCTGCGGCAGCGTATTGTCGGATTGGAACGTATAGTATTGTTCACAATTGGTTTGCAAGAGCTTTGGTGTGTCGTGCGACCATCTATGCGTAAGAGTCACATATTGGTCATTCTTTTGGCAACACTTCTGGCTTTCAACGATGCGAAACTTCTTGGAATCAGCATTGCCTAGATCTAACAGCCGAGTAGGCAAAGCTATGTCATTGGTGGCAGTTGAAGATACACCCCTCTTGGTGCATCCGGGATGAGTTTCCGTGCAGTGATTGCTCCAGTGTTGGATAAAGCGAGCCACTGACCCGGACGTTTGATCGACATCAATACCGTAGCGACGCCGGGCTTCTACATTCCGAACGTATTAGTATCAGCAGTAGGACTACGTTAAAAGGGATTGGTTCATAGTCTCCAAACGACACCAGACATTTCAAGATGAATTAACATGACGGGAATGGGGTAAACCACAACGCAATCACGCACTTAAAAGGGCTTCCGATGTCGTGTAACGGACGTGAAACTCGTTTGACTCTTGCCTTTTGCCCTTTCCTGTTAGATTAATGTACAAGGTAAAAGTCAACGTCTTTGCCGAAAACGTGCCCTCATGCAGCCAACTCTTGAATTCCATGTCAGGTTCTTCATTTGGCGATGCTCGTGGCGACGATCGTATGGAGCGCCACAGGCCCCAGCATATCGGACAATCTTCATATAACGATTTGGAGAAAGAGTCCCATGATTGATGCATTGAAGCAACAGGCTCAACAATGAGAAAGCCCTCCTCAGCAGACTCCCAATCGCCGCTCCCGTTGTCGAAGTCACGACACAATTCTCGGCATATTTTGCAAAGGCTCATCTTGAATATAGGGAGATTCTAGAGTCCTAGTCTCGGGGTATGATTCTGTTGCTTGCTCGTAGAAAACTACCAAGGGACAGATCTCTTTGAGCCAATATACATCGCACATTACCCCTCCTTACATGCAAGGCGACGAAACGAGAACTCGTACCAGTCTTATGTTACTAATACATGCCTTGCTTACATTACAGCTTCAAGGCCTTGGCATACGATGAGTAATCTCAACTGGCTCACTACGTATCAATTTTCCTCAAATTTATAAATGACCGATTACTGCAAGATAAATCCTGGAGGTTCACATTTAGTGTCAGAAGGGCATGATCTCTCACCACCTAGAATTTTCTCCGCGTGTACCTGACCCTCATGTCTGGTTTGGACCACAAGAACTGAACTCTTACATCTCGACTCCAATCAATCTTCTTCCCCGCGCCGAGCTCATCAAGAGCCTCCCATTCGAAGAGGAATATCAGCTTACTAAGAATAATTCGCATTTCCAGATATGCTAGATTCTTCCCGAGACATGTTCTTGGGCCAATGAGGAATGGCTTAGACGCGTCAAGATTATCATCAGCATATCGACGGCTGTATAACATATGCGTACTGGGAAGCCACCGTTCCGGGTGAAACTCTTCCGGATCAGCAAAATATCTCTGGCTGTGACCTAGGGTGTACTGGTGACCCGAGACAATTACCTAGACCGTGAGTCAGTTACTTGAGATGAATGGATTTAGGACTGTAATGATGCAACCCACTCCTTCAGGTATATAATGGCCCTCAACCATAGCGCCCGGGCTAACTCGGGGAACATTGATCGGCAATGGAATAAAAATTCTCAGGGCTTCTTTAATGACGGCATCCGCGTAGACGAGGTCTCTTGTGCTTGTTTCGTTGATCTCATCACCACTCTGGAACGCACCTCTGACCTCGTTTTGCAATGCATGCAGACATTCAGGACGTTCGAGAAGGTAATATGTCATCCCTGAAAGTGCAGTGGCAGTAGTCTCGGAGCCAGCGATGAGCAGGGAACTTGCGTTGGTACGAAGGAACTCTTCCGACGGGCGCGTCTTCTCATCGCCGAGCAAGTGTCCAAAAAAGTCAGCCCGATCGTTACCCTTCGCAATTCGTTTGACAATGAGTTCTCTAGCAAACTCTTGATGAAGTTTCCGTTCCTTCTGTAATTTAGAAATGGGTAACATAAAGGGGGCAAGTGGCCACAGGTATGGCATTCTCCGAAATATATTCACCACTGAGCCCGTGAACAGAACATTCATTAGGGCTGTGACGGCTGGGTTGGATTTAACTAAGGTAGTTAGCCTACGGATGTGCAAAAATATGCAACGATATATGAGTACCTTGCTCGACTGCATGGAAGGACTCGCCAAATGCCAAGTCGCCAATGATATCAAAGGTAAGCCAGTTGAACCACTGAACACTGATTAGCAGTCATAAACAAAAGGGAGTGCATCAAAATGAACAAACGAACCTCGTCAACTTGAATGCCCTCTTCGTGGGATCCGTATTTCTCAATCTGTTTCACAAAAAGATCTATATGGGACATGATAAATTGTACCTGTTGGGTCAGTGCCGATTCGCTGAATGAATGAGCAAGCATTTTCCTCGTCTCCCTATGGCGGACAGGGTCTCGTTCTGCTCCGAGGGGTGACATTTCATCAGGATTGTCGTAGAATTCGGATTTGAGAAATGGCTCTCTACCCTTGCTATGATTGGCGTGTCCATAAATTTCTTCAAAGGCCTCGAATGATGTAAAGAAGAGCTCGTTTGGGGCGATACGGATCACATCACCGTATTTCTTCGATGCGTCAAGAAGAGTGAAAGCCCAGCGTTTGGACAACCTAAACTATGAGCCAGGGAGGACAGATCAAAGTCGTTCATATGACATACCAATTCCTGGCATACCATAATTCGGAAATGGCTGCGAGCTTGGGTCCTGGATACTTCGCCAGTGGATGAAAGAAGTAGTTGTAAAAACACAGCGCAACCTGGTAGGTGAGGGTCTATGAATCGATTTAGTAAGAGAATTATTGGACTGATGGTAGTCTGGCCTCAGTCAATGACTTACTATAAAAACCAGGGCAACAACCACATTTACAACGGGACTCCCTTGAAGAGGCAGGATAGCGATCATCTTGGGTGTATCGTCTGCTGTAATATTGAGATAAGTATAAAAGGAGCAAACTAGAGAAAAAACTTCACAAACTGTGAGTTAACCCAAATAAAAAAAAATGAATTCGTGGAATGGGCCGCCACATTTTATAGTCGTTCCAGTAACTCAGTTCCTTGTCCACGCGTTAGAGAGACGTCGTTAAAGGTGTGTAAGCCGTCAAACGTGATTGGTTACTGAGCTAGCGACTTACGAAGAAAATCATGACCAAGAAAATGGGGTAGGGAATCATACACACGAGATCGTAGCCAATATTTAGGATTCCCCGCATCAAACGCAACCCGCCCATCCCTTCATGACGTATTTTACGGTCAGCGTTCTCGCTTTTTTAGAAATTCACATTCAGCTTATAGAAAGAAATCCCATATATTCACTTGTACAGACGTTGAGTTTTCAGGTATCCGTGTCGACTTTTTGTCACTGGTTATTTGACGGTGGTGATTGTCATAATTCTTGTTCCATTTCAAACGCAACCTAGCTCCTTCCAGCCAAGAAGTCAAACAACTTCTATAGTATCCAAAGTCTCATGAATTGTCATGTGTTGAGAAACAGCTGAAGTTTTATGAGGAAATGTCAGTCCGGTTTCGCATCGAAACAAGGCTTTGTCACCCTGCAAAACATACCTAAAGAACAATCAAAAATAGGCCATTTCGTCACAAATTCGCGACACAATTTCCAATTTTGCACTTTAAAAATCCTTGGATCAATGTGATGGCCTTCTCTGCTCACACAGTTGTCAATTGGAGTTTCCAAGCAATTTTGTACACCCAGACGCCCCAGCCGGTTGCCTAGCTCAGCGACGATCATAGCTTGAGCAGGGTCGAAACTTGAACTATAAGGTGACTCTGGATTTAGTTTGATATATGACCAGTTCGGGCAATTCAAGCAGGAAGACGGCGCGGACCCATCGAAAGATTGGCTTTTCATGGCACTGCGCAACAGCGAGTCGTAGACCCGTACTGCAACACCTCTCTCAGGCAGTTCGACAACGGCATGAAGGGTCAGCTCCCGACATACCACATCCAGATCAAGTATATGCCTAGAAAGGATTAACTGATCTCTTATAGAAGCCCAGGGAATGAAATCAATAATAACTGGGTAATTCATCAGAGAGTACTGGAGAGGTGTTGGTTGAAACGGTTCTGGAACTCCTAGTTTGGATTCCAAATTATTGGAGAGTCTCCAAAACAGTATGCGTTGAAGAGATCTATGAAAGTCCTAGTTGAGTCATTTGTTAATCATCACGTTTCCGTTGAGGTATGTAACAAAATATTTCAACTAACCGAGCCATAGATCAAAATTCCGAGTCCGGATAGCTCGCTTATCAGCCTTATTGCGACAGAAGCAAGGCTATTCTTGATTTCCAATGGGTTCAACCACAAGTCCTTCCAATCTACGATATTTTGAGGGATCTGGGACAAGAATTGCTTGCAAGCCCCTTCAACCTTGTCTGCAAATAGGGATTTAGAGTTGACGACGTTGACAGTATCGTTCAGAGGGGAGAGTCCTGGGAGGCTGATATCTCGTATATTCATAAAGCCTTGAGCCAAGGCATTAGGTCTTCCTAGTTGGTCGATCATAGGCTGGTTATCACTCGCTGTCTCCAGTCCCACAAAAGGTGCATCCAGTGGTTGACTGGCCAAAGAGTTGCTCTGGGTGATATCCAATGGGCTACCAGTGTGAGTAGGCAGCTCTGCATTTGACCGAGCTCCCGCCGTATCATCACTGTATTTTTCCACGGCCCTTTCCGCTTCATCAAATGAATCATCATCTGCGTACCACGGGATCAGAACAATCTCTCCCATAACCCTTATACGCTATTTCCACATACCAGCAGCAATTAGCGCGGACTGGCCGATGCTTTTTAACTTTTGGCGAAGTTTAACGTACGACTGGTGAAGTCGTCGGTAGTCTTCAAGTAGCTGTAAATGAGCTCGTAAAAGTTGCTGATTACCGTCGTTCGCATCGTCATTCTGCGTTGACTTGACAGCCTCAACGAACGATTCTAGGTAATGTAAATGCTGCTCTTTCTTCTCTCTGAAACTTTTCTGCGCTGCTTTGTTTTGAGCTTTCTTCTTATCTCGGGCAATTCGGCTGGGCCGGGCTGCTGTGCTGCGTCGTTTGGGACCACTGGTCTGTTGTTCGTCAACCTCCTTTGTGTCAAATGCAGTCTCCATCATTTATCATTCACCCATAGCATAGGTAAAGAGAGTATGTGAACTGGAGTCATCGTCTTCATTTAGAGTCTCGGGCGACTTTTCCGGCCTCGGCTACGTCACACCTCTGGGAGATTCCCCGCACTGCATTTATCCGCATTCATCGATCAACAAGCACGTGAACTGAATTTCAGGATTTCGGAGAGAGCCGTCACCAGGATGTGCGAGAGACGATGTTGCATCGATTGTGCTAATAGTCTAGGGCGGGGATTGAGCCGATACAAGTAGTCCCGTCGGGAGGGGGTTGGCGAACCTCAGCATGATGTGTACATGTATTTAAATATCATCAACCAAAAATATAAAAGAAATATAATCCACCTCTACAATAGCCTTTTAAACCTCTTCGGTGTCAAAATAAACCCATGGAGGCCGTACACATTATCCAGCCACAAACCGGACCCTACGTAAGTCTCAATAAGATTATTAACAGCTAACACTTTGGTATAGGTTAATAATTACAGTATGGGGCCGTCGCTTCATTGGTGACAGTTGTAAAATGTTTGCTCGAAGAAATGGGATACCGAATATACTGCTAATAAGATTATCATCGGTTCAGGAAAGGGTAAAGGGGGAAATAAAACGACACAAAACAACATATATTATCCAGGAGACGTTATTGACTCTAGCCTATGGCTTTTCAAACCTGCCTCCAATGTTTAACAATTAGAGGCCTAAGCAAGGGCAACCCCTCAATATAATCACCACCATACCAAAACCCACACGGCAACATACATCTTCGGTCACAGCCATGGATATCAATAGAGAAGAGCTTCGAACCATTCCATTCGATGAACTAGATCCCAATTATTCGTCACCCTGTGTACTATTATCGACTGGCGGGGAGGTCAACTTTTCGCCCTTTGTTGCTGATCGGCGGGTGTTTTTAAATATATTCCATTTACTGAGTCGCTTCTTATACGTAGATTCCCTATCATGATGTTAGGAAGGAAAACAAAACATCGAGTCGCGCCGTCAGGCCTACCCAGCTTCAAACTGATAAAGGTCCTTCATAATTTGGCGGACCTCCTTTAACTTCTTGCCTTCATTTGTGTAGAGATGAGCAATGAAGTCTTTGTGCTGCTCCCACTCTTGGGCAGAAGGTCTCCTCTTCCGAGCGCTAAGTTGATCTGATTCTCTTCGTCGATTTGAAGGCATTCTATGGTATTCGCGAGTCAAGGGTGAGGTGAAATAGTGAGAGAGTTGAGAGTGTGGGGAAAGTAAGAGATTGCTAAGGCAGTGGGCAATTACTTATGTATGGATGAGAAGGAAGAAGTCTCATCCAAATCTTTCGACAGCTGCATAGTCAAGTTCTAGTAAAGCCGCTTGTGTATGCGGCAACTTCGGTGGGCGCTTCGCGAAACGAATTTCACATTATAAAGCTAGCCAAGGAAGAACGGGGCGAGAAGGTGGCAGGCGATGACCCAGAGCAAGCCAGATACCCAGGGTTCCTGCTAGCTTTACCACTATAGGAATCAAAATGATGCGGTGAGTCATAAATCTTTAGAAGTCAAGCCAAGCTATATATCCCATAATGGGCGTTGATCTGCAGCCTGTAGTGATATCCTTCGCATGTGAGGGCGTTTGTGATACGTACTCAAATTCTAACCCTGTTGAGCTGAAAGTAAACCCTGAAAGTCAAGCCAAGAATCATTTTTCCATTGGCTGTACCTCCGACTCATAACATGCGTTATGGTGATTGTTGAGGCGACCTAGAGAGGGCCCAAGTCGCCGTGGTGACTACATATACAACACCAAAAGGAACAGTTACATGCTAGATACAAGCATATATAGTGAATTACCCAGGTCCTATGCGTATTCAGAAGTAACTCTGCTTCCATCAGAATACATACGACTTGGCTTCAGTTTCTAGCGTATCTCAGGATATCACGTTCAGCTTATAGTTGGCTTAGGTAGGACTGGCGCAAGCCATTTAATGCATACCCTTGTAATTTTGTTCTTCTCCCATCAGGGAATTCTTGCATAAAGTCCGTCATAAGGCAAAGTACTAGGGTCAACCCCCCCCCAAAGACAGTTCATTGGCGTAAGCATGGGAGTGAGCGAACGCCCATGAGAGTAGCGTTGCACTTCACTGAGAAACCCCTGCTATTGATCTTTGATAGAACGAGCACGCATCATGTTCCAACAAAGGTAGAGTGGTGTACATCTATGAAACTTCTTAGCATCTCCACAATACTCACTAGCTCCTGCAGCCTGAAGGAACAGATGCTTTTGCAGAGCCTCACAAATGGCTTTTTGCCGCCTTGGAAGATCCCAGACAAGTCACATATCCCAACACTTTGAACTACCCAGTAAGGATCAGGCCATTACAACATAAAATATTCTTATATGCAAGGTCCGGCCGGTATAGCTTGCCCTGACCGCTGTCTCATATTTCTCATGCTGGCCTGCTCGACGCCACTTCACGTCCATAGAGCACGAATTAGTAATACCACACCTAGGTACGGTACTGACGTTTCAGTAAGTATGGGGAAAGGTATGGGCGATTTACCCTTGGTGCAAGCGGCTGAGATGTTTGAGCTATTTCCGAGGCTCAGCTCTGAGGTCGTACAAGTTGATGGATCCACAATGGCAACATACCAAGTCTACTGGCTTGATCAAACATGGGTGGTTCTTCACCGAGACGCACGAGCTCATGGGAGGCTGATGAATCCTGTCGCCTTGCGGGCGTTGACCCACTAGGGCTTCCCTCCTACATGGTTTTGTTGAGCAGACGAGCAAGACAAGACAGCAGGCTTCCCGCTAATCCCGTTTTTTTACACTTTATTCATCTCCGGATATTTAGATTACTTCACCTGACGTTATCTTCCAGATCTGGTTGGTGTGTCTCATCCTAAAATGAAGAAATCTGATACAATCTTCTAACTCATCCGAGATTCGGAACGGAAATTTCACAAGATTGGTACGTAGCTGGTACGAGATTATGCTCACACCCCCGCATCATTTCACTAGCTAGGTATTTTAATCACACTATGACGCCTAACGTAAATCTGGAGGCCTCATGTCATGGTTCGCATTGGACGTCAGGCATACAACTTGTAGGGGCTAACCTTAGTACGATCTCGATGCCGGCTGAAAATCTCATTCCTGCATGTCATGCTCAATAGTCAGCCTGATATGTTCCCCTCCATCAGCAAGGTGGATACAGTTTAGATAGCATCATGCAAAGTAACGGCAATATGGCGGCATCCTGTTGGCCTGTGCCTCTGCAGCACCCCCTTCACAGACTATTAGTATTTTGGCAGAGAGTTTACCGGCCGGCAAAGCGAAAGATATGAATGTCTCACAGGCCTATCTAGATTACTGTCCGGGAAGTTGTGACTTGTCTACTTGCATGCAAATCGGCCATTGGATGGCTGATCTTAGAAATTGGATGAGAATTGGGACATCGAATGTTCATTACTTTACGCCGCACACTAGCCAACGGTCAGTCACACCTCGTACTCGTATTGAGTTGTAGCTAGTCATGAATCCAGTCAGTAAGACGTCTAAGGAGCACGGTGCACATTCGTCAACCCCAGCCACAAGAGGAGAGACGGCTCGGCTCGAGAACGGGAGTTCCAACCATGCTCGCTAGTCAGAGGCCTTGCTACCCCTGCCAGCGAGCAGAAGCCGTGATCTTCTTCCCCGCTCTACGCCAGCTCAACATATCACACCACCGTGTTTCTACACGCCTGTGCGGCAAATGTCCAAGACTCGCGAGGCAGCTTGGTTAGCCTGAGTGCGCCTCGCCCCCAAATTGCAATGTGGCAGCCAAGCAAGGGTTAGAAGCTTTGACCTGCTTGGCACTTCAGGTCCACGTCCTTCAAGCTAAGAGAGAAGCTTCTCGAATCAAGACGCATTATTCGTCACGGAACCTTAGCGAGCTTGACAATAACCCCCAACACTATTGCTGACCTCGGTTGAGTACCCATCCTTGTAGAGCTGAGAGCCCCAACACGCTAAAGTCGAAGAAACGGGCGACAGGCCGGGATTCACTCGCTTCATCGATCGCCACCTGAGCCACACGTGAAGAACCCAAACACTTTAACTAGATTCTTCCTGTTACACATTTCATCAATAGGTACCAGGATAATGGAGGAGGCTAAGGCTCAGCTGGAAGCTGGGGAGGTCAGCGTGTACCGGCTACCTACGCCAGTAAGCAGGCACATGCGGGAACAGTACAATGTAACGGGAAATTGCTCGCTCTAACAAAACTACTGTTTCACTCATTGTATGGGTCAAAGTAGTCGTAGTACTATTCAAGTTTGGGTTGCATCAACATGGCTAGCCGACGTAGATGTGGTTAAACTCCGCCTCACGATTTAACACTATGTCACACTTTCAAAGAGTTCAGAGTGCTAACTATATCCATATCTTTATGTGATACAAAATGAAGGAGTTAAGCCAATCCTCGGATTAAAAACAAATTCTTTAGCGGCTCCACGAGGTTTTGTTATTGATCTGGGGGGTAGAATTTCAACGTCAAAAGCTGGCCAGCCTCGTTCTGCCAGACCATATTACGGCCAGATATAGCGAAAACGTTTTCGTATGCGCGATATTCGTTGGGTATCCATATCAGAGGGAACTCATCGAAGTTCAACCATTCTGTACTAGCACCGAGACCAACACGATAGCCCCGACGCTCTTCTAGTTCTATGTTAGTGGTCTCGATAATATCCTTGGTTACACGAACAACTTTTCTCTCCATAAGTGGCTTTTGATAGGTGATGATGCCGACATTTGTGACCAACCGCCCAAGGATATTGAAAGACAGAGAAGTTGCTCCTCTGATGTCGAGCCAATATAGACAACTTCCATCATTAACACAAGAGATTAGAATAGAGTCGCTCCACGACGAAGACGCAACTAGAGTAGAATCGAATGAAATTGCAACCGATGTAATGGATGCGCTATGAGCAGTTAATCCCCAAAGATGGTTGTACACAGATCCATCAAACGACCAAACCTGGACTGTCTGATATGTTGACCCTAAAACCAAAATGTGTGGAGAAAGAGCAATGGCAGTAATACCTCCATTGTGTGCTTTGAGACTCTCGTAATCATCATTGTCCTCAATCATGGACCATATTCGTACGGTTTCGTCGATAGAGGCTATCGCTAGTCTCCTACTATCACTGGAAAAGGCAAGCGAGTTGATACAGTACTCATGAGCGCTAAAGGTTTTGAAGAGGCGAATTCCACCGGAGCTAGAAGTGGCTATTGACCAAAGAAAAATAGTCCTGTTGATTGTCGCGGCTCCGATGAAATTTTCGTCGGGAGAGAATTTGATGCAGGTTATCCCATCGCCAGATACCTTGGTACTGTACAGACACATAAGATCATCAATAGACCACAATCGCAAGGTGCAGTCTTTTGATGCTGAGGCGAAAAGCTTGCCTGAAAACGCAAGGCAGGTAACGGAACCTTTCTGTCCCTCAGTGTCCTCATCTTCGACAGCCATGGGATTTCTGGGCGGTTTCTGATAGCTAATTTCTTCGAGCGATGAGATCCGAATATAATCAAGCGCGCAAGATGCTACCAAATTGCCATCAGGCGAAAAAGCTACCGCATTAACAGCGCTGTGGTGGGTTTCGATTATTCTGAGTTGCTCCCCCGATTTTATGGACCAAAGACGCACAGTCGTATCAAAAGACCCCGAAACCAAAATATGAGAGTTCGGGGAGAATGCGAGGGAGCACACGCCGCCGGAATGGCCCATTAAACTCTGCATGCAGACACCTCTCTCTACAGACCATATTCGTATGGTTTCATCTGTTGTGCATCCAGTTCCAACGAGTTGACCATCAGCTGAAAAGGCGATGGAAATAACTGGACTATCATGACCTTCAAGAATCTGATTGCACCGTCCACTTGGTAATGACCAGAGTCGTACGGTCTTATCGTCGCCGCCAGATGCCAAGAGTTTCCCAGTCGGTGAGAACTCCAGGGCATAAACCCAGCCTGCATGTCCGCGGAGCACCTGCCGGTTTCCACTGCTGTCAACCGGCGATATATCGATACGGTGATCGTTGAGGCCTAGTGCTACCAGTTTCCCATCACACGAAATGGAACAGGTTACCGGATATACTCTGGGGCCATGATGTTCTCTTATGTAGTGATAGATACGGTCTTCAGAGGCATTAAAATTAATAGCCTTATATGCAGATGCTGCCATGAGATTTCCGTCATCCAGGAAATTGACGACTTGAGCTGGATCGCCATATCCATAATGCATTTGTTGACATTCACCGCTTTCAGCAGACCACACGCGAACTGTGTTATCAAAAGACCCTGAAACAATCAATTGACCATCTGCCGAGAAGGCAACTGAGTTTACAGTGTCAGTATGTCCTTCGAGATGCTGTCGCATAACTCCCCATTGCTTCTTGATCGGTAAATTAAGCGTCACCCATTTTGGCTCCTCGTGCTGGAAAAGCTTCCTTGTGATACTTTCAGTCGGACTGAAGAGGAGACCGGCGATGTAGATCTGCAGGGGATATTTTGCTATCATGGCCCCGTGATAACGCAGAAATCTCTGGGCATCATATACTAAGTTGCCCAGTGAGTTCTTCGCTTCATCTCGCTTCAGGGAAAGTTAGCTTGATACAAGGCACCGGCTTTCATGGTATTACAAACCGGGATTGAACCTAACAGCGTAGAAATGGAACGCAACGTGCTTGTAATAGTACCTAGGAGGCTAAGAGCTTCAAGCCAATATAGGAAATAAGTTCTAAAGAATTTCTCAACTTCTTCAATCACCAACAAGGCTTCAGTGGTTGCCGCCGGACCAAAGATTTTGGCGTCGATAAGGTGATCAACCCACGCGCTGCATGCGTATCGAGTGCGGACTAATACACTATCAGAAGGAGGTTTGATATCGGATACTGAGATTCCTGGCTCTCCCAGATCGTAGATATCACGCTTGAGGATACCAGATAGTACATTTATCGACTTCAGGGCGATGGAGCTGTGTTTCTTCTCTATCCCACCAGGGAAGACCAGATTAGCCGCCTGATGGAGCAAGAACTCTTGAGCAGATTGATGTATGAAATACACAGAGTCGTCTCTTATCGCCAAAAATGAACCACAATAGCCAATCAGTTCTCGTAGAAACTTTTCGTCCATTGTGATCTCGCTCGGTATATTGAGAATGGCCGCCATTTCGGAGAGGCTCATAGGCCGATGGGCGACAGAGACAAGTGAAAGAACTTCGAAGAGATGATCAGCATCTTCCGAGTCTTTGACATAACGAATCATCCGCCCGTAAAGAGCATTGAGTCCAGCAGGCAACTCTTTCAGATCATCAAGTATCTTCCACGATTTGGAATTCTGTAGACGCTCGCAAACCATGGCCACCCACAGAAATGTCTGGTTTGCATTGCTGTCAAGATACTGGATGATTTTGTTGCTCCAACCATCATCGAAGCCCTTCATCCCTTGCAGCTCGGTAACTTTATAACGTATATAAACACTAACAGCTTCAGCGATGCGTGTTGTGCTGAGCTCAAGATTCAATATCGTCTTCTGAGTCATTGTTTCAAGACGCTCTCCCATTTCAGGCTGGTTACGTGAAGATACAATCCACTTAGCTCGCTTTCCCGACGATTGCCGAGCAATGAAGCGTAGCAGCTTTGGGAGATCCTTAGAGCACTCGTCAAGCGCGTCGATTATGAAGACGCGCTCTGCCTGTGTGTCATGCTCAAGAATATTATCAAGGATCATGATCAAAGCATCAAAGGCATTAGAGTCCTCGAAGAGGCCTTTCCCCGCAACTCTCCATTCCTGATGAACATATTTGATAAGCGCCCGGTTCTGTCTAACAATCGTGTAAATCAAGCCACGAAGTACAGCCAGTGCGTTATTGAGATTTGAGTCTGTGGCCTGGCAGAAAAAGTATGAAACTAATCGCCCGTGAAGAGGCAGACGTGCAGTGCTCAGCTCGTCAATCAGCCCACAGAGAAGCATAGTTTTGCCCTTGCCAGGACTTCCCTTGACCCATAACAGCGGTTCGGTGTTTTCACACCAGGCTTTGAACGCTTCATCTTCCAGAATCCAGCGATATGACGCCCTGAGTAGTCCGCCTTTGGTTGACTCGATCCTTGACTTGTCATTTCGTGGATCAGTCACACGAAGATCAGCGAGGCATTGGTCGAAGCCTTCTTCGAGTTCCTTGTCTACCTTGTTCCGGGTCAAAATTTCATGTTTCAATCTTTCAAACGCCTCCGTTTCACCCTCGCCATAGATAGGAACCATATGCACGCCAAAAATGCCCATCAGACAGTACGCTTTGTCTTCTACCTTTGTTGTTTGGCGGTTAGCCGACCACGACATGCGTTCGTCGACACTGAACGTAGACAGAGGCGTTCCTTCTAAAGCTCCAACGGGAATGTTGGTTCTTCCCTTGATTTCACCCTGAAGCGACTTCTTGTCACCAAGTCTCTGCCCATCGGATGAGAAAAATATAACTTGTGAAGGCGCAAGGAGTTCCTGCAAGGTCCAGCCACGGGCGAACCATCTGCTTGCATTGAAATCGGAGATCCAAGACGACTTTTCGCTGCTGTGCGCCTGCACATCATTCATATACACGTAGCAGGCTGCTGCGTTCTGATACCAGCGAAACATGGAGTTGATCGCTTCTGTATATTCAGTGTGGTTTGACTTGTCGATGCAGCAAGTATCCACCCAGAAGTATTCCAAGCCATCCCGTGCTGCCTGCTCCCCAGCGAATAATATCTTTTTATAGCCCGGCTTTCCTCGACATGAGTGTTCCTGGACGTCTCGGAATGTCACCTCATCTTCAGGCTTCCCCCAGGTGTGCGATAGTATACCATAGGGCGGTATGTCTTCTGGCAGCAGGTCTTGAGTCAAACTCAGGTCACCCCCAGCCCCTCGTTGAAGCAAGCGCATTTTGAGAGCTCTTTGGAGGATGTTGGATTGGGCAGCGAGGCTTTACCAGCCACTCACCTCAGGTCAGCACTTATCCAAGGCTTGAAGTCACGGGATACGATCCAACTACCCAATCAAATTACTTGGTAAAAATGCAACATTACCCCTCTTCCAAGCAATGAATATCTGCAGGAAGCTTGCAAGGCAGACAGGCAGACTTCAGCTGTGTGGCTCCTTTGGTGTTAGGCATTAACAAGTTCTCCTCCATATCAGAGCATATCGGAACAAGGAAGCAAGGCGTGCAAGAACATCCGGGATTAATATCCTAATACTGTATCATTAAACGTTGGGTTAGGCTATGACTTATGGCTACCTACCCAGGTAGCTATAGAGTATCTTATCGACTATAAACCTCTAGTTAACTAGGTATCTAAGAATCGGAAGAAGATCCCTTTTAATGCTACCCATAAGATAGATAGAGTAATTCATTTTATTGGCACAGATGATTTCCCCTCGAAAGCATATTGTTTAAGAGTACCTATTACATGTATACAAGACATCCAATGTCTTCTTTCCACCACGTTCAGCTTCAGAGCCTTCATGCGAACCATAGCAATTGTGCTTTGTTTAACCACCTGCCATACGTTGTGGGGCTATCTAAGTACTGACACAGGTACGCCCAGCTGCCTTCTCCGTCCCGAACGGCAGGAATGCATTAGATCCATCGCAAGCTACAGGATAGAACAGATCATCGGCTATCGTTCCATTTGGCCCGACCACACTCAAGTCAAGATAAGCCGGGCCCCCTGCGTTGGCATAGATGAGGCGAATAGGGAAGTACTGTCCAGCCGCGAGTGTTGTTTTGAACGTGACGTTGCCTGCTCCGCCCTGCCAGCTCGCGTACGTCTGATTGTTGTTCTTCTCGAAATCACCGCACGCCCTGTTACCAAACCACGCCAGGCCGATATCATCCGCATGGTCGATGGTAAAGGAGAAGTCGCCTCCTGAACAAGAATACACGAACGTAGCGAATTCATATGACAGGAAATTGCCCTGGGCGCCGCTAATGTCTGAGAAGTTGCCCACCGTCTTTTGACTGCCTGAATTGGGAGTAGTTTCCTTGAAATAAGTCGTGTTGAACCGCTGGTTGAAGTCGCCCGCGCCACCAAAAGCATCGGGCCACGTTGCACGTGTGACGCCAGTAGGGCACGCGGGTCTGACACACTCGGACTGTGTACTTGTAGCCGTACTTGACGTGGTACTTGGTGTGGAACTGGGCGTAGGAGTGGGCGTAGGGACGGGCGTAGTAACAGATGAGGTAGTTGGTGGAGTATCAGATGAGGTGCTTGATGGGGCATTAGACGAAGTGCTTGGTCCTGGGAAAGTCGTGACCGTTGTTGTGCACGGATGCGTGCAGTCAGGCGGCGGCGTCGCGGTAACTGGAGCACAAGGTGCTGTGCTGGTGCAGATCCCGGTGACAGTGGTAACAACATCAGGCGGGGTACTAGATGATGTGCTTGGAAACCCTGGGTAAGTCGTGACTGTTGTTGTGCATGGTCGTGTACAATCTGGGGGAGGCGTCGCAGTAACTGGAGGACACGGCGCTGTGCTGGTGCAGATCCCGGACACAGTGGTAACAACATCAGGCGGAGTACCAGATGAGGTGCTTGGTGGCCCTGGGAAAGTCGTGACGGTTGTAGTACATGGGCGTGTACAGTCCGGAGGCGGCGTGACTGTAACTGGAGCGCAGGATGTGGTTGCTGGACAACTTGCCGTAACCGTGGTCACCACGTCCGGCGGCGGCGCGGACGACCCAGGCGGAGGGTAGGTGATCACGGTCGTGGTACACGGGTGTGTACAGTCGGCAGGTGGTGGGATTGTTGTCGCAGTACAGGATGAAGTTGCAGTACAGCTTTCTGTAACAGTCGTGACTCTGTCAGGAGGAACAGTGGCATTTCCAGGGCAAGAAGATATTGTCAGAGTAGGGAGTATCCAAGTCGAGGCTAAGTTTGGTATCCCATCGCCCTGTGCTGCAGCCAGAGCGAACAGCTGGGCCATAGTACCAAAGAATTTAACTGAAAGCTTCATTGTGAACAAAAATGACAGAAGAATGAAGGTGAAGATTTGAGCGTTCAAATAATGAAGGAGACTCTGGATGTAGCAGAGATACTGTCTGCTTCTGCCTCAGTGGTGTAAGAAGGCGTCACACAATTTATATGTATGAAGTCGTTACTTACTGACTAAGAACGATGTTTGCCAACCGAGATGCCATAAAGCATTCCAAATTTTAGCGCATACCCGTGTTATTTCCTTGTCACATTAGACAGTTGATTAACCCTTGGTTAAGAACAACTCCCGTGAGGAAGGGAAATGTTCCAATGTTTCATGTGCCCTCGTGGGATGGATGAAACCTATCTTGATAGAGATTAGCTACCTCTTCAACGAGTTAGTGGAGTGCAAGTCAGACCTGTCGGGAATTGCCAAGACATGAAAACGGGTGAGTAATCGCTCTATCTCTTAGACATGTATCAGTGTTGACCCTTTGGAAGCTTGGCATGTCTGACCAATATTCTAGAAAGCTGCTCTCAATTGTCCAAGTGCTCAAATTGGGCATGTCACCGTGTGTCACCGAATGGGGAGCACATTTCTTGATAGAGGCACTAACAAGGAATACGTGCTTGGAAGAGGTATCACATTCCAAAATATTCAGGAACGCTGATAGATAACAATACTCACGTTTGGGGGAAGACTGGTTGGAAGAAGATGACCCCGGATCAACATTTTTGTTGTATATAAGTGTTCATGGTCGCCGGTCTACTCCAAGTTGAATCAATTGGCAGTTTACTCACCTAGCCTTCATCCACTCGTTTCTTACACACTCAGTCTTCATTCTTTCGTTTCTTGCACACTCTAACAGTCATTACCATCAAGGTAGCCTTTTCAAAATGCCTTCTTTCAACCTTATTCAGATCAGTGCTCTTCTTGGGCTCTTGGGAGGAACAGCTGCCGCCGTCACAGGCAGGGGAGCAATCCCTGTTGGAGCCAAGATTGTAGAGAAGCAACCTATCGAGTTTTTTTGTGATGGACCCAATGGGCCATCCACATCCATCACCACTGCCACAAGGTATGTCGAATTATACGCTCAGTAAGGTCATTACTGATTTCTAGCAGGACCTTGACCCGTCCCCCTGGTTCAGCAATCACAGATGGACCGATCGTCATCAACGGCCCTGTTGATTTTAATTTCTTTGGGCAGTTCCCAGGCGATTTGGCCTCGGGCCATTATCCCTGCAGACAATGCGCTAAAACCACGATCACGAGTGACATTGCCGCCTGTCAGACTCGGCTACCAGGAGTTGATGGAGCTGTTCCCACTGTTGTGTTTGTTGTCCCCCATTGCGAAGCATGCGAGACTCGCACTACTACGGGCCCCGTACCTTATGTGACTCGAGTTCCTGCAACTGGAGGCGCTGAAAAGGACACAATCATTATTTGTGAAGAAGAAGAAACTACTGGCTCTGTTGAGGTTCCCGGTTCTGGCCCTGAACATTACATTCCTGGACCCAAGAATTCCAAGGGCTTCGCTTCTGAACCGCGCCCCTCTTCTGAACGCCCCTCTTCTGAACGCCCCTCTTCTGAACCCAAGCCCTCTTCTAAGCCCGGTGCTCCCTCTCAACCCGGTGCCTCCTCTCAACCCGGTGCCTCCTCTCAACCCGGTGCTCCAGCTCAACCCGGTGCTCCAGCTCAACCCGGTGCCTCTTCTCAACCCGGTGCCTCTTCTCAACCCGGTGCCTCTTCTCAACCCGGTGCTGCTTCTCAGCCCGGTGTCTCTTCTCAGCCTGGTGCCTCTTCTCAACCCGGAGCCTCTTCTCAACCCAGTGCCCCTTCTCAGCCTGGTTCCTCTTTTGAACCCAGCGCCTCTTCCAGGGTCAGTAATCAGGGGATCAACATCAGCTCTAACAGCTCAGCACCCGGGGGACCAGGCTCCGGAATGCCCAAGTCTGGCACGTCTCACACGGACGCTGACAAGGCTGCAATTTATTTCGTTGGTTTCATGGCAATGTTTGCTGGCTGGATGTAAATGCTGGAAAGTTGGGTTGAGAGCTAGGGATACATCATAGTGTAGTTGAATTTATTACATTGTGTAACCCATGCACGGGTACCCGATGCCGAAGTCTAGCTATTACATTATCATCCAAGATTCCATATTTGGCCTTTGTGTTCTATATATATTCATAACAAGGGCGAGTAATCTCTAGATCCTTGTATTCGCTCTCTGGTAGTCATATCTACGTGACCACAAATCGATGTGCCTGGAACTTGAAAACTGGTGGCGCGTCGTGGACGCGAAGCAGATGGTTGGTTAATTATCAACACCAACAAGCCTAGGTAGGAGAAGATAGTCGCGTCTATGTAAGTGAGCGCATTTGTAAAGTGAGATGTCTCAGAATTGCCCACGTGGGCCAATCAAAAAAGATTGACAAGCCTTGCTTGGAGGGCCTCCCGCATGATGCATCTATCAATTCCCAGCAAATCAGACGGTAGCAAATTTTACCGTCGAATGATGAGATCTTGGCTTTATATGTTACTTCCATCACTCGCTTATTAGTGTCATTTCTTCATCCCCTTCGCTCTTCAAAGTATTCTTCTCATTTAAGCAGATCAATCGTTCCTCAACACGACCGACCCCTTTGGGCTACAGACTCTGATCATCGTCTACCCTCTCCTTTCTTCATCATGAAGGTACCAGAGCTCAGTGATGCCAGTCTCAATAGCCTCCGCTCCTTTGATCAGCTGAGTCTGGTCAACGCAATCGACTCTCTCCGCTCGTCCGGCATAGACCATTACGTTTCCCTTCCTCAGATTATCGTTTGCGGAGATCAGTCCTCTGGCAAAAGCTCCGTCCTCGAAGCCATTTCCGGGGTTCCTTTCCCGATCAAGAGCACAATCTGCACCCGATTCCCCATCGAGCTCGTTCTTCGAAATGCCCCGGTCGAAGCCCTCGAAGTCCGCATCGTCCCGCACCAGTCACGTTCGAAAACCGACCAGCAAAGCTTGCTCTCTTTCAATAAAACGCTCGAACGTTTCTCGGATCTCCCCGAGCTCATAAACTCAGCCAAGTCGGCCATGACGGTTTTGACTCCAGGGATGTCCTTCTCGCGAGACATCCTCCGCATCGAAATCCACGGTCCCGACCGCCCGCATTTGACAATAGTCGACCTGCCAGGGCTGATCCATTCCGAGACCAAGGATCAGTCTGTCGATGACGTGACCCTCATCCAGGAGGTGGTGCAAAGTTACATGAAGCAGGAGAGAACAATCATTTTGGCTGTCGTCTCTGCCAAGAACGACCACGCGAACCAAATCGTCCTCCGCCTTTGTCGAACTATTGACCCCAGAGGTCGTCGCACTCTCGGCATCGTGACTAAACCAGACACTCTGCTTCAAGGATCCCCTACTGAGCAAAAGTTCATCTCTCTTGTGAAGAACGATGACATCAAGTTCAGTTTGGGCTGGCACGTGCTGAGAAATCTCGACTCTGAAGAGGGCAGTTATTCGCTCGAACACCGCAACGCCAGGGAAGAGTATTTCTTCTTGCGGGGGAATTGGGCGGGTATTCCTGCTTCGTCTCTGGGAATCAAGAACCTGAGGAGTCGTTTGAGCAAGTTACTCGTCCAGCAGATTGCGATCGAGCTCCCTGCTCTGATAACCGAGATAGAAACCAAGTCTTCTTGGTGCATCAGCCAACTCAATCAGATGGGCAAACCTAGAGAGAGCATGGAGGAGAAGCGAGCCTACCTAGTTCAACTCAGTCAGAGCTTCCAAAGACTGGTGACAGCTGCTACTGAAGGCACGTATAATGACAAATTCTTTGCCGACGCCACGACGGGCTTCGACAGGCGACTCCGTGCGGTGGTCCAGAAGCTCAGCATCGCTTTTTCTGCAGAGATGCGTGAAAATGGACGTGGATATATTGTGTCATCCAAATGCAAACCGGCCGGGTGTAAAGCCCGAGTCGTCACTCACGATCAACTCTGCGAGGAGGTCATGGATCTTGTTGAGAAAACTCGTGGGCGTGAGCTCCCAGGCCTTCTTAACCCGATGATCATCTCAGACCTTTTCCGCAAGCTTTCTTCTCCTTGGGAGGATATAGCCTCATCATATGTTGAGAATGTTTGGAAGGCCACGCAGACCTTTCTCAGTCATGCTCTCAAAGCCGTTACAGACATTGGGACCGCGGAAGCCATCTTGAATGTCGCCCTCAGGCCTAAGCTTGCCCGAATTCGCGAAAACCTCCACAGCAAACTCAATGAGCTCCTACAGCCACATCGAGAAGGCCATCCCATTACCTATCGCGATAACTTTGAAGAAGGTTTGCGCAAGGATATTTTTGCCGAAGAAGCCATTAGCAGTGCAATTGAGGGAAAGCTAAGGCAGTACCTCAACGCAGAGCCCTCATCGCATTCGGCCTATATTTCAGGTTCCTTCGACTTGCAAGGTTTGCATAAAGAGCTCTTAGAACTTCATCGCCCATACTTTGAAAATGCTCGATATAATGCCAAATGTGCAATCGGCTACGTCGATAGATATTATGAGGTATAATTTACTATGAGTATCGTATGGTCTAATGCTGATTGAGGTTCTCTAGGTCGCCTTGGGAAGGTTGATAGACGATATTGCTATTCAAGTCATTGAGTGCAACCTGGTCTCTGCGCTCGAACAGATTCTGGATCCGTTGACCATTGTGAAGATGACGGATTCTGAAATCAACCAAATCGCGGATGAGACCGAGGAAACCCGCGAAACTCGCCAGCTTCTGCAAAAACAGCTTGACATCCTAAATAAAGGAACAGACATCTTTCAAAGGCACCAGAAGTCGGGCATCTTCACATGTAAGACATTCAAATCCATTTCTCTTTTCTACTGTTGAAGTGCTTCTAACAAAAAAAAATGGAATGGAAGTGGCCGCGGAGCTCCAACAACAGATCGACAAAGAGTCTTTTTGGAATTCTGAAGGTCCTAGGGCCGAGACAGAAGCTGGTGAATACTGCGAATGTGAGAAATAGAAAACATATTTTACCCGTTCCCCACACTTGTTTGCTAATAATCTGGTTTTATTTACACACACAGTCGCAGAGGAGGTGCAATCTATTTCGGATGAATTCCCAGCGAAAGATGAAGCAACAACTCTACAGGATGACGGAACTGGCGCCAAAGTTGAGCTCTTAGACGCTGGGGAAGAAGCAGAACTTGCAGCGCTTGAAGTGAAAAAGTTCAATCGCGGTAGACTTACGTTAAGAAAGGATCGCGGCCGATATGATTTTCTCAAAGCCAAGCAAATGGCGGTCTAGCCAGACACTAATACACTGTTCCAATCCAAGAGTATAGCGGCGAATGGGGAGCATTTTTGCAGGTCAACCGATAGAAAGATCACTGCGAGCTCTGGTCAACAAATGGCATCTGCCTCGCGGATCGCTATTTAATCAGATTTGATAGGAGGCGCATATTGGGAGGACTGAGAGCAAGAAGCTGTATTTCTAATCGCTACCAGCCCACAAAGAATTCACTTCGACAAGGACTACACAGCTAAATAGAAGGAAACCAATTCAAGAAAATATTTGACTGTAGACAAAGGCATTTGAATTAATTTGATCTAAAATTCTCGGTAAGAATTCTAGATTCTAAATATAGCTCCCCACCTGTAAGCCCAACCCCCCTGGAAACACAGTCTCAGCGCGCCTGACAGTTACAGCAGCACGGGCGTGGCTCAGTAGCACGATCCCTTATCGATTATCTACCGCTTGAATCCACTTTGTGGCTTGTATGAGACGCAGTAGCCGATGACGCAAAATTGTCTAAGACTTCATCTCACACTACCTTGGACAGAGAGGCACAGAGGCCATTCGCAGCGATTGCTCGTCTTGACAGAAGAACTGGGACAGCCGCTCGTACGTCTCTTCTGTGGTTGATGTTTCCCTTGGCTGTACAAATCCAGTTGGTGTGTGTATTTCTCCTCCATCGGATCTCGTATTCTCCCGGAAATATTGGACCGGTCTGCCCCAATTTAATTCCTGTATTGATCCAGTCATATCTCTGCTCTCCGCATGATGAAACAGGGCATAAAGTGGGGTCGAGGAAGATATGGTACGTACCTTACTCAGCAGAGTTACGCCGATTGGTTGATTGATGAATGAGTAATCAATCAGCCCAGTGAATGGTTTGGGGCAAAGCAGTTGATTGTAAATCGACCGAAGTACCTGCATTTTCTCCGAATATTAATTGACCTGCAGCCAACAAGGCGATGTTAAATAAACGACGTATCAAAAACAATAGTAAAACGAAATCAGATACACTACTCGAATTAAAATTGTAACGCCGAGTTACTTCTTTGTCAACTCGGTGAATGATCATCCTCTACTGAAAGTTACAAGCAATAGGGTAGGTCAACCAGAAAACGTCATTTTGTCTGCTAGTGAAAATAAATCCGGTTCCAACCTCCCTTCACACCTGGAACACTAGGCTGGTTCAGGAAAGTGTATCGGCCATAAGAAATGTGTGCTCGCCGAATTAGACCGCCAAGCATTACAAAATCTGTAGTAAGAAACGATACTGCTAAAATAATCTGGCGGGCTCCTCATGGCGCAAGAATCTGGCAGGAGGCAGAATGTGACGCCCATTGGTCACACTGGCTGGGCATCCACTACCGGGACCGAGGAACAACTCATCAATCTGCAGCAGATGGCGCCGCATGACTGCATGGCCATTTCCCTCAGACTCCAGTCCCCCGTCATCGAGGCCGGAAGGGGAAACGCCCGCCTCGGATCGCCTTGATGGAGCGGAAGCCCTACGCCCTACTGACCGATACTAAGGCCCCTGTGCCCAATTTTAGGTCTGGGTACCACATGCTTCAAGCTTATGTGGAATAAGAGAAACACGGCCTAACCTGGTAGGTCGTAAGACAGTCAGCCCTGAGCACGCGAGCAGTGTTTGGCCTGCTGCGGCTGAGCCAGGCCTTTGCTTGAAGGGGATTGGCACAGGTACGATCCAACCTGAGACAGGGATGTCTAAGCTGCGCCGGCCGGTATTGCAATGCGACTGTGTTAGAATTGACCAAAAGTTCTAAACTTGTGCCTGGCGTGAACGGAAGCGTCTCGTTCATTTCTAATATTATCCGATCAGCACTTTGGGTGTGCATGATGCAGCTTATATGTATATGTCGACCGTCCGGTCGGTACACTTGCAGCATGTTCTATCATCTTCAAAGCTAATTCTTTTCCTTTTCCTTTTCTTTTTTTCCTTATTTTCTTTTTTTCCTTATCGGTTCTTTTCCCCCCTTTTTTTATTTCCTTTTTTGGGTTCTTTGCCATTGTATCCTGGTGATCATGGCGCGCCTACCAAGAGCTCTGCTCTTTCTGGCCATCCTTGTGTGCTGTTTCATCAGCAGCACATTTGCAACAACACCCCAGATCGACGAACGACAACTACAGACCGACGAGAAGCTACCATCGCTCGCCTCCCGGAGCATCATCGAGTCATGGAGTCCTTCGCTGGACGGCCGAGGTCTGGGAATACTGAAGAAGGCTGCTTCCGCTGTGAAGAAGGTTGCAGCCCCGGCGAAGAAGGCCGCCACTGCTGTCAAGGCGGCCGTCGCGCCCAAGAAGGCGGTGGCTGCTGCTAAGAAAGCCGTTGCTGCACCCAAGAAGGCCGCTGCTGCTGTCAAGAAGGCCACTGGTGGTGCTAAGAAGCCTGCCGCCAGCAAGAAGACTTCCACACCCAAGAAGGCTGCTGCGCCTAAAAAGGCTGCCGCATCCAAGAAGCCTGCCGCATCTAAGAAGCCCGCCGCGAAGAAGCCTGCCGCCAGCAAGAAGGCTGCTACGCCCAAGAAGGCTGCTGCGTCTAAGAAGCCTGCCGCATCCAAGAAGGCTGCTGCGAAGAAGCCTGCCGCCAGCAAGAAGGCTGCTACGCCCAAGAAGGCCTCGACATCTAAGAAGCCTGCTGCCAACAAGAAAGCTGCTACACCCAAGAAGGCCGCTGGTGGCAAGAAGGCTGCTACACCCAAGAAAGCTGCTGCTGGAAAGAAGGCTGCCGCGCCTAAGAAGGCAGCTGGCGGTAAGAAGCCTGCCGCTGGCAAGAAGGCTGCTACACCCAAGAAGGCTGCCGGTGGAAAAAAGGCTGCCGCGCCCAAGAAGGCCGCTGGTAGTAAAAAGGCTGCTGGCAGCAAGAAGGCTGCTGCACCCAAGAAGGCCGCCGGTGGCAAGAAGCCTGCTGCAAACAAGAAGGCCACTTCTCCCAAGAAAGCGACTGGCGGCAAGAAGGCCGCTGGTGGTAAGAAGGCTGCTACACCAAAGAAGGCTGCCGGCGGTAAGAAGGCCGCTGCACCCAAGAAAGCTGCTGGTGGAAAGAAAGCTGCCGGCGGTAAGAAGGCTGCCACACCCAAGAAGACCGCCGGTAGCAAGAAGCCTGCTGCTAATAAGAAGACTGCTGGTGGCAAGAAAGCCGCTGGTAGTAAGAAGGCTGCTGCACCGAAGAAAGCTGCTGCCGGCAAGAAGGCTGCTGGAAACAAGAAGTCTCCTGCTGGTAGCAAGAAAGCAGCTGGAGCTAAGAAGACTGCTGGTGCCAAGAAGCCCTCCGGTAACAAGAAGGCTGCTGGCAACAAGAAGACTGCCGGAGCCAAGAAATCTGGAGCCAAGAAGCCTTCCAGCAACAAGAAGGCGGTAGGCAACAAGAAGTCCCCCGCCGCCAGCAAGAAGTCTGGTGCCAAGAAGACTGCTGGTACCAAGAAGCCTTCCGGAAACAAGAAGGCTGCTGGCAACAAGAAGGCAGTTGGCAACAAGAAGACTGCCGGAGCGAAAAAGTCCGGTGCTAAGAAGTCTCCTGCTGGCGCCAAGAAGTCTACCACCAAAAAGGCCGCTGGCAACAAGAAGGCAGTCAGCAACAAGAAGACTGCTGCCAAGAAGCCTTCCAACAACAAGAAGGCTGGTGCTAAGAAGACTGCCGGCAACAAAAAGGCCGTTGGAAACAAGAAGGCCTCTGGCAACAAGAAGTCTCCCGATGCTAAGAAACCTGCTGGTGCGAAGAAGGCTTCCGGTAGCAAGAAGACTGGCAGCAAAGCTGTTGGCAAGAAGGCCGGCAATAAGAAGTCTCCTGGTGCTAAGAAGACTGCTGGTAATAAGAAGGCAGTTGGCAACAAGAAGAATGCTGGTGCTAAGAAGCCTTCTAGCAACAAGAAGGCCAGCGGCAATAAGAAGACTGCTGGAAACAAGAAGGCTGCTAGCAAGAAGACCACCAACAAGAAGACGGCTGCCAAGAAGGCCGGAAACAAAGCTGTGAGCAAGAAGGCTGGCAACAAGAAGTCTCCTGCTGGAAGCAAGAAGTCTGGTGCTAAGAAGACGCTTGGAAAGAAGGCTGGAAACACCAAAGCTGCTGGCAAGAAGACTGCCAACAAGAAGACTCCTGGCAAGAAGACCGGCAGCAAGGCTGTTGGTAAGAAGTCTGGTGCCAAGAAGGCTTCCGGAGCTAAGAAGTCTCCTGCTGGTAGCAAGAAGGCTGGTGCTAAGAAGACCCCTGGCAAGAAGGCTGGAAATACCAAGGCTGCTAGCAAGAAAACTGCCAACAAGGAGACTGCTGGCAAGAAGTCTCCTGGTAACAAGAAGGCAGTTGGCAGCAAGAAGGCTGGTAGCAAGAAGGCTGGCAGCAAAGCTGTTGGCAAGAATGGCAGCAAGAAGGCCGGCAACAAGAAGGCCGCTGGAGCCAAGAAGTCTCCCGCCAACAGCAAGAAGTCTGGTGCCAAGAAGACTCCTGGCAATAAGAAGGCTGCTGGTAACAAGAAGACTCCTGGAAAGAAGGCTGGAAACAGCAAGGCTGCTGGAAAGAAAGCCGGAACCAAGAATACTGCCGCTGGTAAGAATGCTGGCAAGAAGGCCGCCGACGGCAAGAAGGCCGGAAACAAGGCAGCCGGGAACCCCAAGTCGAAATCGAAGGGAGCACCCAGCTGCATGATTGGCGGCAAGGTGAAGCGAGGTGAAGAGTGCCTAATCGGAGCCCACAAGCAGGGCGGTCTCGGCATTGACCGTGATGCCTCTCTGGGCTTGGGCAGTAAGGATGAGACCGTTTACAATTCAAGAATCAACAGGCAGGGCAAGGGTGCCGAGAAGGAAATCACCCCCGGTGGACTTGTCGGAGTGGCCAACGACGCAATGGACGAAATGCAGGCGAAGCACAGCAACTACGGTGGTTCAAAGCCGGGAGTCATGACGGCTATGGTGGCCGATAAGGGCAAGGGTGACAAGATCTATCTTGGAAGTTCCTTGAACAACGGCGAATCCGTGATACACAAGACGGACGACCAAGGCAAACTCAAGTACCCCGAGACTAACAAAGTGGTCACTGATGCCGAGAAGGCCGCCATAGGCAAGAGGCCTGGCCTGACCGAGGGCGCCGACCCCAAGCACGGAAACAACGCCAAGTGTGGTGAACAGTCGTGCATTGCCATGTGGGAGAAGGACAACCCGGGCAAGAAGCTGAACGAGGCAGACGCCAGATTCGTCACAATCGAACGTCCTGGTGGTAAGAGCGGAAAGAACCAGATTATCCCTCCCTGTGACGGTAAAAATGGCAAAGGTATCGGCTGCAAGTCCGTCCTGGGGGGACAAGGCTCCGAGGACGTCCCTGAGAGTACGAGGCCGGAACCATACCATCTGGGCAACGACTATACAACCAGCAAGGTGGAACTGGGACCCAAGAATGGCGACAAGGAGCGTGAGGACAAGGCCGCTAAAGACGCAGCCTTTGAGGCTCAATTACAGGCCAACAGGGAGAGGAAGGCGGCAAAAGCGAAAGCGAAGGAGGCCAAGATGGCGGCCAACAAGGCGAGGAAACAAGGAGAGGCCAGCAACAACGCGGAGTAAATGAATAACGACGACGGCAGATTGAACCCGGAGCTGGAGTTTGTTTCTACACATTAAATCTTTTTTTCTTCTTCCTTTTTATTCCTTTTATTTTTCTTCTTCATTTTCAATTCTTATTCATAGTTTTATCGTTCATCTTCACATAGAACAAGAGAGCGATCCAATTGACTTATATCATCATATTTTCTAGTACTTGATCTCATTGCGATGCCCCAGCCACATCTCCGGTTTCTGCCCTGCTGCTGCCTGACTCCGCCGATATCTATCTTTGTCCTCAACTAATTAGTTTCGCGATTAGGTACCTACAAGTGAAGATATCGGGTGCTCTAAACTTGGCCAGTGGCATTTGGCAACAGACCATAGTGATCCATCAATGTTTCTACTTTCCCGTCAACCCCTTCCGTGAGGACTGACACTTGGATGATGTCAGGCTTTCTCTTCCCTTCAAGTACAACTTAGATTTTGTATATACTCACTCTGATATCATAAGAAATCATGGCATCCCGCTCATCAATCGTTGATCGTCAAACAGGTCATGATAGAAGTAGAGGCGACAATTAAATACACTCAAGCAGATATCTACGTACCACAATTCTTGTGAATAATGCATTGAAATACTATCGTGTCGCAGCTGTTACGTCTAACCAGTGGTCCCAATTGATCGTTATTCCACCCACCAGGGCCCAAAGCTTTTCTCATTTTGATCAGCTGTAAGAGGATAACTCCAACCAAAGGAATAACCGGTAGCTAGTATCGAGTTGACACTCGCATATTGAAGCCGTCGTCAGTATATAGTGCCATGGTATCATCGAAATCTATGCGCTCAAATATGGGCGCAAAGCTATTGTCGGCGAAGAAGATGAGGTCACGCAATAGAGGCAATTGCGTGGGGATATTGTCGCACAGTGCCTCGATGTGCTCGCCTATCGCCACAGCTGGAGCGTAGTCGATTCGGTGCTCCTCAAAATATGGCTGCTGCCATCTGACCGCGCTATTGAGAAGCAAGTCATCCGAGAGAGCAAGAGTTTTGACACTGGGAGGAACACTATCCTCAATAGGTAACGGAGTCTCTCCAAAACCAGCAAGAGATATGAATGGCACCTCGAGATAGGTCAGTCCGCGAAAGCCGGCAAGGCCAGCCAACGACCCTGTCACGTTGAGTTCTGGTTTAAAATCGGGCCGAATCTCCAGCCGAATTCGTAGCTCCTCCAGCGTGCCTCGGACGAGCGATAGCCTCTCAATGATATTTTCAAAGTTCAGCTCCATCGTATTTCCAGGATCATCTGTTTGGTCCCAGTTCCGGGTCCAGGTAAGCGATTTGAGATTCCGTGTCAAGGCAAGAATTTTCCCCAGGTTATCTTCGGAGAGTCGCGTAAGATTCAACGAGGTCAGATGATCAAGATTGGGTTCGCCTGCCGGCCACTCAAATACAGGAGGGTTCGGGACCCAAGCCTCGATGCTCGTGAGTGATGGTAGATAAAATAAAGATATTACGTCTGGAAATATCTTGTTGTTCTTGTTTTCCACGTTATCGACAAACTTGTCGTATTTGACCTCCCTGAGCTGTTCAAGTTTAGAGAGCCCGAACTCGCCCAAGGCCTTGGACTGGATGACCTTGCCGATGATCTCGCGTTTGTTTATGAAGTGCCCTGTCAAAGCCAGACGTTTTGAGTTGGAGAGTCCGGCGAGGAAAACAGCATAAAGAGCCTCCAAGGACGTTTCGCTCGAGTTCAACTTTGCGATCCACAAGTCGGTATATGGCACCTTTGTCTTTTTGATGGCATCGAGGCACTGCTCAACAGGGATATCGACGCTGTTCAGGTCCAGTGCACGGAAAACATGACCTAGAAAGCCCGACCCATCCATATATACATTTTCTATGTAGTCCCAGAGCTCGGGTCGTTGTAACAAGGTGCGGAGAAGCGGAACGATTCGGGGTGTAGTATCGTACTCCCCTAGCCTGATGGTAGAGTACAGAAATGGCTCAGCGGCTGTGCGGAGTGATCTCTTGGTGAGGCAGAGATTCAAAAGATCAGAAGTCGGGACGAAGCCCAAGATGTGGTTGGCGATTTCAACCGGGATATCGGCGAGCGGCGACATGGTGCGCGTTCACTTGCAAAGATTGATCAGTGAGATGATCAGTGAGAAGAATAAACTGAAGGGTCGCTTGGTGAGTTGATTGTGAGGAGAATGAACGGTCGCAAAAACAGACGATGAGTGAGAGCGGGGTCAGGTTGAGGGTCCCCTTGCGCGTGATATTTAGCACCTCTGCCTTTGTACCGGGTGGGCGATCAGAATGGGGTAAAGTCCGGCCAGTCAGTGCGTATTTTTAGAGCAAATAACTGCAGCAGTGTCTTACTACGACTCCTCCCAGAATTCTGAGGCACAAGCAGCATCCATATGACGGTGTGTGGGTGGGGAAGAGGATTGTCGCACAAGAATGCTCTGGCAGCGTCAATCCAATCATCTATGAAAATATTAGCACCGAAACACTGCCAGGCGAATCAAATGGGGGCTAAAGTCTGATCGGCAGGTATTTTTAGAGCTGTGGCACGGTGGGCCGCAGCTTAATGCTCAGCCTATTACCTCATGCAAGCTCATGTTACTAAGGCACCTTAGTCAGGCTGCCTATGATACTGTTTTTTCTAGCGAGCAGATATCTACATACAGGTACGAATCTCCTACAGATGGGTCGGGGTTAGGAAGGGAAAGTTTTCTGGGCTATTTGAAACCATTATTGACGGAGTAGAAGGTGTTAACAAGATGTTAATATCTGCATAGAGTTGGAGCGCCAGAAGGAGACAGAAAGACAGAGAGTTGAGTAGAGACATTAATAGGAAGGAGATAGGAGAGAAGAAGGGTGGTATAGTACGTAGCAAGGTAAGTAGAAGTAGTAGTAGGTGATGTCCCTGAAGCTATCGTTCATGCTGTGAGTTAGATTCTAACAGGTTCGCAGATGTCGTATTGAGCGGGGAGTATGCCAATCGTGAATTCAATACTGGCAAGTCATGAGAATTTCACTACCGGTTGTGCTGCATTACCCTCGTCGCCGCGGCCGCTTTGGTAACTGGCCTCGCGCTGCAGAACCACGCACCCACGTAGAATTTGGGTTTAGCCTTTATTTATGATTGTTCCTGTCTTAGCAGCTGCGGGTATAAAACATTCCTGATGTGCGTAAGAGAAAGCTGGCGGATAATCTTGGTCCGTGTGCTCTTGAAGACACATCGATTTTATCGCTGCCCTTTTCGATCGGTACTCACCTTTGTTTTCACTAGAGTCAGGGAGCGTCTAAACAGCATAAGCTTAAAAGTAGATGGGCGATAATTCATTAGCGACAAACCTAGGCGTGAACACTTTGGTGGTGTGCGAATGACAAACGAGTGATTCTGGACTAGGTATACTCGTCCCTCGTTTGGAAATTGTTAAGTCTTAGAATGTTTCGTGCGAAATATACTATGCTACATGCTGTAGACTACATATCTAGAGTCACGCCAGAAATCAGGGGTTCACCTAGTCCCAAGACTCTCTTTACGAAAAGCTAATCAGCCTAAACGGGGCGTAATGCCCGATGGCAACAGAGTGACAGGCCAGAGACACCCCCGGACACTTTACACAATCGTTTATGAAAGACAACTATAAAACTATTAATATATCTATATTAATCCAACTTCGCATTTGATAATGGCCGCATATTAGTATCCACTGAATTGGCTTGCTGAAGACAGTTGACTGACTCTCTGCGAAGAGTTCGGGCTGCCTTAGCCCGTGATAGTAGAGCAGCCACCTACAACGCTTGCGCCCTTTCTAACATGACTGGAGTGAAAATGCTCCCTTGGGTGATATCATTACGTCTCTCGTAGAGTTGTCACGCTAAAAACACTCTGTTGGATCTTATGTTGGTAATAGACTTTTCTTAACCCACAACATAATGTTAGGCTTATAGCAGTGTATGTACGACCTACGCGACGGCTTATGATAACTGAAACACTCTTAGCTTCTTGATATTCCTTTTTCTCTTACAACATGTCTTACTTACAATGAGGTCAGCCGCACAACTATAGCTCATAATGACGGAAGGAAGAGAGGCCAGAATCCAGAAAACTATCTGCCGCGACAGCTAACGAATGTGTTCAGTTTATAAAATCAACAGTAAATAGTCAGGTCAGTCCTCTACGAATTAGCCACCACTCCGGATGATAGGCGCGCCGGTTGCACATCAACCGCCCGTTGTAACCCACGACAGCTAGGCTGGCGATCCTTCGTTATGATGGAAGACAACTAGGACGGCATCTCACGACTTAAATGTTGTGACAGCAGAAAAAGAGGTCAAATTAGTAGTAGTTATCACTCGCTATAATATAAGAAAGATGAGTTAGGTCCGTATTGAATTGATCATCGTAGCTGCTGATTACTAGGCTTGGCTTACAACCATCACTCGCTACTATGTCAAGTAGAGAGGATAGGCCCATAGCGATCACTCATCCTTAAAGACGGTAGGGATAGGCTAGTACGGATTGACTGGACCTGACCCAACTGTCTGCTGTTAAGACGAGACATTGCTGTAGGCTGGGTCAGATAGTTAGTTAGTTGTTCTAATTGTTGCTTTGTAGGGTTTCTGCCTCTTTCTCTTCCGTTAAGACTAACTTAGTAGTGAAATTCAACGATAGCTACCTAATTCAAAAAGATCTGGCTTCCACATCTACGGTTGATATGTGATATTGCTCTAAACCTGACGCCTTTCTTCACGACGAACAATAGCTGTAACTGAGACTTGCTGTCATCTGTCAAAAAAATTAATTCACAGTAGATAGATAGGCCTGGCTTCCATGAATTGGCTATCATAGCCGCATACTACGAGGTCGATCGCTCGTCATGGATAGAGTTATCGTGATTTCATTGTCGTCGCTAAGCTAGCCCTTCCTCTTCAACCAGCCTTCATGCTGGTGATAACTTCACCTTCGGACTTTTAGTTTTAAAGAATTTTAAATATATTTAGATGTATCAATTCTACCACAATCAAACCCTCAAGGAAGCCCCTAAGATAACGCTAGGTGCTTTTGAATCGGTGAACTTGATTGATAACACATTTTTTACCTCTAAAATGACGGCAAGGCTCGGCTTGTCACCATGGATAAGGCTAGGGACCCCGGTTGTAAGCACATTGCGAGGAGCCAGGGATAGCTAGCGTGGGAATACTTCATGAAGTCTCTGAGGAGGCTACAACGGATCATAGTTTGGCCTTGATAAAATGATTCCCGACGTCGATTATCATCGTGACGGTAGCGTTGCTGCGATATTTTACTACAAATCCGGGGATGCGTCGGAGCCGGCCCTCTCGAGGGCGATTTCTAAATGCCGTAGCGTAGCAACGAGGAACAAGATCCTTGTGGCAAGGCTCTGACGACGACGTGTGGGTACGGGTATTCTACCTCGCGGCCGAGTTTCATATGGGAAATTTGATTGAACGGAGCCCGAGATTTTTTGGCCGGCCCGGAGATGACATGAATAAACACAGACGCCGCTTTCATTTAGTTTTCGTCGACTTTGAGCACCATCTTGCCAAATTTGTCCCCTTTCCACACACGTAACAATGCTTGGGGTGCCATATCCAAACCTACAAGGACCTCCTCCTTGGTTTTGATCTTGCCCTCCATCATCCATGTGACGACGTCCTTGCCAAACGTTTCTAAATATTTAACATGCCTCTCGTCAGAGCAGATGAATCCATGCATCGACAATCGCTTCAGGAACATCTGTCCAAGATTGCGGATGCCGTACATCTCTCCCCAAGGGATGTTGTACTGGGACACCATGCCGGAGGAAACTAAATCGAATATCAGCATTGTACCTAGTACCGAGTGGTGATGAAGATGGTGATGAAGAGTACTTACCAATAGTTCCATAGTCGTTCATGTGCATCAGAGCCGTATCCAGCTGCTCTCCGCCAACATTATCATAGTAAACATCCAACCCCTCCGGCGCCAACCTCTTGAGAGCATCGTCAGTCTTCTCCTCCTTATAGTTCCAGGCACCATCATAGCCCAGCTTATTGACCACAAAGTCCACCTTCTCCTGGCTGCCCGTGCTACCAATCACCTTCATGCCGTGGATCTTGCCCAGTTGGCCGACAATCTGCCCAACGCCGCCGCTCGCGGCCGACACAAACATCACCTTACCCTTGGGCTCCTTGACGAACTCGTTGAAGCTAATGTACGCCGACAGACCAGCAATGCCGAGGCCACCGACGAGGGTCTCAGGGCGGAACTGGGGCGGGAGCGGCGGGATGGCACGGCACCAATGGGCGAACTCGGGCCCTACTATGGAGTACTCGCTGGCCGAGGCCATGGCGCTAACCAGGTCACCCGGTTTGAAGGCTGGGTTGTCACTCTTGAGCACAGTAGATAGTGTGGTGACTTGGGCAGGCTGGTCAATCACCCAGGGGACCGAGTAGCTGCCATTGTCGCCCGGTGCGCGCATCTGGCCACGCATATACGGATCAAATGAGAGGTGGGAGTTCTTGATAGTGAGACCGCCGGCTGGAGGGGCAGCCTCGGGATCGAACGGCCGGTCCTCCACTGCGAGGTGCTCCCCAACGACGGGCTCATAGGGAGTGTACTTCTTGTAGATCAAGCTCTTGTTGCGAACCATGATGGAGACTGATTAGGAGTTTGCTGGGGGAAAATAGGGGTATCTTTGGGGAACTGTATGATATGATAGAGGTACTCGAGCTATGTAGACGGTAGAGCAACGAGTATGAAATGGGTATTTAACCGCTAGATTCACAGCGTTCAACCTGTCTTGGAGATAACTGCGCTTCACCAACAGCTTTTTCAGGAGGCAGCTTCATAAAGTGGACTCATACATAAAACAAGTGGGTTGTCACTGAACGCAAAAGAGGAAGAACTTTCAAACAATAATCCTCTGGAACACTAACTGTCACAAGGCGAGTAACTTGTTGGTCTGCTCATTTTTTAATCCCGGCGGTTCCGCCAATATGCATGAGAACTTATGATTACGGATTTCCGGTTATGATTATGAGGTGAGCCGGGCGGCTCGTTGGTTTAAGCAGAGCGCGCGTCTGTGGATGCTTGTCTGCTTTG